TAATGGAGAGCTTAAACCTAGATGAAGGACTGACAGCACTATTAAGGAACATTTACAAAGATAACAAGGTGATTATAACATGGGAAGGAAAGGCGACAGGGAAAATAGAGATAAGACGAGGCCTTAGGCAGGGGTGCCCGTTATCGCCTTTGCTGTTTATGTTGTATCTGAGAGGATTGGAGGATAGACTAGAGAAGAGTATGCTTGGATTCGACCTTTCTTACAGTAAGCTAGGCCAAAAAATTCAGCAATCCTTACCGGGATTGATGTATGCGGATGATATCGTACTAATGGCTAACAACAGGACAGAGTTGCAGGAATTAATGAGCATCTGTGGTAGGGAAGGAGAGGAATTAGGTTTAGAATTCAGTAGCGAAAAATCAGCAGTCATGATTTTTAACAAGGATGAAGTTGAGAAGCTGAAGATACAGAATATTACAGTTGAGAGAGCTAGTAAATACAAGTATCTAGGAGTATGGATATGTGATGGTGCAGAATATCTCAGAGAGCATGAAAAGTATATAATAGGTAAGGGCAACAGAAATGCAGCTGTTATGAAAAATAGAGCACTTTGGAATTACAACAGGTATGAAGTGGTGAGAGAGATTTGGAAAGGGGTCATGGTGCCTGGCTTGACTTTTGGAAACGCAGTGCTATGCATGAAATCCGAAGTGCATGCGAGACTAGAAATAAAACAGCGCGGAGTAGGTAGACTGGCTTTGGGGGCACATTGCAAAACGCCAAACCAGGGAGTACAAGGAGACATGGGATGGGCGTCATTTGAGAGCAGGGAAGCGGTGAGCAAGATAGAATTTGAGGATAGGTTGAGGCAAATGGATGGGGAGCAATGGGCACGAAAGGTTTTCAGCTATTTATACATGAGGAGTGTAGACACAAAGTGGAGACAGCGCACTAGGAAACTAAGAGGAAAGTTTTTGGGCTATAGCGAAGATACGGAAGAGCAAGTCTCAGTTAAGAAGAAAGTTAAGGCCACAGAAAGAGATCGATGGCTAGAGGGAATGCAGACAAAGACGGCTCTGGAAAGCTATAGATTAAACAAAAGAGTTATTGCCAAAGAAAGCATTTATGACAATTCTAGGGGAAGCTCATTGCTGTTTGAGGCGAGGACGGGTGTTCTGCGAACCAGAACATACAGAGTGAAGTACCAGGAAATGGATACAGTGTGCACTGTTTGTGGAGAGGAGGACGAGACGGCTGAGCACTTGATACTCTACTGTAAAGGGCTTCACCCTATGCCTAACGAAGACAACATAGATTTAATAAAGTCACTGGGTTTTAGAGACAGCGAAGGGAGAGTGGATTTCAAGAGTGTAGAGATTACCAAGCAAAGATTAAGTGAATTTAACCATAGTTTTGTTTAACCCGAGACTGGGGTATTTCGGAAAAAGGGGACGAGAAGAAAAGAGGCCACAAGGAGGCGACGTCTCAAGTCTCTCTGTTGAGACGTCGCCTCCTTGTGGCCTCTTTTCTTCTCGTCCCCTTGTCCGAAATACCCCAGTCTCGGGTTAAACAAAACTATGGTTAACTTCCACCAGCTCGCCTGCACCCTTACAATTTTTTCATTAAGTGAATGGTGGCAGAAGTCGAGAGAAAACTAGGTGTTTTCCTATTCACTGATGGCAAGGGGGTTTCATAGCCTCACTTTCTTTGCACTGCGGAGTGAATATATATTTCACATTTAAATATTCTAAGCTTAAATGGTAAAACAAAATGGCTAGGTGGCGTAAGCTACCGCCCGATCTAAAGGGCTCAGCCGTATTCATCCATCCATCCATCCAAACATGAGTTGGTGTATACCGTGTGTGTGTCATTGAAGCAGCAGTAAGCATGATAATCCAAGCTAATCGTAGACAACCAGAAAAGCTAAAAATAACCAGCTGAACCTAAGCTTACGCTACGTATATCCTGGCAGAGCGGAGAACACATGTACGACGAAACCGTCCGATCCGACGTCCGACCGCGCAATACGACGGTCGGAGGCGAGGGTTTTCAACGCTCTCCGATGCTACGAAAGCCCTCTCCCCCCCAAGGTCATTCCGGCAGTCCGCACGTCGGATCGGACGGTTTCGTCGTACATGTGTTTCGCGCTTTAAAGGGGTACTCCGCCGATTTCTTCATGGTCCCCGATTTGCTTAAAATTTTGCTAAATTCGCCAAACAACATCGCCAAAACAGTATCCCAAATATTAGGTCAAAATAAGTTTTTTTCACGAAGTTATTGAATTTACAATTTTGGTCCTCACCGTGTTTTTCAAACTGAAAGTCTCTACTGGCAACAGCGAAAAAGTGACGTCATTGGAAGTGCAGGGGTTCACTCTTTGGACTGTAGAATTTGTTCCCAACTGATTCGAAGCAGTTTCATGGTGTCAAAAGAATGCTTTGGAAGCTCGCTCCAGGACCCGCGCTTCAGCACGGAACAAATGATTGGCATATTCTATTCTTTAGACTGCTCGCCCGACTGGCGAGCTGACCTTCCACTGACGTCACGGCACTGAAAAGGGCGGGTATATTTGAATGTTGGTTTTTGCATCATTTTCATTTGCCGATTTCGCAATAACTATTATGAATTTCGCGATACTAAATAGCATAACAGAAAGGGTAAAGGCCGGGGAGTCAGAAAATATAGTTAGTTGAGGTAGCTCAAAAATCGGCGGAGCACCCCTCTAAGGTGCCTAGATGTTTCCGCCGCTCCGGAGCGGAAACATGTAGGCACCCTAGCCGAGCTAAGCCACTGCAATTTTTTTTTTTTTGGCGGGAGAGGGGGGGGGGGGGGGGAGGGGGGGTTGGTTGGCTTGGGGTAATATTTGATGTGAATGGCTAAGAAAATTAAATTGTTTCCGTCATTGTGCGTCATAAATGTATTTGAAACCAAGGATTATCTCAGGGTGATGTGAAAGGGGAACTGAAGCAAAAATATATTATACAAACCATTGAGTTGCGAATTTTTAAGAATATTTTGAAGGAACGTGAGTTGGGCAGATGACCACTTTAGAAAGCTGTGTGGGGTTTGGATAAGCTGGCGTTCCTTCCACCACAGCTTGTGTCTGAAGGACTAACCTACATCAGGGAAAAGTCTGCCGGTGACATCGGCGACCTGCTGTGCTACTTGATTGCACTTATGTCAACGGCCCCTTCCGTGTTCCTTCTGCGGCGGCTCCCAGAGCGAATTCTTCCTTTTGCCTGACTGTGCGCGGACGACGACCGGAGCTCCCCCCAGAATGGTGGAACACGCACGACACCACTCTTCAAGATAAAGACTGGACGAACACTTGCGAAGGATGGAATATCGGGTTCCAGAAGCTCGTCGGTCATGCTTATACAAGCGTCTGGAGGCTGATTGAATGCTTACAGCACGATCAGGCGCTCGTTGCATTGGCATTGACACAAGCCCGGAGAGGTGAGCCCCCCGTGAAGCGGGTGCGAAAAACCCCTCCGCGTCTGCAGAATCGTCCGAAAAATATTTGCAAGGGGTTCCAGGTACACCCAGATCTACCAACCCAGGTGGAGGTAGTAGGGAACTGCATTCGCTTCTTACCAATCAATAAATAAACTTGTTTCCAATCTAATCAAGAAACCATGCACCGGCTAGATTTGATTTATTGTTGCATTTTAGTGTTGCGCATGCACAATTTTCTCCTGGTGAGCTTTTGTCCGGGTCTGTGAAAAAATGGCTGAGCTTTTGTAAGGCATTTGTGACAGATACTATGGTGGCCATACAGATACCCTCGTCCAGATCCCTACTTGGTTATCGTTTCCCGGCAGCACTGGTAGCGGAACCAGCGGAATTGTGTCAGCCAAGCCACTCTTGTTACGACACATTACGTATTCCCTTGTTGGGCTCGGTGGTAAGCGGTGCACCGCGGATTCAGAACATCCTTGCCTTTTTATGGCTTCTTGCGCTCCTACACTCTAAGAAAAAAAGGTCAGAGAAAAGGGCGCGAACGGGGACTCTCGGGCAGCGTCAAACAATGCCCCGGCAGCATAATACGAATGCTCCTGTTTTTGTCAGGAACGAATTGAGTCGAACCCTCCATTTCACTTTTCTACCGTCTCTCCACGCGCCGGTAGCCTCCCTTTTTTTTTCTCTTGCGGCAGCCAGCACGAGACTTCTCGCGTTAACTGCGCGCGCGAAAAATCTTGGAGGCTATGGCTGCAATTTGTTGTTTTATGAAGAGGCCACTGTGCATATTGTTGGCGCTGGCTGAAGGGTTCGCAGAGTAAACTTGGCGGTCCGCCATATTTTCTATATCTCTCGCACATTATCCTTTCTTTCTTGGCTCGAAAAATTTTTGTCAACGTTATAAACGAGCCTTTCTTATAGGTATTACGCACATTTGACCTCGGAAATACCGCGAAACCTTCGCTCTTGTAAAATGCAGTTCCAGGGTCACCACGTGACATAGATGGTGCCAGCGTGCCAGTGTCTTTCTCGTCCTAAGAAATTTTAAGAGGTTTTAACAAGTCTCGTCTCTCTCGGTCGTACTCGGTTGCAAGAGTGTGAACGGGCCTTTAGGCAGCACTTGCACATGACCTCAAATGTGGGAGCCAGGGCGAATTTATGGGCCAGGGTTGGGGGGTCTCCAAGATCCGACGTCACGGGCGATGCGTTGTCCAGATCTATTTTGTTGCCCCAATAACTGCCATTTCATATAAAAACTAAACATTTCTTCCCCAAAAAAGCTGGTGTATGTAGTTTTTTTTCTCTATAAAATATCCGCCCCAGGACGCTTAGAACGGGAAAGGGGGGGGGGGGGGGGGTGTACATGCCACTCACGACACGTTTCCGATTCCAGCTCGGGCAGGTCTTTCTGGTCTTGTTCTAGCGCTCCCTGACCCAAGCCTGCATGTGAAACGTCGGGCAGACCCAGGATCGGGGCAAGTCTAAGCATGTGCAGGAGCCATCTTTTTCCGAAGAGCAGCCTCTGCACAATACTCTTCCCTACATTGCACAGACACCAGTCAAAAAGAAACAGCCGCTCGTCTGCTGAAATAATACAATATTTACTCGATAATAAATACGTGACATATGCCGAAATGGTTCCTCGATGTTTGCTTTCCGACAACAAAATGGGGTATGCCGTTGGAACATTCTCAAATACACAGCACTACAAATGTGAGCGACACTATAAGACATAAAAAGGTGTGGCATTGATAAAAGTCATGCTGGCTCAATTCTATGAATAAAAACATTGTTTAAAGATCCCGGTCGTCGGGCTTGCCTCTAACGGGCCAATCAAAGTGCTGGACATGTCTGCAGTAGGAGTCAAATTCTCAGCGGCAGCAGTTTCGAAAGAACGGTACCCTCGTAGGCCTTGTGCTTAGTACAAAACCAGTAAAGCAACCAACAATGTTTTGACACGATTGAAATGCACAAAAAAAGCGCAAGTTGAATGTCCCACATGAGCAAGTGGGACCCACATCACAATGTCTCCGACTACGTGCAAACCACACTTCCAGCGGAGAAAAAAAATATCTGAGGTCTCGACACTGGGCAGGAACTCTGAGGAACCCCAGGAAGCAACAGCAAACGAACTGGAAAGCATTTGCTGGCGACAGCAAAACAGAGTACGCAAAACGCCCATGGTAGATCTTCATTGGAATGTTTCAATCCAAATAGCATTGCGCAGCGATTCAACATTGCATCGCTGCCGACCAAATTGGAAGCAGCCTCCTCAGAGTTGGCAAGCTTTCAGAGGACAGCCCTTTAGCCACAGGCTGTTACTCTAAGCAGTTGGAGAGCGGCATGATTGAACAGCACGTACGGTAGGTAGCCTTACCCTACACTTGAGGCAAACGGCCCAGCCCGACCTGTGCCCGACCCGCTGCACATTGTCAGCCCAGACCCGGGGCTCTAATCCGGACATTTGGCGAAAATGACGGCGAGGAATCCAGCAGCCGTGATTGGCCGGTGCTGCGCTCGACCTTGGCGCCCTCTAATCGCGGCTGTCGAATTCTTCGCAGACTTTTTTTGCTAAGTGTCCAGAATAAAGCCCCCGTCGTGCGTCGTCGGCCTGGACCGTTTGGGTTTGCAACTGAGGTGGGTGAACGTCGCCGCCACCATACTGCCGCAGTAGGCCACCCCAGCCATTGCACCGCACCACCTCTTAACCCTCGTCAAGCTCGAGGTGCCTTTGGTGGCGCATGCTGTAGTTCCCGACAGGATAGCAACGGCAGAAAGGTCTTTCGGGCATCCTGTCTCCAGCGAGAGCTTCCCACCTTCGCCGACGCTTCGGCGCGTCGCAAGCTACGAGCACGTGCAGGAGGCCCGAAAGAGACGCCCTGCAGTTTTAACCCTGCCGGTGACCACAGGACCGGGAAGTGCTTGGACCGAACGGGATTGCTACGGGAGGCTACGAAACAAGTGGCGTCGATGTGGCGACGCCACGACGGTGGGCTTGAACACACAGATGCTCGATGAGCGGCACTCGAGAAAACACTGGTTAGGGGCCCATAAAGAAAAAGTGCGTGGCAGCCACACGTCAATACATAATTCAGAGTGGTTAAATTATGGGGTGATGTGGCTGACATAATCACAGCTCACCCTGGGTCTCTAAAACATATAAAAACAAAACGAAAAACCTTCCAATCATCTAGGTCCTGAGGTGTAGCCTTGAAACTAACCGGCAACGTTCTCCATAGCACTCCATATACAATTCCCGAGACCGCACTTGCACTTCGAATCAACCAAAACTTCCAAATTACCGAGTCTACACTCCTCCTGCTCTTCAAAGGCCACTCGCCCCTCAAAAGCACGTCGCCTTGGCAGATGTTACTTAATTTCAATCGTGACACTGGAATTCCAGACGCTCGTTGCAAAGACTAATTTCCCTTCAAAACCACAAAAATGGCGCCGATCCTAGTTTTCTTTCGTCGCAAGCGAGACACTGGCAACCGAGAACCATGTCCCATCGCGCGGCATAAAAAGTACCATTCTATAGGCAATTTATAAGCTCTAGGCTAATGAGCACTATCATCGCTTTAACTCGATTAGAAAATAATAACAATAATGAAGTTATACGCTCTATTCCAGAAATATTTGGCTAAAGCTCCATGAACAGCACTATTGCACTTTCCAAGACACAATGAACTCTTCTCAAGACAAAGAAAAATCACAATGCTTTGCCGGAGTGGGCACTTCAGGGAGGACGTCCCCCCAACGCCACAGTTAAGTTTCGCTACCGCTGGGATGTACTAAGGCTTCCTTATTCACTTCACATCTTTCATTATATCCAAGATTTATCTCCAAAGACTAACAAAATTTCTCGCACACTTTTGCGACGAGCACTCGGTGCTACACCGATTCAACGCAAGGCCCAGTCAAAAGCTGCAGCAGAAATAAACGAGTAATTTGCACTTCTTGTTTACACAGTCAGAGTGAACCGTGCTCATTCCGGCCGTGTAGGCCAGGATGACTGTTCGATTTTCTCACCAGCATGTGCCAGTTATGTTCGTGCATGCGTTGTAACTGCACTTTTATATTCTGCTTTCTTCAGTGTTTTTCGAGATACTGCTGCTTCTGGACTGTAATGGGCAAAGGGCTCTATGGGCAGAAATGCCTTTTCCTTCTAGAGCCCTCGGTTCGAAAAACCAATGAGGCATAAACAAAGAGAACACGCGTGCTAGGAACAGAAGCAGGCGCCGACTAGGTCTTTTCCCAGGTGGCCTTTTCATTTTTTCAACGAAGTTGAGGACGGCTTCTAGGGTCCCCAGAAAAAAGACAAGAGCCCCCAAAATAAATGCTCTCGATGCACGTCGGACGACAAGGGGGCAACATCGTCCGGATTCAGTGCTAGAGTGACTCCAATGACCCGCCTGCGGTCACATCTGTTTTTAACTTGGATGGCCGAATTTCCCATTTCTCAAAACCCTACCAGAATAGCTCCAATGAAATGCGCAGTACGGCAGGGTTCTTTCTGCGATGACGGAACTAGTTCGGAGACACCTGGATCAGGGCAGAAGAACCTCTGCAATTGTTTCGCTCACAAACGAGGCTGGTACGTGCGTGCAAAATTACCAAAACCTCGTATCAAATTGAAAATGGGGTCCAAAACTACTTCGTTACACCGAGAAAAAAAAAGATGATGATATGAGGCGTACGACGCAACAATTTCATTACACCGCAAATTTTTTGTTTATGTTTTGAGGTGTCGCACCACTACGCGGCGGGGCTTCTATGGGCAAATGCACCTTTACCGTCGTCTACGTTTTCATCTCGAAGCTGCACGGGATTCCGACGGCGCACTTTTGGCAACGACGCACGCTGCTGCGTGACGCTGTCGCCTCCTCTCCGATGCCTGGCAACTCGAACCATCGTATTTCTTCGAGACGTCGGAAATCGCGGAGAACGCGTAAAACACTCGCACAATTCCATTTCCAACTGCACAATCGAAATGCCATCGGCATTAATTGTGACTGCATGTACCAGCTGGTTGCAAAGATGGCCACCACCCGATTCTTTCACTGAATGGCAAAACCCCGAAACGGCGCCTCTTTGCAGACCGTTGTCGCAGAGGGTTCGCGATTCCACCGAGGGTAAAAGAGAGACATGCAACCTTTGGTGCTTAAGAACCGATGAGACTATTCCAGTCGCTCGTCCCTCACGTGCGCGACGTATGGCTGAAACGGGACGAGTTAAACTTGTCCACTTTTATACCGTAAACACAAAAAGCGAGCCAACGCAAAAATTATCAAAATATTTTCCCCCGAAAATTAAAGCCGACAGCCGGTACCCTCACAACCAGCTCGCAGTCTGCTCCCACGGTTCGAACCATTGCCAGGGGGCGGCGCGATCTACGGGTCAATTTCCGCTCGAGGGTTAAACAACGCTACGATTCCTACAGGGCTTGGCAGTTACACAAAACCGTGCATTTCGGGAAGTAATCTAACCGTAGAGGATTCCCACATCAATCCATTGACACACCCAAGGCACCGTCACATTGAGGAAACCGTTCAACAACTTTGTCCGTAAAAACGAGGGAAAGACATTTTTGGCGACTGTGCCACGTTGCGGCAACGGCAGCAAGCACCTTTGCAGACGGTCGGAGAACGCCCCATCATACTGCGCCACAAACACGAAAGACCCACCGCAACACTTCATTTTCTTTTTGAATAATAGTAATGGCGACTTACTTCAATTCGTCTGCAGCGAGGCATCGCTGCACACAAATGGAAAGGATTGCAAATTCTCACGGCACGACATCCGCCAGCGAGTGAATGGAAAAGGCATAAACGCGGAGCATTTTCCATAAATTTCATCAGAATGCTCTGCATTAGCCGACGACACGGCAAGGTCTAAGGAGGAAATGGCCGGCATTTTTACGATTCTTCGCCAACACACAAAGTGATTCTGTGCTATAAATCCCATTTCTAGCACACAAAAGGCCAGTGCCAAAAGCAAAGCCAGCGTAGCCAACCGGCAATGCCGATGTCGCTTACAAATTGCAAACGACAGTTCCTGGTCGGGATAAAAAAATATTTTTCAACGCCGTCTCAAGCTTCATATTATTCTGCGCTGCTTTCTTTTCCTAGATGAATTCTAATAACTTTCAATGCATGTGTACACACATCATCTTATGATGCTAGCAGTAAAGTGCCCACCAGACAATGTGGAAATCGTGCAAGTAATAAAAGCATTTGTCAAGTTACCTTGGCTGCACATTTGGCTCGATTTTACTGGTGTGTTCACGGTTAAATTCTTAGAAAAAAAAAAAAGACACATTACCAAACGGACTCTCTCGGAGTTTTGCGCTGTCGCATTGCCAGTACAGAATTTGCTCATTGACCAAACTCTGCAACACGTGCCGTCCAACACAACACATTCTCGTTTCCGCTGCCAAGAGTCGCACCAGAGTGACACTGCTGCCTGCGACGTGCTGCCGTTACCGCAAAGTGACAAGATCGTCGGGCAACAGAGAGGACGACCGACTCGACCGATCGTTAATGAACACATTGCATCGACGTTGCCGCACTTCCTCAATGCGGCAGGGCCTTTAGCAACAGTGATAAAACCTTCGTCGATAACATCTCGTTAAATAAAATCGGCACGCCACGGCCGAGGGGGATGCCGTCGACGCACCTTCCGACGAAGCGACCAAAATGGGGACGTCAGGGCGACCGGCCGGGTCATGGCGATGGGGACGGCAAAGAATCGCCGGGCACTGCAACCGGTACGTTACACTTTTCCCGACCGACCGCCATTCGTTCCCGAGCGTTTCACGGCGGTCCTGAGCGGAGGACCGACACATAAAAGGAAAGGCGGGGACAAGGCATTCCGACGGAGCTTGCATTGGGGGTTCGACGACGCGGACGGGAGCGGACGAGATACAGCACCTACTTTTTGGCCAAAGGTTCGGTGCTACACGCGCTGCCGTTTCTACGCGACGCGCACCCCCAGTCGCCGCGATCATTCCGGCGGGGTCCGGGGAAACAACCTCGGTCGGCAGAAGAACGCCTCCGAGGGGGCGGGCTCCAAGGGCGCTCGCATGGACTCGCTCTCGGACACCCCCCGCTTTCTCTCGAGCGACGTGCAACTTTCGCTCACTTCCTCCGTCGCACGCATTAAGAAAACTCTGACGCCCAACGAACGGGAATTTCCGGGGAGGAAAGCGACGCCTAGGGCATGCGCTCGGTCGTCTAGCGCTCCGAATAAATTATCCGTTCTAGACGTCCTCCTTCGAAACGTGGGGGGTGGTGAGGGGAAGAGGGGGAGGGGTCGTGTGACCGTGGTGCGAATCGGAGACGTGGCTTAAAACAGAGGCGGGCTTTGCGAGGTGTTGGGAGCCACCCGCCCTGGGTGCATTCAGACGACAAGAAGACGGACGTGGCAATGAAGCTCGGAGCCGACAAGCGGCGGGGGGACACGAGAAGGACCAAATGGCGACGCACCAACAGTGGCGACATACAGTAAAAGCTGCGTGCAAGGGTGGGCGGAAGGCGGGCAGAGGGGAGGGAGGGGTCGGTTCCCGACGGCCGGCCCCTCCAAACAACATAGACGCTGCGTTCTATTCATAAAACTGGCAAAACGGCCTTTGACTAAAATGGACTCTCCCGACGGCTGCGTGTGGCCCTCTTCGAACCCGGGCATGGCAGGCAAGCCGGAAGCACCCGCAAGGAGGTGCTCGGGCGGCGTGGGAGCTGCGCCGCCGCGGCCGAAACCGGCGACCAAAGCGCACACGCTGCAGCTGCCCCTTGGCCAGCCCGGTCCGCTTTCCCCGGGCCGGCCCGGAGTTTTCCCGGGGCCGAGCTCAGGCGAAGTACATGACCTTCAGGGTCTCTGGGTGGATGGTGACGGCGCGCGCCAGCGCCACGACTGTGCGGTCGTCGCCGTTGCTCGACTGGTGGCTGCCTTCTCCACTGAAAAGAGAGACAACCACGTCAGGCGCTCCCTTTCTTGCAATGTCTGCACTCTGATACGCAAAAGGGCAAATGCTACAACCCCCGTAAGCTCTGGAGCAAGATGCATAAAAGCTCTCTGCGGGAGTTCGGTGCGAATTGCTCCGACGCACTTTAGTTGCCTCGGCAGAACTGCAATTTTACCATTTTCCAAGTCATGCTGAAACAAAATATGGTTGCTTGGTAAGAGGCACGCAACCTTCAAATAACTTGTTCTTTTGACTTTTTTTTCTCCCCCGTGGCGCGTTACATTATTTTTCTTACGAGGCCCATTTCAATTGTCGTTAGGCCTACGCCAGTAAGTGGACCCACCAGATGTCAAGCACAGTTTCTTTTAACTGAGACTGCACGACTCAATGCAATACGTGACAGCAATCACAGGTTGCACTGATGCAGAATCAATATATGCGGAGCAAACCTACGATCACTGGCTATCTTGACATTGACATACACACCGAGACAACCACACCGAAACAAGATGTGCCCGTTTTCTTTTCCTTTACCATTCGTAGAGCAATTTTACGACGGTCGTTTGACCATGACTGTCAAATGACCCTTCCAGTCGCTATATATGCGGGCAAAGCATTTCCCTAAGCTGCAGTCTTAGACTCGCATATTCGACAGAATTACGCCCAACTTATTCAACTCTTCGCCTTTGCGCTCGGCCTGTGTGGCCACAGCTACTGCCGTCTACTTTCCATTGTTGAGGGGTATTGCAACCGGCTCGATGCCCATCCAATAAGCTTCTCTACGGCATAAAGTTTCACGGTTAGGTGTATTCCATAAAATTTATTTTCATAATCGCCTCTTGCTCGATCAAATGATAACTTTCCCCATTTACTTCTTACCACATGTCGATCATCAGTCCCAAGCTCATTAACAATGACATTTCCCTCGTCCTTCCTTCCTTGTACAGTATTAGAACGGAACCAACTCTCCGGTTTGACTGCTACCATCACTGACCTTAACTTGTTCCGAAATACTCCAATTTCGGAACAAACTGATCCAATTTTTTTTGACTGTTTGTTTATTGTCATAATATAGCTTGTTAGTTATAGTTTTCCTCCTTTTTTTCAACTGCTCTCCCCCTTCATAATGCCTTCGGGCACTGAAGATACACGCAATAAATAAATATTAATAAATTAGTTGCCGAGATCGCCAGGCCCGCCTCGGACGCGCGATCAGATCGGCGTCCCCGGGAGATTGCCATTGCCAAAACAACCGCCGTCGGGTCGGACATGAGATTCGCTCAGGCGTCTCCTCGGCGGCCGACACCAAGACACCTGGAAGGCGATCCCGGGGGGTCCTCACCTGTCGTGCTCCTTCTCGACGAGGTGGTAGCGTGCCCGGAAGGCCACCAGGTGGGCGTAGTAGGCCGGGGCCGGGATGGACACCGACCGGGTGCAGCGCACATACGTGTGGCACAGCTGGTACGTCAGGCACTGCAGCTCATCCGCAGAGAACTGGTTGTCGTCCCACAGCACGTGGTAGTGCGACGGGCGGCTTGTGCCCTGCACGGGAGAGCGTGCCGCCGTCAGCCTTTCCCGCAGGGCTCGAGTCACGAGGATTATGGGCGTGTATTTGAGTCGCCATTGTTGGTTTGTACCGAACATAGATCATTCCAGTTGGTTGAGAACGAGGGAAATGAAGCCATGTTTGCACAGTTTCAACGGTACAGCCCACCGGAACTGCCCAATCGTTGAGAATGGCCAGTTTGTCGTCTGCTGTTGGGCAGGAGATCGAACTATAGGGGGCGCTCTGACCCGTTCGTTTCCCCATACCTCGGTGTTTACTCAACACAAGGCCTGTGCACACAGGGTGTCTACCAAGTTGACGTTTACAAATTACCCGAGTTTTCCAGGTTTTCCCCGAATACTTTTGTGAAATTCCCCGAGTGACACAGAACTTTATTTTAGGTCAAGATGGGCTGACACCATGTCGCCAGATGCTGTCACTCTCTAAAAAGCATATTATAAAATAAAAAAAAACATAATACAGTTTTAATGGTAACAAGTAACTTTTATAAGATTCAAAAACAAACAGAACGGAGTGGTTAGCAAAATTCATAGCGGATAAAATATAAAAAAAAAGGTAAACCGAGGTTTACGTTACGTTTACGCCCCTTAATGCTTCCTTAACTTTTTGCATTGACCTTCATGATGTATTAAACCATATTGTTGTAAGGTATCCGCATTCACCAATTTTTTTATTGGGAGAGTTTAATTATCTCAAAATAATTTGGACTGCTAATGGCCTGCTTATCTCTAATTTATAGAGTGAAGAAGCATTGTTTGTAAACGTTTGCACAGATTTTAATTTCTCCCTGCTTATAACTCAGCCCACTTGAACTGCAGCATCATGCGCCAGTATACTTGATCTGGTCCTGACGATTTCTCCGGATGTAGTTCACCGGTTAACATTATTACCTGGATTAAGTTATCACTACCTCGTTCATTTCACACTCAAAAAAGCTGTTAATCGTTCAATCAAAAACCCTAAATATATTAGGACCTGCAACAAGGCCAACTTTGATTGCATCAATAGAGAGCTCGAAATATTTGTGGATAATACATGCCAGGACTTCTTTAAATGAACCACAGAAAATAGCTGGTCCCAGTTTAAAGACAAGGTGGACCATTTAGTTAATAAATACATACCCTTAACGCATCGTTCCGTGCAAGCATTGTCCTGCTGGGTTCACCATATCGTTAAAGTGCCTCTTAAATAAGAAAAAACGGCTATTCCAGAGTGCCAAACTAAGTGATTAGCAAGAACACTGGACTGCTCATCACAACATCAACTTCTTGTTTAATGATGCAATCAAAAGGCAAAGCACATTTTTTTTTTTCTTTCATGACACACTTCCTTCCTTACTGACAGAAAATGCCAAAATATTCTGGAATGTAATTGGTTGCTCAAAGCAGAACTCAGTATCTCCAAATGATTGAACTGGTATAGCCCTTCCTTTTGCTGAATGTTGTTCACTATTGAATCAAGTGCTCTCCAAGTCGTTCTTGCAAGTTTCCTCTGTTTGTCTTTCTGACACTGGCGTTAGAAATTTCCCGCCTATGGATCCTGTTTCTATTGGCTGGGTTGGTGTAACGCACCTATTCATAAATTCAAAGCTTTCTTCCTCATCTCGTCAGGAACGGATGATATTAACTCCAAATTTTTGAAAAATATTGAAGTGTACTAATTTATTATTGTCTAATCTTTTTATTCCCAGTCACTAGGATCTTGTTTGGTACCGAGTGATCGGAACATGGGCAAGGCGGTTCCTTTATTTAAGTCTGGTGGTGTGCACTCACCACTTTAACTACCGGCCCATCTCATTAACTAGCATTCCCTGCAAAATTTTCAAACATATATTTTATTTCAACATGGTTAAATTCCTTAAAGGGAAGCTGAAACACTTCTTGAAAAAAACGAGTTAGAGGTGAATTCTGGCGTATTTTTATCCCGTGAATCTGAATATCACTTTTGTTTTCCCTGAAGATGCAACTAAAAGCGAGAAAAAGCGAAAAAACATTCGACCAGTCGTGACGTCATACTAGGATCTTCGGGCCGCCAAGCGCGTGTCGCTCGTGTGTTCAGCGCGTGCAACGCAAGCTTGCCAGGTATATTTTCCCGCACTGACACCAGTCGTGACGTCTCTTTCTGACCTTTCTGAAAATAGCAAGAGTGCGCGTGCATAGCTTTGATAGGCGCTGAAAATGCGCGAGAGCAGATATTCCGAAGGCTCCTAGTGTGACGTCACGCCCCGGGAAGGAGGGGCTTCGGCGGTACTTTAAAAATTAATTTCTGAAGCCCCCGTGCACCAAAATGAAAAATAATCTTGATATTCCTCATCCTGGGGATAGAATGAAGGCCATTGAAATGTTTTTTCTCAAATAGAGAACCGCTTCAGTTTCCCTTTCATACTAATTCATTCTTTATGTCATGCCAGCACAGATTCCACAAGTCATTCTCATGTGAGACCCAACTAATATCATTTACAAAATAACTTTTCACTGCTTTAGACAATGGATTTTACGTTGACTGCATATTCCTAGATTTGTCTAAAGCTCTCCATCTTCTTTCTCACCAACTAGTTTTTTTTTTAAGTGAAGCACACCAAACATTGATAGGCACATTATTGGTTGGATCGAACACTTTTTATTAGAGGTGTGCGAATATCAAAATATTTCGAAGCGAATCGAATCGAATAGTAAAGGTTACGAATCGAATCGAATCGAATATTTTCGAATACAAATATTTTTTATTTGATGTGAATCAACCAAGGATACTCTATCAAAAACGAACTGGGAATTCTTTTTCAGCAAACGTAATTACAAAAAGGTTAACTTTATTATGGCAATAAAAAAAATGTCACACATGTGACTGATAAAAAGACAGATAAAGTAATACTAGTAAAACACGATTTAGAGTATGAAGTTACAGAATGTTGTCATGAAGAAATGTAAGTTGTTCCACATGTTCTGGGAGCAGTGATGCTCTTTTGCTGGTCACAATTCCCCCAGACACTGAAAACAGGCGCTCGCTAGACACACTTGTGGCTGGTATGGCTAGGTACCTTCTTGCAAGTCGAGCCAACAGGGGGTATCTTGTGGCACCCTTCTCACACCACCACTTGCAAGGATCCTCTTCCCGAGCCAGGACGTCTTCATGCAAGTAGCTTGCAACCTCTTCTTCAGCTTGTGTCATTGAATGCTGCTTTTGTTTAATGAGGCTGTCGAAGTTTTGCCACAGCGCTGACCTGGACGGAACTTCAGGGGCCGCTGTCTCTGAGGGCGCCCCTGCGCTTCTTTGTGTCTCAGGGATTTTTTGCGCTTCCTCAACTCCCAGGTTCTTCAACCAGTTCCCCATCGACCTGTCCTCTTCGTAGACCACTGCCTTGAACCTTGGGTCTAGGAGCATTGCCAAGCTGGCTACTTGGTCAAATTTGTAGTCAGGAAATCTTGTCTTGAGGCACTTGGCCAGGTTAGATGAGAACGAGGAAGTTATGGTCTGCTGGCTGATGGAGCTGTTCAGGCATGCAAGGATGCAATACAAGATGGGTATTTGGGCTGACAAGGTTGGGTAGCTGTCAGCTCCAGCACTGGTCGTTGCTTCTTCTAGTGGCTTCAGAGTAGCAACGTAATCACTCATTTCCTTCCATTCTGTTCCGGTAAAGCCTTCAATTGACCCCGCTTCAGATGCAAGGTCAACGGTTACTGCTTCTCTTAACTCTAAAAGCCTGGACAGCATTGCACATTCACTATTCCACCTTGTTTCAATATCCTGAACAACATGCGGGGGGATCTGCCTATTTTCTTTTGGTAGCAGTTGACCCTTTCCTGAGCTTTTGGGCTATGTTTATAGTGCCCAACAATGCCTCTTGCTTTTTTACAAAGTACAGAAAGTCCTGGAGTCATCTCTTTCGCGTCGCTGATGACTAGTTGTAAGGTATGAGCAAAACAAGTTCTTTCACACCAAGGAAGTGCATGAGTGGCTGCTCTGATGTTGCGAGCGTTGTCAGTCACCACGTAAAAAGGGCAAACGTCCTTGGGAATGTCCCAGTCTGTGACAAGCTTATCAAGAATTGAGGCAATTCTAGCTGATGTGTGCTTGCCTGGGAAGTGACAGGTGCTCAAGTTGTAGCGAGTGAGCTTGAACTGCGAGTCCAGGAAGTGGCAGGTCAGGCTGATGTAGCTTTCGTTCGCTCTGGACGTCCACATGTCAGAGGTGAAGGAGAGAGACTCCATGCCACTCTCGAACGCATTCTGTAGTTCAAGTCGAACCTTCTTTCTAGTGTCGTCGTACAACTTCGGCACTAACGTGCGCGACAGCGTTGTTCTCGATGGTGGCAGGTAACCTGGGACTGCCTCCTTCAATAAATCCCGGAATCCCCGGTCTTGCACAATCGTGTACGGTTGCAGGTCGAGCGCAACCATCTTGGCAATCTTCAGGTCCAAAGCCTCCCGTTTCGCTTGCGGCAGTGCCGTTTTTCTCAACACATCAGCAATGCTTGGCTGATTAGCAGGCTTGACTTTAGCAGCTGCTTGAAACTCCGCATACTGATTGGCGTGCCGTTTCAAATGGTTCACGAGAGTAGTGGTCGTGCCTGATGGGGTTCGCAGTGAGCTTTCGCAAAGGTTGCAGACAGCTTCACCCTGGCAAACTTTTCGGAAATGGGTCCATACGGGACTTCTTGTGCTGGCAGGAGGTTGTGTACTCCGCCGTGGTTGTTGAGTTCCTGACGATTCCTGTCGTGGCTCCATCAAGCTCAAGCACCAGCAGACACAGACGAGCGCAACCACGTGAACGTAAAGCATGGCACACGACACGAGGGATGAAAACGTGCGCCTCGCGGCCACCACAGCCTCCTGCAGAACTAACCTTGCGCAATATATTTTCGTGTGCAATAGTTGTGCCGAGAGAGGGCGCCACGAAGAAGCTATAAAGCTAAAGACGCAATACGGCTATTTTTCGGCCGAGGCAGCTGAGGGAGCAAGTCTCACTTTGAGCGGTGAAAACGGGTAGAAATAAAATGAATACTGGAAAACTGATTAATCAGAAAATCAAGCGGAAAATAACTCGAGTGGCATGATCCATCATGGCAACGACGGTAACAACTGTACAAATTATCCCCGAAAGTAAGCCATAATCCATATCCAAATTCATAGCACTTTGGCCCCTTGGCCCTGTAGGCCAGTGGGCCAGTCTCTATGGGCTCTGTCGTTCAGTTGTGAGTGCTCGTGAGTGAGTGGCTGTAGTCCGTGGCGTTAGAGCTCACGACGATGTACGTGCCCTTCCAAATCGTAGCCCTTTATCAAATTTATCGCAGCGATGGCTCCGTACATGTTTGCGCCACTACCACTGGGCCATCTCCGCAATCCAGATATTGCGGCAAGCGAAGGTCAGATCGCGCTACCGCGTGCATAGAATTTCCACTTCCATTGCTTCGTACAAGAAATAACACCAAAAAAAGGCACTTAGGTTGGCTTTTGGGGTTTGCCAAGTTCGAAACTATACTGCGCAGCCCAAAAACAAACTGGGAACGTGACCGCGATTTGGGACTTACCAGCGAGTTTCGAGTTATTCGCAGTTTTCGAATATTTGAAGAACTCGAATACTTCGAACAGTAAAAGTGCGAAGCGAATTGAATCGAATAGCGGGCACTATTCGTGAAGTATTCGAAGTTTCGAATATTCGCACACCCCTACTTTTTATCTAACAGAACCCAGTTCGTAACCGCTAACTATTTTGACTCCTCCCCCTGCGCGGTCGGCTCTGGTGTGCCGCAAGGCTTTGTTCTCGGCACCCTGCTTTTTCTTATCTACATAAATAATTCAAATCTACCAACTCATCCATCAAATTATTTGCTGACGACTGTGTAGCTTTTTGTGTTGTATCCTCTAGTGCCGATACCTTCATACTTCAGTCTGACTTTAACAAAATTTCTACTCGGTGCGACACACGAAAAATGTGTCTTCATACTAATAAATGCAAAGTGACGCAAATCCCTCGCCATACTAATAGTGAAAATTATTTATACCACTGTAGGGTCTGTGCTGGAACAAGTGACGTCTTACAAGTACCTAGGTGTCCATATCACAGCTAACCTCTCCACGCATGCACAGCACGGAGCACGGCTCATTATGCTAGCCACGCGAAACTGCTCAACCTCGGCCAGTGTAGCTCACGCTACAAAAATTTTAGAGCTGTATTTACAGCGCAAAACGAATTTGTAGTTGGCGCCCGTGGGAGCCGCCGCTGGTCACACGGTAGGTCTGTGCACCGCCGTTCTGCATCGCTGCCGCCGCAAAATCACGCCGCTGCCGCAAGCTGAGCATTGTGCGATGCCGTTTCAACGCGTTTCTCCACGGTGCCGTCGCCGCACAAGTTTGTCCGTCTGCTTGCGCTTTTTCAGGAGTTTCCTTTGGGCTCTAAAAGTTACTTATTAAGATTTTTGTTATACTTCAGACAAAGATGAATAAGTTACTTTTAGAGGCCATAGGAAGCTTCCGAAAGAGCGTAGGCACCACGTGATAAATAAGGGCCACTTGTCCGCGGCGCCCGCGGGCGCCAACTACAAATTCGTATAGCCCCGTAAATATAGCTCTAGAAATCTTTTTCCTTCGTTGCAAAATTGTTTTATGATATCCCCTTTCCATCTAAGCTGTTTAAAAAAAAATGTTTTCTTCCTTTGCATATGTCCTTTAAAGCTTTTATTCTACAAAACTCTTGCCCATTCCAAATTGGAGTATGCTTCTGCGTATGGGATGTAAGCCTAGACTTTCTTACAAATAACCTAGAATCAATACTAAATCGGAGTGCACGCTTTATTTTGTCTATCTACCATCATGGATCAGGTGTTTCATTAATGAAAGCTACTTTAGACCTTTCTCATCTCGCTCTACAGAGAAACATGCTAACTAGCCATTTTCATAAGATTTATCATCAAAATCATTCACTGAAAAGCGAGCTGCTTTTAGAACCGGCATAGTTGTCATCCCGTGCGGGCCAGTCATAAAGTAGGTGTCCCTCACTGTCGCACTTACATGTACTTTTTCTTCATTTATTCCTAAAACAAGCAACGAATGGAACCGCCTGCCCACCTTGATCGCCACCTTAACCGATCCACTCAATTTCAAATCTGCCATTAAAACTTTAACCCCACCTGGATGCCCGCGTGGGAGCAGAGGTAGAAGTCGAACTCGGTCGGGTGGGTGATGCCCAGGTCGACCGTGGTTCCCGCGGGGATGTTGCCGCTCTTGCCAATCTGCTCTTTCTTGTCCGAGCAGAAGAGGCGCGTGTGGTGCCGCTTCTGCACCACCACGAAGGTGATGCCCGGCTTGTAGTCCGCCTCTAGCTTCATGCAGGCCTCCCGCACCGCCAGCAGCTCGTGGTGCAGCACCTGCTGGAACTGGCCCTCCGACACGCCGTCCCGGTAGAAGATGATGCGGTTCGGCTTGAAGCGTGTCGACTTGTAGAACTGGATCAGGAGCTCCTTCACCATCGAGGCCAGGTCCTGGATGATCTCCTGCCGGTGCTGCTGCACCCGCACCGTGGCCGCGTACCGGCTCGGGTGGGCGTCCATGCTGCCTACCACCTGCGCCGACAGACCGTTCGGAAAACGGCGCCCCCGTCGCCTCTGCCGCACGCGGCGGCAATTTTGTTGTACGCCACGTGAACGGAAGAAGTTATGTATCAGTTCGGCGTTTTGGTAATTTTGAAACACGAAGAAGGCGGGACCAGAGTTGCTGTGGTCGCCGACAAAACGAGAAAGGCGGGGCACATCTTTCGAGTGCCCGGCCTCCAGCCTGCGCTTCGTGCCTACCACCGTTCTTTGGCTGTGCACACGCGCTCGGGGCGACTCCGAACCGTTGTCGAAGGTAGGACGCATGTCACAACTGTTCTTTTCGTTGTCCTCCATATGTAGCTGTTGTTCCCATCATGTTAAAGGTAGGAAGCACGCGCCGGAGGTGGGACAACCAAAGGCCCTCCCTGCCGTTCTCAACTTGTCGGCAACCATAAAAGAGCTACGATCAGACTGTGGGCTTTCACACCAGGTAGCTAGGAACGTAGGGGTTCCCCGAGCTTCCAAATTTCTTGTCAGGCGTCTCTGCCCCGAGCGAAGCATCCATCCAGTTTAAAAGCTACTTCAGCCGACGTGAGCCACCCGTCGACGGGCACCTATGAGCCAAACGCTTCCTATACTCTGCAACAACTTTTCTTGGCAACGCAGTGAAGAGGAGGACGGCCTGTGCACAGCTTTATTCAGCGCTCAAAATGGGGGAGGGAACGCATGCCTGTACCCTCCATTGCATTTCCAAGAAAAGTTGTCACCGAGTATAGTGTGTGCATCATTGTTTGCAATGTTCCCGTAGGCTTCTGCGGTACTTCATTGCGTTAGTGCCGAGGCCGGGACGGATTCCTCGACCGTCGATCGAGACCAGAGCAAGGAAACTTGAATAGCGATGGGAGTGCATTCAATACATGAGGGAAAATGAAAAAAAAAAAAAAAATGAGACGTTTACAATTTTTTGTAATGCCAAATAAGAGTGCAGCTCTTGAGGAAGAGGGGGGGAGGGTATGGACAGGAGGGTATGGCCCTCCTCCTTCATACCTTCTCCTCCTCCCTCTCCCCCTTCCTCTTCCCCTCCCTCGTGAAGCCACACGTGAAGGTTGCACGAAAGAAGGTCATGCGAAGGTTGTGACCTTCAAGTGACCTTTGTGACGCCACTCGTGACCCTAGTGACGCAATTATGGAAAACGTCCCATAATGCAACGTGCGGTTACGCCAACGGTGACGCCGCTCAAGCTGGAAACGGGCACCTAAGAGCCGCGTTCTAAAATTTAAAGTATGTCGTGGGCGGTTCGTTCACTAAGCGAGTAATACGGTTCATGCTTGCCAAACCAATCAACCGCCTGCCTTTCAACACCTGACCTTGCTCTGCAAGTGGGAATGGGTGGGAGCACGATCACATTGCAAAAGATTGACATACGACAGATTCAATGAACGCGCACAAAGCTTACATTGCCCTAGCAGCTTAGCGCTAAACGGGGCATGATCAGAAAACGAGTGTGAATTGAGGGTTTTGTTTTGTTTGCAGTTCAGGGTGTGCAAACTCGAGGTAATATGTTCTCGTGCCCGGGACCTGCGAGGGTCGACAGTGGTGTACCTTAAGGGGGGACACGGGCTCCGATTCCCGATTTTTTTTTAAAAAGTGCATTTTTCAAATTTGTTATATCTGATTTCAGAAACTAATAATGCACCCTTCCATAAAATTTCATGCCCGTACGTCGAGTATTTAAGCAGATATAAAAGATTTTCGACAGGTCGGCGACGCGCCTCCTATCCCCGAGTCGTTCCGTCGCGCGATCGGTTGACAATATTCGCCATTTTCAAATGCCGACCGCTCCGCGCCCATTTGGCCTACCGCGATGTTGATACCCTCGTTGGAAGCGTCGTTTCTTCGGGCTTTTATGACGATAGTAAACTTTGTTCGAGAGTAAGCATGAACAAAGCCAGAGCCCTCTAGTTGTCGGCTATAATTGGCTTAAAAACGAAACTCAAGCCTGGATTGGTCCGTGACACCCCACGTGATCCGCTCGCCCGAATTGTTGTTTCGTCTCGTTGCTTCGGCCGAACGTTCGCTTCTTTTGCTTGCTCGTTATATATTCCTCACAGTTTTATCGTTTTATCTACGGTCTCGTCGCCGCGATGCCGGCCGTTAAACGGCATTCCCTCCAAGCCTTTGGAGCTCGCCGCCGTTCTGTGAAACCAAGAGGCTCGTCAGGTGGACGCGTACGATGCGCTAACCCTAACGGAACCACGTCGGACGCGTCAGCTGCTTCGCTCCCGAGCGCGTCACCATCTCCCGGTTCGTCGCTTCAGGACCTGACCTCTGAACAACCAGCCGACGTTTCTTCGTCTCTTCCTGAAGATTATGAGGTTGTGGAGGAGCTCACGGCGATAGAGCGCAAGATCTCGCTACTGCAAGAGAGCGATCCCGCTGCGGATCCCACGGACGCTCCCGCTGCTCCCGACGGTGCCCCAACCGAAGGTTATCGTCTGGTTGCTTTATCTGCAATCGAGACACTGGTGTCCGCTCTTCTGTGCCCAGTGTGCCGTGGATCAGACCTTCAGCTAAGCGAGAGTGGCAAGGGAGTTCAGGCGCAATTCGTCGTCGTCTGCCCAGACTGCGTTGACGTTGCTCGGACGCCGCACTCGTCGACCATCGGACACTCGCGGCAGAATGAATTGGCAGCACGGATTTCTCTTGCGTCTCGTGAATGTGCAATCGGATACACGAAGCTTACGAACTTTTTTGCCGGTATCAATGCTCCTTCGCCCATGCATCTCCGATCTTATCAAGATCTGGGAGAAAAGGTCCACGACGCCTCAGTGAGAGCAGCCAGCAACGTAATGAGCAAGGCAGCAGAAGCTGTACGAGAAACACGCGAGTCAGATAGCGGCGATTTGATGGACGTTTGTGTGACATACGATGGCACTTGGCATAAGCGTGGGCACACTTCACACTTTGGTGTTGGAGTTGCCATCGAGCTTGAGACTGGACTAGTTTTGGACTATTCTGTCCAGAGCAATTATTGCCATGGATGTAGCCTTGGACCTGCGCAGGGATCTGACAGCCATGAAGACTGGGCCGAAAATCACAGGGCAGTATGCCAGAAGAATTTTGCTGGGTCTGCAAATGCGATGGAGCTGCAAGCAGCAGACGAGATCTTCCGTCGGTCCGTCCAACTCCACAACCTGCAGTATGTGACAGTGCTGTGCGACGGGGACAGTAAAGCCTTCAACCATGTTGCGGGACTTGATCTTTACGACAAGGGCATGAGGAAAGAAGACTGTGTGAACCACGTCGCCAAAAGAATGTATGCTGGCATGGAGGCCCTAAAGAAAACAAAAAAAGGTCTCGGTGGAAGGGGCAAACTAACGAACCTTGTCATGAAGAAATTGACCAGCTACTATGCATCTGCACTGAAGACCAGTGCCCCAGATGTTCCAGCCATGCAGAAGGCAGTGTTTGCCAGCCTCCTCCACAGCTACTCCACCGATGAAGAGCCCCGGCATCAGGCCTGCCCTCATGGAGAACATTCCTGGTGTCACTTCAATCGCCAGAAAGCGCTGGAGGCAGCAGGAGAGCCGACGAAGCCACAGCCACACCGCCCTGCCTTCTCCAGAGACATCGCAAAGGAGTTGGTGCCCCTCTACAATAGACTCTCAAGGCGGGACCTACTCGAGAGGTGTGCTAGGATGGGAACGCACAACAACAACGAGTCGTTCAATGCTCTGGTGTGGAGGCGGTGTCCCAAGACGGATTTCGCCTCTCGAAGAACTGTGGAAACTGCCGTGGCTCTTGCCGTCCTGGAATTCAACCTGGGCCCCAAGGGCTTTGAGAGGGCCCTTCATGAAATGGGAATCGAACCCGGAAGCCACCAGGTTCAGCACGCTGACAAGGCCCTCCAAGCCAAGGTCTCCAAGGCGAAGCAGAAGGCCCTCAACTCTTCGAAAGTGGCCCATAAGCAAAGGAAGCTGGCAGCAATCGCCAAGGCACAGAGGGACCAGGGGAGACCTACTCTGCCGGCGCCTTTTAGTGGACACAGACTGGGCCAAACTAATAAAGTAAAGGTGCTCAATGTTTGAATGCGTTTTTCTCAGTTTCACTTTTTTGCTGCAAACTTTGTAGCAAGGAATCTATCGTTTGATGGTAAACATATCCAGGTGCCTCGTTCAAAGTGTTTCTGAACTGAAATTTACTGGGGAATTGGGCTATCTACTTAATTTTGTTTTAAGTTGAAGTCATCACTGAGAAAAAGTGACATTTTGGCAAAATGGCATTCAAAGAAAGTGCATATCATTTTTGGAGACAGAATTTCTCTCCGAAATATTTACATTTTAATCATACAAATTAGATAGCCCAAAGCCACATACCCTCTACTTCATATCCAAGCAATAAAAACAGTGGTTTAACATTTCATTTTCATACGATAGATTTCCTAAGGAAAGGTGCCACAGCCTCGTACACAAATATGTACCGTAAAAACCCGCATATAATACGAACTTGCGTATAATACGAGGCATGATTTGAGGACCGCGAAGAAAAAAAAAAAGTTTTATCCGCGTATAATATGAAACAATTTAAGGACCGCGAAAATATTCCGCGTAAAATGCAACCCAGGAAGTCTTAAGAAAAACATATATTTGCGTCGTAATTGAACCTTAATCACTGTCATCACTTCCATCAGACTTTTTGTCCGATGCCTCCTCCCTAAGGTAGTCGTCTTTAGTGCCGTCGAGCACATTTGAAATTCCGTACTTCTTGAAAGAGCAAGCGACGGGCATGCACCGACGCAGTGAAAGCCCGGCGCGGCGTATAAAGCGAACAACCCAATGTACCCAATGTCGGCTCATCAAAGTTCTCTGGCCCTCTCTTGCAGCAGCTTGATGTCTACGGCGACGTGCCGTTCACGTTGCTCTTTTACAAAGTCGCCGAGATTTGCCTCGACGTCGGCGAGCACGCCATTTTTTGGGCCTCCAAAGTTTCTTCTCGTTCCGCTGCACGGGAACAGAGCTTGCTTTCGTCGTCTCCATCCGCGGATGCCGCCTTCATTTTCGGCGAATTGTCGCCCGGCAGCACTGTTGCCGATGTCTTCCGCAACCAAAATTACTTTTCTTTTGAAGGCGGCCGAGCATCGTTATCGGCGATTCGCCCCAACGCCATTGCCTAGCCTGACCGTGGACACATGGTGGCTTCTCGGACATTGTGATTTTAATGATGATGATAGCTGTTTTGAACGCCATATTGCTACGAAACCGAAACCATGTCAAACTGCGTCAGATCGCGCCTCATAGAAGCTGAAAATTGTTGGGACCCACGTATAATACGAACCGCAAATTTTACATGGCAAAATTTGAAAAAAAACCTCGTATTATATGCGGGTTTTTACGGTAACTTTTTACATAATTCCCCTATAGAAGTCAAAGTTTGCACAGTGTCCCTGCATCTGCTCATAAATGCACTCTCCAAATTTCGTTAAAATCGGACGAGGAGTTCAAAAGTTAATAATTACGCCAGTGTCTCCCCTTAACCTACCGCGGCAATGGAAGGCTTCTTGTTGTCGCCGGCCGGCGGGTGTGTGACGTCCGCACCCAGGAAGATGACCGGCTCGTTGAAGACTTTGGGCCTGATGCTGGGCACCAGGATGCTGTTGATACCGCCCAGCTTCACATTGATCTTGAGGCACAGGTTCGAGAGGGTCTGGGGAGACGTCTTGTTCACGTTCTTGGCCTGCACGCACTGCGTCGCCATCCCCAGCACCGTGTCCCCCACACGCTTCACCTCCGCTGCAAGGGACCCACAACATGCCATACGGTCAGCTCCAAGCGCTCACCACGAGCCCAAGGTCGAGCGTCAAAGAGATTGCAGACGAATGACCGCTAGATTACAATCAATTTCAAAAAGATACAGTGACGTCTCGTTAATGTGGACACCTTGTTCTTTAAAAAAAGTGAGTAGTCGATAACCCAGTTCTTCCCCAAATATGTTGTCTAGATAGAGGGGCATCCATATTAGCGGTGTTCGTAATAATGAGACACGACCATACTATCCACATTATTTACTGCTACGACTTTCAAGCTTGCACTTTCCTTTGTTCTAAAAGTATCACAGAAGGAACACAAAACAAGGACAAATTTGTAGCATCCGAGTAGTCCAACTATGTGCATATCTGCCAACCCTGCAATGTTGAAATTCAGCCGAATAATAGGGGCAAGGTCGACTGCAGCTGCAAAAGCATGCTGTTTAAAGCACTGCAGCACTAAGCTTTGCGCGTCCGTAGCCATTTCGCCGATGATGCTTCACATTGCCCCATTTCGAAAATGTCTTCCTAAATAAGGCTCCAATGTGGTGGGACACAGAGGAAAAGAAGCCCTATGTCACTTAAGACTGCCCCCCCCCAGCTAACATGGATGTCCACGATCAGATCAATACTGCCTAGAAGACGAGGCCTGCGCATTACGACATTCAAGTGGCTCTTCAACCTGCCCCAAGCGGCAAACACACTAAAGCTCAAAGAGAAGATGCCGCAAAGTGCAAGATGTATGTCTCTGCGCCACTTTGCGTCTTGCACTCTGCTGCTGACCCGTTTTCACAACGATAGTGGTTATCGGCAAGGTTTCACAATGGCAGGGTTTCAAAACAGCAAGGTTTCGCAGCGGCAAGGGTTTCGCAGCGGCAAGGTTTTCGCAGCGGCAAGGTTTTGCGATCGTGACTGGAAAATTTCTTCGCTAAATTTGGTGGGATAACTGCTCCGCTAACTGTCATGATGGTATGTGATGTTGTGACACTGCAACGTAACGCAACAACATGTCGCATTACACTATGATGAAAAGTGACATCATAATGCAATATTGTGATGTCATGGCACGTGACGCCACTATGTTACATGATGCCATGACATCACGGCACCATAATGTGACCATCTGATGTCGCGGCATGTGACGGCACAATGTCACGTGATGTAGTGCTGTCACATGACATTTTGATGTCACAGACACTATTATGTCACGTGATGACATCGGGGCGTCTCGGGACGTCTCGGCAGGTGCTGCACCGGGAGAAAGAGGAAGAAATAATGAGGAGCAAGTACCGTAGACGGGGGTCTTGCCCGGCAGCACGACCACGACCAGCTGCAGGCCCTGGAAGGTGGACTTGAGGTAGCGGAACATGGGCTCCACCTGGTCCGGGCCCGTGGCATACTTGCAGAAGCAGGGCTGCCCAATGATGGGCATGCCCGCGTCGTTGCTGATCTTCTGCAGCTGCTGGGTGAAGTTGCGCAGGGCGTCCTCTCGGCACGTGCGCTGGGGCGCAAAGCAGGCGATGGCCCAGATGCGGATCTCGACCCCCGTGTGGAACTGCTTGCCCCGCATGTCCCACACCCCTTGGTTCGGGATGGCCTGCTGCTTGGTCCGCCCTCCATACTGTAGCTTTGGAGGAGGCAGAATGCGACCTCGTACCTCCATCATAGTATTACTGATGGAGAGACCAAACTCCTGCACGTAGGGGTCCGTGTTGAAGTCCGCCTTGCGAACCTGCATGAAGGTTGGGGAACGGGCCCCCCAGACACAAATTAGCCCCGCGAGCCTGCCTCCCCAACAGAATGTCGAGCGGAGTAGCTTCAATAAATAAATGACCACTACCGTTGGCTCAATTTCTGGATACTGTAACTCACTCGTACCAATGTGACAGTTGGAACAGACTCAGCTCAAACAGCATAAATTGATAGGGTGAATTTATTTATGTGCAGTGACAGCAACCATTTTGAGACAAGGTTGAAGAGGGTGTACAATTAAAAATAATTCAAAATAAAAGGTTCCGTGCTTTCAGTAAATACCAACCCCGAAAATTAACCCAATGGGTGGTTTTATATAAATCGGGGAAAAACTGATAAACCTTGATTTGCAGCTGTCCTGGAATGTAAAATACATTAAAAAAAAATTGTGTCTGGAGCTTTATTTTGTGTTGGCCTAGAATGCAGCCAACATTGACTGTCCTCAAGGTTTTTATTTGTGCCAAAACCATGCGTCATATTTTGTAAATTTGTTTTTCTTTTTGGTGTTGGGACTTTTTTTAGGTACTCATGCTGAGTGTTGTTCTCCACAGATGAGAGAATTCCTTGCCCGAGGCCCATTCTCTTCAACAGAAGCCCTAATTTTTCATAAGAGAGCAAAAATTGATACCGAAAAGCTCGGAATCTGTGAGAAAAAAGAATACCCGAAAAAACAACCCCGAATTCGGAGAAGAATAAACCATGAAAATGCAGAACCCTAACCATAAATGAGGAAATGCACAATAACTAGGAAAAAGAACTTGCAAAAGTAACTCTAATGCTGACGCAAATTCTTCTTGGGCGAGTCATTTTCGTACTGTAAGTGGGGGGAAAATGCTTTTATTTGTTAATGACACGTGCAAAAAATTGCAAGACGCTGGGCCCGTAGCAATGTACAGTAATTGTGCTTTAATGTGCATGACATGTTCCACAACGGGAATTAATTGCACAAACCCGTCGCACAAAAAGCATGCATGCTACACTGTAGAACAGCTTCGGATGCATAATTCTGCAAGACGTCCGAATGTTGACTTCCGACCAATTACACAAACAGGCAATTCTTTTTTTTTTTGTCCATTCAGCAAAGTGCACGGCCTGTTGCCGGCAGGCCCAGGCAAGCTTAGAAAAAGACAAAGGGGCACTCACCAGATTGTTGATCTCCCGCTCTCGATCCGGCGCAGATCGGGCCGTTGCCTGAAACAAAGGCAGTCCCGTCAGGTCCCCCCTCCAACCCCCTCTACATGACCACATCAGAGGGAGAGGGCGGTGCCATGCCTGCTTCCATCAGACTTCCCTAATGTCCCTAGGCAGACTGTCCCACCTGCACTCCCCTAAGGATTGACTGACCTCAGCCAAAGTGCTCATTTTTAAGGATACAACCTCAAACTTCATAATTTCCAGAAAAAAAAAAAAAAAATTTTTTTTAATGTTTATTTTTGGTTTATTAACTCTCATAGCATAGTTTCAAGAAGTTTCATTTAGAAATATGCGGGGTTTATTTCACAAAAAAAAAGATTTTCATCACGGTCGCGGCTACACGCGACTAAAGCCCCTGAATAAGAAAGGTAGTGACATCATCTCCCTCCTCCTCTGACGCGCACACCTTTTATCTTTGTTTTGCTTTTCTACACCCGCGCGTCGACTGTAGCGCCACCTGGATCGGCCCAAGATAGTAGACGGCCTTCCTATACTTGAGTCAAAGCGCAGTCAAAGACCGAAAGACACACGAATACATACACAGTCTAAAAAAGCATTGTCACGGTCTAGCAGCCTCGAAGAATTTGCTCAAAATGGCTATGAAAGCCGTGACGTTGCACAGTTGGCGTTATTTGATTGGCGACATGAGCTCATAGCATGCACTGCACTCCGACAGCATAGGCATTCCTTTTCCCTCCTCCTCTGACGTGCACACCTTTTATCTTTATGTCTTGCTCTTTTACACCTGCACATCGATGGTAGCGCCGCCTGGATCGGCCCAAGATAGAAGGCGGCATTCTTCAAAGAATGTCGCTACTTTTCCGTATAAAAGGGCTTTACACGCGACGTCCCGCTGAGCGAGACCACTGCAAAATGTGGCGTTTTCTAACTAAGCCTACTCTGCGCTCGTTCGACGCAGGCAAAACGTTTTACCCTCGTTGGAAGCTCCATTTCTTTTAGTGTTTGCCGTTAAAAGCCATCTGTGCTAGATGGTATCTGTGGCCTGGGGGAGCCCAAGCATCGAAGCAGAAAAAACGAGAAAAAAAAAAATGATGTCAAATGTCACATGCCTCATGCGTCCAAAAGCTTTCAGAATAATGTTATTTAGAAGTTTTAAGATGAAAAGACACGGAGGTGGGGCAGGATTGATGTTCCAAATACACGCACATACCCATAGTTTTCTTAAGGAAAACCGTTTCCCGGCGCAAGTTACACCGACAGATTGTGGCGAAACCTGGTGTGGCACGTACCTTGATCATGGTGGACGTCTGCATGTCCGTGAGCTTCTTGATGCACCGCTGCCCAGCCACAATGTTGCACACCTGCACAGCCACAAAGGGTAAGGGTTATTCCTCTCTCCGGAGTTCATGTTGCCCTTGAAGACAAGGTTGTTTAGCAAGGCGGGTCTAGGTAAACGTGATGCCAGTGTGATGCTCCTCTTTGTGCCGATAGTAAGAGCACCGCAGTACAAGAGCTAGCTCGCATGGCCTGCGAGCGTGGTAGGCTCTTAACTTGTGACAAAGATGTGACAGAGCACATCTTTGTCACATGCGACAGAGCGACAATGCGACAGAGCGACAATGCGACAATGCGACAGAGCACAAAGAAAGCAACTGAAGATTTTTGCACGTTTACTTTTAAAATTAAAATAATGCCCAAACTAGCAGTATGGTGAAAAATAATGTTCTTATCCGACGCAATGGCACTGCAGAATGAAAACTTGCTGTGCCCATGACTTGCAGTATCAAACGGTTTGTTACTTGTGCTCGCATGTTTATCGAAAATTTTTTTAAATAAAATTTTATCGGGACATTAAAAAAAAGACCATTCACTCTAAATGTTTATCGTAAATATCGTCACCCCGGGTGGGCAAGCATTTGAGATTTCACGGTGCATTTGTTCACTCCTACGCCTCCATCACTAAGGAATGAAATGTACTTCAATTAAAGGGACACTGAACTAAAAAAAATTGTAGAGACTTTCTACGCAGCATGTGAAGATGAACCACCAGGGAAGCTGTTATCTTTACGACGTCTAGGAGGATGCCTAGAGATGATAACAAGGAATCAGTACCTCACTATCTAATAATGCCATAAAAAGCTGACTCACACTGGTTGCCCCCTCTTTTTGTTTTTATTTATTTATACTTGTCATGACCAAAGGGGAGTTTTCTGTCGACATGTGAGGACACATTTTTTCCCAGACCTTTGTGTATAACAGCTTTGCTGTAAAAAAAACTTTTTTCAAGTCCGTGGATATGACACATTATTGCAACCAGTGACGAAGTCAGCTTTCCAACCAATAATAAATAATAAAAAGAAAAGGATTTACCACAATGTTTGCGAGACTCATTTTTAGTTCGGAGTAATTCTGAAGCATGCCTGTATGTCGAGTTGATGCCTCAAAATAAAGCATACAATAAACAACTTATTTCTCGCAGGCTCAATATTTCGCGATTAATGTCAAAGCTGAAGTTTTGGTATAATTTGCAGGCTTTAATTTTCGCGACGCGGTGGGATCTCAATATGAATTCCAATATGTTTACATTTTACTGGAATTGTTCGCGGGACCTATTTTTCGCGTATTGTAGGCGATTCGCGAAATTCGCTAAAATTAAGTCCTCGCAAAAATTAAGTCGTTTACAGTATTTGAAAATCTCTCCCAACTCCAAATGAGTGTCTTAACAAAAACATTAGTTCAATGTTTTTGCACCAAACAGGCAAGAAAAATAAGTTTTTTCTAGTGTTCACTGTTTTACAACGAAGCTGTTATACACTGGGGTCCGAGAAAAAAATGAGTCCTCACATGTTGACAGAAAAATCCCCTATTGGTCGTGGGAAGTATGAATACCTATATAAAAATAAAAAGAGGGGGCAGCCAGCAAGAGTCAGCCTTCCTTGGCACAATTAGAAAGTGAGGTCCTGATCGCTTGTTATCATCTCTAGGCATTGTCCTTGAAATCGTCCTAGAAGTCATCCTCGAGGCCGCCCTAGATGTCATCCTCAAGGCGTCGCCCTTGAGGTCGTCCTAGACCTTGTCCGCTAGGCGTCGTCCCTGAGGTTGTCTTAGAAGTCGTCCTTGAGGTCGTCCTACCCGTCGACCTCTAGGCATCGTCCTAGACGTCTTAAAGATAACAGCTTCGCTGGTTTTCCATCTTCACGTGAAGTGGAAGGACTCTACAATTGTTTTGCTTTGACATGTTTTCGGCTAAATCAGAACTTGTGAAAGGTTTTAAAGCGGCTAAAGTTTTTTAATGCGTATTTCAGAGCTGAAAAGGGCACCCACCTCGAGGGGCAGGTAGGTGTGCTTGTGCTCCTGCCCCACTTGCAGGCAGGGAAGATGCGGGTACCTGCACACACATCGGCACCCTATCAGAACCAAACGGGGACGCAACGCCATTGGTCGGCGCATGGCGGTGCTCGCAATGCTTGCATTGCACCCAGCCCGGTCACTGTGTACTGCTGCATTCTCGACGTTACAAGCCAAAACTGCTGCGAATTCTACGCCGCTCGTGCTGCATGCTTGCATTAGAAATTCCAGGTTTTACTGCTGCATAATTTGCAGACATCTTCATTCTCAAAAAGCAGTATGTTTGCTGGTATTTGGAGACCGTTAAGAGCCCTACTACTTGGCGTTTGAGACGAAAAAAAACACAGTATTCGTTTGGCCATTGATATGTGCAACAAGCTCGAGTCGATACCTACATAAGCCAGTGTGGCGTTGTGCCGATCATTTTAGAGCGGCCAAACTATTCGGGTTTTAATGCGTTTCTGTTGTCCAAGAGAAGCTGGCTGTTTGTATTGCAAAGGTTCTACTCCCATGCTCGCTTGTTCGGCGGTTCTCACGGAGAACAGTGCTAACCGTTTCCCCTCTTTCTGTTACAGTGTGTATGTTATGGGCTCATTGTTACCAGCTCATAGGCCTCAAAGTGAAATACTGGTTATTGGAGCCTTTCGTGGTTGTCGCTAAAGGCAGCAGACCCAGCTGTCACATCATTCAACCTGTTCGCCGAAGTGAACAAGCAAAACTCACTTCAATCGCTTTATTTCAGACAATCCGAATTTTACGTTAAATTTAATTACCGAATAGGGTACTGTACATAAATTCAGCACCGAGAAGAGCAGCACAATTACGACGCATTTTATTTGCAATGATTATAGCGAAAAAAAGGTATTGGCTATGGCACTTGGTGTTCCCCTGTTGTTTGGCCGTAGAGCACACATGCCAAGTCGGTTCTGTACAACGTCAGTTTCGTCTTATTGTTACATCACAAATAAGCGGGACCAGTAACAGGACGCTGTTTGCGGCACTAGACATTCCAATGCAGGCATTCACATCCGACACACGAAATGCCAGCTTAATTCTCTCTCGTGCTCCGAGGCAGCACAAAGTGGAAGGCAGACATGCACTTTGGTTGGAGGTTCGGTCCGTCAAGAGCACAATCCAATGTTAGGCATTGACGCTCATTGCTAGGGCCGTGCAAATAGTGGTTTGAATCAAGTAGCACTGCGTCACGCATAAGTCTCACAGCGAGGGAAAGCCACGACAACCGGATTTTAACACGGAAAGTGTTTTATGCGGCGTTTTCTAGAAGCAAATTGCCATGAACAAGCGTCATGACCGACTTACAAGCTGGGAGAGTTACAGATGTTAAAATTACGTATAAGGTTGGAGCCCCCCAGCAGGGCTTGCACCTGGGTCAGATGCTATAGCCACTGAGCTACTAGTGCAGCAGGTACGAAAGGGTCAAGGTTTTAATTTGAACACAAAAGTGTTGGTAACAGCGGCATGTTTTGAATGTAAAGAACAAGTAAAATAAATATTAAATAGAAAACAAATATGGTATTTCCTAACGTATAAGTCGCGGTTTTTTTTCAGACATTTTTCTTGGTGCGTCTCATACAACAATGCGACATGTATGCGGGGTTTTTTTCTTTTACACTCACGGCACAATGCTATTTTTTATGCAACGCGCGCCATCTTTCGTAGAGCACCGTGACTATGTAGCCACAGGTGGCGTTGCCCCTTCCAGGAGGCACTGCTGTCGCCGCACTTTTCAACAGTTTTCGTAACTGACCCAGAAAGCGAGAAATATTACGGTATCCTCGAATAGGCTTAATCTGGACGGGCAAGAGACTGAGAACAAAGCTTTTACAGCATGTGATCAATGTTGCCCGATTCAACCATGGTTCAATATTCTTTTGCTTCAGTCCAGTAACTTTGAAAGGTAAGTGGACTGCTCTACACGCATTGCAGAAAATGTTGTCGTGTTTTTTAGTTTTTGTTAGATGAGCAGACTTTGTCTGCCATGCTCCAACCGTGTTGCTGCATGCAAAAGGGAGGATTGCAGCTAGCCAATCTTTTAGCGGCACCAAAAGAAGTTTTTCAAGATTTATCTGTCTGCCTGTGCGTTGATGCTCGTGTTGTGTCCGTGACTTCTCCTAGGCTAGGCCTAGTGGTCCAAAGCTTAATTCACGAGTGTCTCGAATGTCAAACTTTCGTTCGCTCAGTACGATAAAGTTGACTGGCTACCTTCTCATGTTGCATGTTTTAAGCCCCTTTGCTGCAAAACACCCGAATGCTCCTGCCAGACAGTGCTGTGCTTTGGGCATTTCATGCAAGGCGAAACATCGAAGTTGCTGCGCACCAAACGGTATGTGTGAACTAACTACCGAATGTGCAAAACAATGATTTTGTAATACCGATGCACGTAAAAAGAAAGAAATTTATCGCGTGAACCGTGCAAAGAGCTGCGACTTATAGTCCAGAAAGTATGGTAAATAAAAATAAAATAAATAAATATGAAATAAAACCAATAAATAAGAAATAAAAGTAAAATCAAAATGGAATAATAAAGTAAACATGAATTAAAAAATAAAATAAAAAATAGATAATAAAAGCACACAAACACCCGAGAGCAGCACAAGCCGTCTGTTGTGCAAGCTCGCGGTGAAAGGAGATGCCCAAACAAAGCCGGAAGCAACGACAGTGCCACGCAAGCAGGACGCAGGGGGCTGCCTCAACGAGACAGGCCCCCCCGTGCCATCCGAGAGCCGGTGCAGGCCAGAGCGTGCCAGGACGTGCGGGGAAGCACTCACCGCAGCTTCATCTTGTACTTGTCGAGGAAGTACTTGGCCACCGTGCACTCCACCGTCTGACCATTCTCCAGCTGTAGTGGAAAACTGCAAGAAACACCACGTGCCAGGCTTACTCGTGCACCCTTCAGACCAACTTTTGCTCGGTGACCGCCGCATTCAGACTAGCAACTGCAGACTCTTCTCGGCGTACCGCCAGCTCTTGCCCACCAGCCACGTGCCACAGCGGCTGATGGCCCTAAAACCGGCAACCCGCCGCAAGGGGTTTGTCGCTTGGATGGCCTAAGTCACTGCAGTCGAGCGCAGAGGAAGCGTGCGACGGGTGTACCCCTCCTCTGCACTTCCTCCGGTCAATGGGAGGCTCACAAAAGGGTTCCTATTCCTGACGTCACTGTAACACCGAACTCGAAATAACAGTCGCTTCTGAACCGGCGCTCGCGATAAGGTGAAAATCACTCGAAGCTCCAGATGTGTCTCGCAACGTAAATAGCGTATGAATAAACTCATTGTCTTTTTCCGGAGAAAGTGCACCCTGTAGTATTGGTCTACGGCATGATTTGTGTCTAATTGAGTTATTCTGTTCTAAGTTTATCTATACAAATAAAACTCTCACGGTGCACCTCTTAGGCACCCTTTTCCGCGTTGAGCAGTGTCAGCGTCAATGTAACCGCGCACGTTGCATTATGGGACGTCACAGTTTCCCCACTAAATTTAGCGGGGAAACTGAATTGGTGTGGAGGTCACGTGACGACAGTTTTACAGCTAATTTTAGCGGGCAAACTGAGTGCGCACAGTTGCATTACAGGATGTCGCAGACCTACATACCAATTCAGCTTCCCCACTAAATTTAGCGGGGAATTGAATTGGTGTTGAGGTCACGTGGCGTCAATTTTCCAGCTAAATTTAGCAGGGAAGCTGTGGGAGGAGGGTAGGGTATGGTGGAAAAGAGGGTAAGGAGGAGGAGAAGGGGTATGCAGAAAGAGGAGGGGAGGGTATGGAGGAAGAGTAGGAAGGGGGAGTATGAAGGAGGAAGAGGACACGGAAGAGGAGGAGGATGCAGTACCAGTATGTGAGGAGAGTGACTTACATTTGTACATAGATATATATTTCTTTCTCAAATTGTATAGCATGGTATATCACAAAATCAAAATACCTCAAAAACTGCGCTCTAATTTCTGCCTTGCAGATATTTGTGAACGTCTCATTTTTTAATAAATAAATAAAAACAAAACACGAAGCTTCACGGGAAGAAACCATGATCTACAGCCTTATTTTGTGTTGAGCCAGAACTCGGGTGACCCAGCACACAGCCCTTGTCAAACTGCTTTCAAGGCTGCTACTTGCTTCGAGAACCGCAGCCCTCATCTCGTTTTCTTCTATTATCGGTACATGGACATTTTCCAAGCATTCATAACACACATGTTTCCTGGAGATTGGGGATACCCATGCCCGTATCCTGAGAGCCGGATAAATGCTAATCCTTCGCCTAACAACAAAAACTGGAAAAAAAACAAAAAAAAAAAAAACCTTGTAAGGGCGCTTTCCCCCGAAAGATTGCCCATCTCGTTTTTCTGGCTAAATATCTGTAACATAAAAATTCCAAAACATCGCCCACCCCCCTCGATTCCCGTTGGACGTCAAGCGAGGTCCAACGGGAATCACGCATCAACGGCGCGATCGGCATGACCGGTGTGTCCGAGAAGCGAGTTCATGGCGGGTTCCCGCGTTTTTGTCTGCGATCCGCGCGCGATGTCGGCTGGCGTAACACGCAAGTTGTTCCCGCGTGTATATTGCATCGTGAGATGCGAATCTGCTACGTTCGCGACTTGTGGTATTCGTTCCCGAGTTAGTAGCGGATTCCCGTGTTTTTGTCCGCGATCTGCGCGTGATATCTATTTTTAACTGTAAGTAACACGTGCGAGTCGTTCCCGCGTGTATATTGCATCGTGAAATGCGATTCTGTTGCGTCCGCGATATCAGTTTCCGTGACAGGAAAGATTGTAGCGGGTTCCCACGTCTTTATTGCACCATGAAACTTGAATCTGCTGCGTCCGCGATCTGCGGTATCCGTTCCCGTGAGATGTGAGTGCTCGGCGGGTTTCCGCGAGTCTTTCGCACTGTGAAACGCGAATCTGCTGCGTCGGCCTCTTGCGGCACCCTTTCCCGTGACACAGGAGTTTGTAGTGAATTCCCGCGTGTTTATCACATCGTGAAACGTGAATTTGCCGTGTCCGCAATCTGCGGTATCAGTTCCCGCATTGTGTGGTTTGTACCAGGTGCCCCGGCGCTTATCATCAATTTTTTATAAAGTTTTGCTCCGGCATCCCCAGATATAGCCCACCCCACGTTTTTCACCACTTATCTCTTCATTTTGGGTGGGCGTCCTTACGGGATTTTACGGTAATCTAAAAAAAAGTTATAAAGACACGAGACTCTAATCCTAGCGCACCAAAACATACGGCACCCCACCGAGGAAAGAGTTCTCAAGGGCACTTACGACTGGAGCTGTGCGGGCCTACGGGTGACGTTGCAGACGCGGTACTTGCGGCGCATGGTGCCGCAGTGGGTGATCTCGATCTTGAGGCCCTTGATCTCCTTGGTGAACTTGACCCGCTGGGAGTCCGTCAGGGGCTTGCGCTGCTCGTTGATGTCACGCAGCTCCAGCACCTCACACATGAACTCCGTCACGGGCTGCGCCTTGTAGAAGGCCGTGGCCGACACTGCAGCCGAGCAAATGCGTCTTCACTCACTTCGTTCTCCGGCCTTCAAAAGGAGCAACGGCAGATTGGAAAGTTCGGCCGGTTGCAACCTGAGAGATGGTCGTTGTTATGTAGCTTTCTATTACAAAATAGCTCACCTTCGCGCCAAAATAAGAGCTTGTGCTTGGCGTTCTATTACTTCAAAAACATCCTATACTTGGCATGGTACCAATATCTCGCCAAATCGAAACTGCAAGCGCTGTTTGTGCATTCAAGATTACGGCCTAAGGCCAGTTGTGTGTTCTCAGACAAAATAGCCCTCGACGGTCAAATTTACGTTGTTTTGGGCTCACTTGGAAAAGTCCTATACTCGAGAAAGAAGGCCCACCGTCAATGTTGAGCATCATCTTCCACTGGCTGGGGCGCACGCTCTGGTGGAAACCGAACCAGACCTCCCGTCCGCCTCCCAGCGGGTGGAAGTAGCCGTCCGGCGACGAAAAGAAGGAGCGGCCCACGGGGGTGTACCTGAGGTCGAAGGGGGGAGGTGGGGGGGGGTCATTCTATGCCTCCTCCGAGGGTATCCAGGTGCGTTGGGTGCATCAACACCTTCTAGATGGCGAGGCCAGTGCTGGACCTTCTACTCTGCCAACCCGAGGCCAGCGCGGGACAGATTGGACAAAAGTGCCGAGTCAGCGTTCAGCCGGTACTCAAGCCACCGCCGAATGAACAGGAGTCCCGTCCGAACTCTGACACAGCAAGGCTGTCCGATTTCTGCCTCTGGTAGACGAAGGAAGTCCAGGGGCCCTAATCTGGACACTTGGCAAAAAAGTCGGCGAGAAATCTGGTGGCCGTGATTGGCTAATGCCGCACTTGACCTTGGCGCCGGCCAATCATAACCGCAGGATTTTTTGCCGACTTTTTCGCCAAGTGTCCAGATTAGGGCCCCAACACCGCAGCCTCGCTGCTCAGGAGAAAAGAGAGGGGGACTCACGTCATGGAGGGCAAGTGGCGCATGACCACATCCAGGGCTTGTACTGCGTCCATGGGGATGTGCCTGGAGCGCCCCTCGAGCACCTCCTCCAGGGCGTACAGGCTCACTTGGGCCACCCATTTGATGGCCACCCGAAACACCCGGTCCTTGCCTTCCCCCGGTAGGGTCACCTCCAGCTCCGCCTTGTCCTTCCCGATCGGGATGTCGTCCCGGGTGTACATGTTCTTGCGGCCGTCGAACACGGGCTTCTGCTGCCCAAAGATCTTCGAGTACGACTGCACCATCGTCTCTATGATCTCCCTGCGATTTGGGGGAAGCCTGCCGTGAGGAATGTGCACCGGCTACGTTTCCCCTACCGCCGACAGAGCCTGTATGGAGCAGACGAAGCCTGCAAAGGACACCCCCGAGAGAACCCTCTCTGATGTTCAAAGGGGGCGTTGTCTTTCTACTGATAATCTGTGCCAGTCTTGCTGTCACCACTTTGCTGGTGACACCAAGCTGTCAAAGCTCACTAGATGCCCAACGCCTAGGCATCTAGTGAGCTTTGACCATGCACGCACCGCCAAAGCACAGTGAAAGGCAATGAGCAAGTGCCAAAGGCTGGGTATCTTGCGCTTCTTGTACCGTCCGTGGCTAGAGAAGGTGTTACAGAAACAGACCTGCCAACCCTACAATGCTGAAAATACTACAGGGGATGCCAAAAAACACTACAATTGTGTGAAGAAATACGAAAACTGTTTTATTCTTCAGAAACTTGGTTTAGGCAAGAAAAATGCCTCAACTAGGGCACAAACACATCATACATTGCACAAAATGTCTTATTCTTTAGAAGTAGAAGGTTGCGCCAACACTGAGAAAGTTGCAGCTTTTGCTTTCCTTAGGAAGTTGTTGTCGAACACATGTTCATAGCACTTTCCAGACTGGCTGCATCTCACAACTAACAACTGTTGAAGAGTCTTTTTCGACATAGAGGAGCGGAACTGCATGTGTGCCTTCTTCACTTTGCTGAAAACTCTTTAGGCTGTGCCTGGTTTAACGAAGACGTTAAAGAGCAAAGTTCTTGCTTTTTAACATCTCCACAACGATCACTGTGAACGGCAAGTTGTGTTCGATCAAAAATGCCGTAAAAAGGCATGCTCGGGTAGTGTCGTAGTCCGTTGATCGACTAAAGTACCCTCCAAGCTTCTCCTTGGTTTCAACTACTTTTGCAGAGTCCTTGTGCTTTTATTGTATTCAGATGACACAGAATGTCCCGGCTACCTGCGTGCGAAGTGTTGACATCGCAGCGACACTGACTACCAACTTCGTACCTTTCGCCCTTACGCGACGTCTTCATAAATGGAAAGTCGGGTGAATAGCTGGGAATAAACACTTGCAAGTATTTTTTTCCCGACATCTTGTAACAAAGATGGTTTCACGGAATCATGAGCAAAAGTTCCAGTAACACAATGCACAACGTTTGCCACACCCAACGTCGCCACAACAAAGGAGATTTCCTAAACAGTTTTGGATTAAGATGGATGGATGGATGTTAGCGGCTATACCACCCCTTACAACACCGACTTCAATGACAATTGCCTCACAACGAGGAGCGGTAGCTTGCGCCTCCTGACATACAAGTGATGTGCCAGTGTTGCCAACCCCAACTTGAAAACAGGCAAGATGCAGCTTAAACAAAAACATTTTTTTTTTTTTTTTTTTACACGGGGTGCGGAAAATCATACAAATATTGTTGTTAATACGCCAACTGTAAGAAAGCGCTGGAAAGCGGACACTTTACGACAAAATCGTAAAACTTGGCAGGTATGCAAGAACCCTCAGACAACACCTGCTGTCAGTGGAGGAGAGAGGGTGCCCACCTGTTGACCTTGCGTGGGCACTTGTCGGGGGTGATGGTCACGTCGTAGTGGTGCAGGTAGCCCCTGGGCATCGAGATCTGGAAGTGATTGGCCCGCAGCAGGATGGGCCGCCCCTCTGTGCCCACGTTGGGCCTCCGGGGGCACACGAACTGGGGCAGAGGGGGCAGCTCCGCCCCCAGCGGGGCCGCAGCCGCGGGAGGCAGCAGGGGCGCCACTGGAGGGGCCGGGCCCAGGGGTGCCACGGGAGGGGGCGGGGCTGGACTCGGCCGAGGGGGTGGGGCCCCTCCCCCTGGCCCCCCTCCTCCTCCGCCGGGGGGCCCAGGAGCTGCGTGGGAGAACGTCCCCGAGGTCAGCGAGGCTCTCGCCGAGAGCACCCAAGAGGACTACGCCAACGTCACCCATAGTCGCTTAACACACACAGAAAAAAGCTTAAAGGGACACTGACAGCCCCCAAAAAATTTTTTTCATTTTTTGCCAGGGGCTTTATTATGGTTTCGGAGGACTACCCAATTAATATTTTGCAACAGAGTAGCGTATTTTTTTAATAAAGCCGAAAGACGCAACTGCTCGAAACCGAAACCGAAACCCGACGGAGGTCGGAGAAGTGGAGAGAAGAGAGTGAGTGGCGGAAGTCACGTGGCTACACCCGACCGTGCGTTTTTTTTTTGTTTTTTTTGTTTTTTCTCCTCTCCGTAGCAGACGACACGACATGCGGCGTGCGATGCGGCGTGCGGGAACTGCTCGCCGGGCGATTCTTTTGCAGTTATGTTTGTTACGCTCGTTGTTCTGTAGTCCAAGATGAGTTGTTTTGTACATTGAGGAGTCGGAGATGAGTAGCGAGTGCCCGTGGTGAATTTCCATGATCGGCTCCGAAAAGAATACACCCAAGATGTTGCGTGAAGAGCTGGCTCACATGTCCTGCGTCCGAAAAAAAAGTGGCATTGTGCGACAGAGTTTCCGAAAGATCAACGGGATCGGGACCAATGGCTGGCTGCAATTCCTGTAGAACATATACGGGCACCTTGGAAAGCGGACGCTACCTGATTTATATGCTCCTTGCATTTTGTGGAAAGTGATCACATTGAGTTCGCAGGTGTCAAAAAGGAAATCACATACCATTTAATTCAGCGAAGTATCGTCCGCAACATTTGTTTGTTATTTTTTGTTTGTTTCTTCAGTGATGATTGTAAAAAAAGAAAAAAGATAAGTAAACATCGGGAAATGTTGAAAAAAAAAAAAAAGTTACACGGGGGATCGAACCCGGTCCTACCGCGTGTGAACCGGACGTCTTTCCCACTGCGCTACTGGGGGATCTCTCTTCTAGTGGATCTCTTTCCTTGGTAATAATTCAGCCGGTAAACTGTAAGTTGGAAAGTTTGCTGTCGATTTTTCTCTAGCAAAAGCACTCCCGAGTCGAAGTCGGGAAGCACCATGCTTTGGGGACATTCGCACCTAGTAAAGAAATCGTACGCGTGCATATTCAACTCGAAGTAGACACGTCATGCTTGACGTTAGGGCGAGCGATGTATTCAGCCACGAGAAGGGAGCGACGGCTCGGCGACGTCTTCGTGCAAATCGGCTTGGTGGCCGGGCATGTCGTACGGGATGAATACCAATTCTTTTGATCAGTCCCAAATTTCTCTTTTAAAGGTAGACAGAATTCGCCGGTACCGCGAACGACAGTTCTGAAATAGAGGCCCCACGCCCGTCGTCCGCTGCCATCGCCGTCCCCGCGAGTCCCACGATACGCGAAACGACGAACGCACAGAATGCTTCCGGTTGTCTGTGGAACTTTTTTTTTCAATCAACGTAGTTACAGCTTTTTAGGAGCCACAAAAAATGGGTTTCATATTTTTTTCTATTTTTAATATTGAGTGTATGCCTTCAGTGACCCACGACTTTGATTAAATTTGGTGGTCACATCGATACCTTAGAAAACGGCCCGTGACCTCGAAAAAGAGAGTGAGCGAGACTCGAACCGGCCAGTTCTTGATCGGCGGTTTTCGGGCGGAAAGAAACCGAATTTCGAGCCGGAAATTCTGTTCTGGGTAGTTGAGCTCTCATATGACACGTACAACTAAAAACCTCGGCGAGCATAAATACCCTGTCAGTGTCCCTTTAAGTTTACACTCGTGCCTGGTCGTTTGCTCTTCTGCATTTTTATTTGTTAATGTTGAGCGATAGGAGGGTTGGGACTTACCTCACCCTACCATTTCCTTTTCTAACGCCGTCACTTGAGTCTGTTACAGGTTTGGAATAGCGCAACAAGCCCCTCCCACAAAGATGTCTGCTTGCCACAATTGCTGGGTTCTTCTTCTCCAGTTTGCCCTGCTAATGTGGAACGATTGAACGGCTTTGTGGGAGTAGCTTGTCCCGCTATTGTAAACCTACAACAGACTACAGCGGATTTAAGTTATGAACCTACAGCGGACTACAGAGGATAAAGAAATTAAAGGAGCTGTGCAACAGTTTCAGGGCTTTGCTTAAATAATTTGGGAGTTGGTGTCTCATCCTTTCTGAAGTAAAAAACAAAAAACCGCTTTTGCCTACATGTCCTAATTTTTATTTTAAAAATGGACAAAGATTGAGGTTTTCGGCACCTCTCAACTTCTTCACCATCTTCCGAGTCACGTGCGCTGTGACGTCAATGGGGGTGGTGCGGGGTTCCGGTGAAGCTCTCTCTCTAGAGCCATCAGTGAGCAGCGAGAAATCGTCCGCTCGTGACCGCGTGAGCACGTGCTGGCGGGCGCAGTGCAAACAATATGGTGTGAAAGGAGGAAAGTCTCATACAGGTCCGGCCATACCCGTCCGGCCCTGTCCCCCTCCCCCTCCGGCTTCTGGAGTCTGTTTGCGGTAGCAGATAGAGCCGACGGTTTTGTAGACCTAGGATAGATGGCGCCACTAAAACTCCGTATAATAAAAGTTTCGTCGATGATACCAGGTTTTTAACGCATTTAGATTTATGTTGGAACGACAAGATTTATAGAAAAGTTACCTTTTATCCAGCAGGTATTCACACAACTTGCTATCTTTCTACAAGACCCCCATTGATGTCATGCTGCGTGTTTCTCATGGTTGCCGCTCGCGGCTGCAGGTAGAGGAATATTCTATATTTTGCCTCAAGATTACGCGGCGGAATCGGAACATTTTGAAGGAAGGAGGTGTGTTTCCTGTCCTTTGTGACAAAGTGAACAATGTCAAAAGTAGAAGATGCCAATTCTTTCAACGTTAAAGCCGTTGCACAGCCCCTTTAAGTGCACGCTTGCAACCGGGTATAACCGAGAGAGACAAGACCTGTTGAAAACTCTCAAAATTTCTTAGGACAAGAGAACATACCGGCACTCTGGCGCCATCTATGCGGTAATCCTGGAACTGTATTTCACAAAAGCGAAGGTTTTGCGAGATTTCCGAGGTCAAATGTGCGTAATACCTATAAGAAAGCCCCGAGCTAAGAAAGAAAGGATAATGCGCGAGAGAAATAGAAAATATGCCGGACCGTCAAGTTTACACTGCTACCCAATAGATGGCACCAGTGTGTCCGCTCGTTGTAAGAGATATTAAAAGATTCCAAGCCACTCGGCTCTAAAGCGCCATTCACACATGCAACCGAGTAAGACCAAGAGAGACCAGACCGGTTTTTAAGCCTCTTGCCACGTCTTAGGACTGGATGCGCTGCAGCGGAGCTGGTCCTAAGATGTCGAAAGAGGCTTACAAACCGGTCTGGTCTCTCTCGGTCTTACTTGGTTGCATATGTGTGAACGGCGCTTAAGAGGTCACAAGTGTGCGAACGGGCCTTTAGATTCAGTGTTAGGAAGCTCATGTAATATTGCTTTGCTCTGTCATGAACTGCTCAAAGGGCCCATGAAACGAATTTTGGGCTGGTATAAATCACTTTAGATTGGGATTTTACTAACAGCACATCGTTCAGTGGGTCAAAAGAAAAAAGGTAGAAAGTCAAAAGCCAGACTTTCAGTGCGAAAATCTGAGAACACAGCGGACTATTTCGTACCTCCTCCCCTTCGTAAGCTCTCTGCCTTTTCGCTGTGATACATCGGCGGTTCCCAAAGCACGTCACTGGGTCCAAACGCACGTCACACGATACCGGACCTCCCTTATTCCCTTCACCCCTAAGCTGACATTGTGGTGGAGGCTACGCGCTTGCCGGACCAATCAGCCACCTCCCTTTCATCACCTGACCTCATACCCTGCGCGTGGGTATGCACGAGAGAGCGTGATCACGTAGCAAAAGTGTGGCTGGCCCAACGAGCACGTAGCTTCCACAGCACTGTCAGCTTCAGGGTGAACAGGGATGAGGAAAGAAACTTTTGTCTGAATTTTGAGCGACGGGCTAATCTTCTAGGGGGAAAATGGCTGTGTCCGGGTATACAAACGAGATTCCGAGCAAGAGGGGACTCCTCTCTTTTCGTCTTCTTGAACTGTTTGGTAGAATGTGCGATTTATGAGTAGAGGAGGAAAGCTAAACAGGAAAAAGTTGGAAAACCCCTTAACCCCTTTAAACATGTGTGGTGGAGGATCAAAAAGTGTTTCCTGCGATTTCAGATAAACCTTCAGATAGCTGGCAACCACGATTTTAAGCCCAAAGATGAGTGTCGTTACTCTGCAGCATTGATTATTTAGTGGAACTCCTTTGCTCCCTCCCCATTTCCCCATTTTTGTTCATGCACCAAAGGCACTCCCTGAGAAGGGCTAAAATATTCTTCGCTGCACCTTCTATTTTTCATTTACCTGTTTACTATTGTTTTAATTACAACCTAGGAGAATAGCTTCCCTTCTAAGAATAGACTGAAAAGCTGGTAGGCCTGTGGTTCTGTCGATTACAATAAACAATCAGGAGCCATCTATTTTTCTGTTTCATGCGACATGGAGACGGGTCATAGCTTCATCTTGAAGCAGAATACATCTTTTCAACTGACCCCAATGATCGCAAGTTTAAGAAAATGAGGTCAGTGTTCCCATTTTTTTTTATAAGCCACACTAACGGAAGTCATTATTTACTAGAAAAAAGAGAAATAGAAGAAAAAGAGGAAAGCAGGCTTCTTATTACTCATTGCGTACTCCACTAGAAAATAAAGTTTATGAATTATAGCGATTATTATAACATTGCTATCCTCCCAATGCTTAAAAAATAAAAAAAATCCAAGATACAGAAAGTTCACTGCTTAAGTAGGTGGTGTTTGGTGCAATGGCGTTCGATGAAACGGTGTTCGATGAAATACTCAAATTTAACAAAAACCAGACATGCCCCACATGTCTGCTCCAGTGAAGGAAACTCCCGCTGAAGAAGCCTGTGTGTGAGAATCCTTCCTTGTGTCTGTTGTTTTTGCATCATACACTATGCTTTCTAACGATCAAGGATGACTGGCAGTTAAGGCTCTGTTATACTCTGACGTTGAGCGCAGCGAACTTAGCATAGCGCAGAACATGGACCTTTGATTGGTCGGAGAGCAGGAACTCGATATCTGCGACCAATCAATATCTGTGTGGGCTGCGCCACGCCGCGTTTGCTACACTCGACGTCAGAGTAGAATAGAGCCTTTCGTCCCAAGAAGAAACCACATCAAAATCATTCAGCAAAACAGAATTGTGGAGTGAATCATAAAGTGGAGTTCAAATTGATGAAGATTTTAACAAAAAAATTACCGCATCTCCATGTGGTGAATGATCTTGATTGGGGCAAAGCTCTCTGGTGGTGCTGATGATACTGATTTTGTTCATAGGTAGTGCTGATTTTTTAGTTTGCTTGGCGTTTTTGACGCTTTGCCGCAGCTTCTCGCGCCCTGGTCTCCGGAGCAGCTTGCTGTCTACGTAGACGCTGAGCCGCAGCATGCCGAGCTTTTCATTCGTTTTCATCCATGCCAGAAAGAGAATGTGTGGTATGGAACAAGGTTATATACGCATTTGAGCATTTGACCGCAGCGCCCTCTCGTCTCTAAATGCTGAGCCAATGCATGCAAAGTTTAACGCAATTATATACGCATTTGACCGCAGCACCCTCTTCTGTATAGACGTTGAGCGGCTACATGCAATGTTTCATCCATGACATCTCCAGCTCTTGAGTTACTACCACATTTCAGAGCCCCCTACTCGTCCAGCAGTCGTGGCCGAGTGGTTAAGGCGATGGACCAGAAATCTATTGAGGTCTCCCCGCACAGGTTCGAATCCTGTTGACTGTGTAAAAATTTTTTTTCTTTTTTTAAGAAGGCAGATGGGATGGCAATCGATGTGAGCACGGACGCCGGACAAGGCTAGACCCTAAGGAGCTTCGCCCCTAAAAAGGAAACAATCAGAGACCAACGGCCCGCGTGGCCTTCGCTGGGTGTCTCTCGTATCCTGACGGCGGGTGACCCAGAGCAAAAATGCCCAGACCCCGTGGACCACAGCGGCGCCGACCCCAAACAAGCACTCCCCCGACAACGGCTCAAGCCACAGCCCGTACCCGTACGATCGCGGAGAAGGACGCCCTGTGGTCAAGTCCTTGCGATTAACAGAATGGCGAGGCTGCGATTCTAGGCGGATCGCAGACCAATGGCCCGTGAAGCTGGGACAAAGCCCCGAGCCGAGGGACTCGAGCCCCGCTGGTCAGTGAGGAACACAAGGAAGACCGTCGCCTTCGGAAGGGATCCGTCCGCACGTCGGCGCCCACCACTTCGGCTAACCCACGCTTTACCATTTCGTAGTGGCGCGTACCGTAGGATTCGGCCGGGGGCGCGCGAACCCACCGCGATGATCTCATTTTTCTCATTGTACGGAGTCGGGCCACAACGCAGCCTGGCGGACACACGCTTCGCACGCGCACAATGGCACAATGAATGGGTCTCCGGGCCCTCGGGCACGCGCCACCCTGGGGTCCCCATCGCGGCAGCCCGAAGCAACGCCCGAGGAGTTTACCAGCCGCGCTCAGCTGGCTCGATCATGGGATGAGTCGCTCTTCGTGAGAAGGACCCAGCTTGGGGCGATCCCCGTGCCACTAGGCCTAACGCCGTAGGATCTGCGATCTTTGACTTCGGCGAGCGTACCCGTGGTGTCGAGGACCAGCCTGGCTGATCCTTGAGCCCTTAGGAACCGAAAAGGAAACCGGGGGTACTCACGCTGGCCGACTGGGTACATCGCTCCGGTAGCCCTGTCTTCAGCACTTTGAGTTGTTGCAAAGCGCGGACGGGCAAGAGACGACACTGGGGGAGGGGGAAGGCCAGTGCGGAAAATGGATCGATGCCCTCTGCAACGTCACAAAATAGCCATAAACTATTTCACCCAAAACTAGCACCTCTACCCGGTCATTCCTATTTAACCGTCTGCAGCGTGGTAATTTATGAGACGCAACAATAAAGCACATAATAAATATTTTACTGTCTCCGACGTAGTCGACGTAGTATCTGTATCCGTGCGCTAGAGTGCGCGTACGGTAAGTAGTGCCATCTATGCGCCGTGTTTAACACTGACACCCGTATGGGCGTGAGCAGTGCGTGGTTTCGGTTTTCATATTGCCGTTCACGTGGTTTTTTTTTACCGTGAAACTTCATCGCAAATACGGAAAGACCTACTCATGTAACCTAATCTAATTCAGTGCTATCCGTCATTGTTTTAGGGGTCCCCGGCACGGTGAATGGCCTCTTACGTAATAGCTTGCGCAAGGTATAGTATTTCATAATTCAAACGATTCCAACCCAAACATAAACAAACATGGCCGACCGCCCGCAAATGTTGTGTGCTGTGTCCTTCCGTGGAAAAAAATTGCGCACAGTATTTCGAATGTCTCACATTCCATGGATCAGTGCATGTTGCTAAACTCGCCTTTCCTCGTTTAATTTGGGTTCCTTGCCGAAAGCTGCGTGACCTAGAGCACTATATAGCTCCTTCGGAGCAGAGTAGCGCAATCTAGAACGCCGTCTCTCGGCGACTAGCGGCGAACGCCCGGAGGTTCCAACTGCGGTCAGAAATGCATGGAGAACGTGAGAAAATCGTTGTTTCTTCAGTTGTGTGGGGATGTGCGGAATGGAAATCATTTTTGACATAATAATGAAACATTTTACAATAATATGCGATAAGTTTTGTGCCATACAAGGACGTAACTTTTTTTAAAAAATTGCCTGAGCGGCATCATGCAGCAGACGACACGGCGACGTCACACCATTCACGTGACCCGCTCCGGCCAACCCGAAAAGCCCATCTCCGCTGCGAGCAAAAATCGTCTGCTTCAAACGCCATTGCCTTGGAAATTGCCTTCTCAAAATTTGCACACGCATCCGATATTATTAAAACTTTGATAAAGTGTTTAGTGCTTTACTAACTTCACGACAGACTAGTTTTGAAAAGTGTGAACTCGCCGTTCATTTTTTAATCAGCCGTGTTGTATCGATCTCCAGGCCGCCTCTTGGAACCCTGAGTACCACGTGACTCGCGCCGAGCCGCTCTGTCGGCCATCTTGTCGGCAAAACACGAGGTTCAAAGGATTGCGCTACTCTGCTCCGTAGGAGCTATATAGTGCTCTAGCGTGACCCTACGGGACACCAGTAGTATACTTCGTTTCAGCTTCGGTCCAGACGCAGCCAAAGCTACAAGCGCGAGCTCCGGGCTTTCAGCATCCCTGCCAAGGACGCGCGCTCGTACAGTGCAAGCACTGTTCTGGGCCACACGCTCGCGCTTGTAGCATCGGCTGCGTCTGGACCGAAGCTGAAACGAAGTATAACTAGGGGTGTCGCGAACCGGCCGCGGTTCGAGTTCGACCAGGTTCGACTTTTTCGAACTTTTAGTGAAAAGGTCGACGAACCTTCTATTGAGGTTCGACTCGTGTGCGCACGCGCGACAGGCTGGCCAGTTTGGCTTCGGATTGGGTGATAATTACGGGTGTCGCGAACTTTTGTCGAACCGGATTTTTTGGTCGAACTTTCGGGGTTCGACTGGGTCGAACCGGTTCGACGAACCTTCGAACTTTTCACCAAATTCGACCGGTTCGACTTTGTGGACAGTGTGGCCAGACATTGATACAAGCATGTCTAGGTTTGGAGAATGTTTTTTCATGCAAAGGATTGTTTTATTTTATTATCAGTTGCAGTTAAAAGAAAACCAATTCTAATCAATGATGAAGTTAATAACTTTATTGTTTTGTACTGTATTAACTAAAATAACCAATCAGCGCTGCCCTTAATAGACCATTTGCAGTCTCTCCCAAGCGCCCCGGCGCGCGCGCGAGGAATCTTGGGATCGGTGTTCTGTCGGCCCCCGTCGTCTGGCTGCTCTCCGTTGGAATCGCATCACCTCGCCCTAGACATACTTTTCATCTTCGTTGTTTATACTTAATAATCCTCTTTTTTATCTACTCCAGTGTATTTTTCTTGTTCATAAGTGTATCTATTTCGTTCAGCGCTTTGTATTTCTTCTGTATATTACGTGTTTTTGTGCATATTCCATCGTTTTCGACGCGGCCGTCGACGGACACCACGCCGCTTCGTTCGCCGCTCCCGGGGTGAGTACTGACTGTTGCCGTTACGCTCTATCCCGCTCCTAGGCCGTTCATTTAACTCGTGTGCGGTCGCGAGAGAGCAGTTTCGAACATCACTACAAATGTCACCGCTGTAAGCAGAGAAATAAAGTAGTCATCACGAAGCGAAGGCCGACATGCCTTCGCTTCGTGATGCGCTCGCCCTGTGAAATGTGAGCGTGGGATATCGAGTACTGCTTGCGTGCTCAACATTCGGGACGGTGCTTTGTCGTTGCGATCTTTTTGCCCTTCGGACGCTTGCGAAGCTGTACCAGCGGTCGGCGTGCCTCGGCAGCGCTCGTCAACAACCGTCCGCGCAGCATCACATCCTTCGCGTTCGGTTCTTCGTCGCGGCGGGAGAAGGGGTTCTGACTGCGTTTTATGCATAGTATGGGGGAGATTCCATTGTTTATCGAAATTACAGTTCAGCTAGCGCGCTCACTGTGGTGAGGCAAGATTGCCCCTGCGAACCGCGCTAACACAGCGTCCCGCGAGTGCATATCTTTATTGATCATCCCGTTTTCACGCAAGCGCGTGCATATGAAATGCTAGACACTTTTTAGTGGCTCTGCGAACTGCTTCTTTTGGACGAACACTGACGCATTGAAAGCTGGAGTGTCTTTGCCACTCCTGTACAACACTTCACGGTCGTGCCAGCAGCTTTATGCTGCTGGCACGAAACGGATTATGGTCAAAACGCGTTCTTCGTATTCAGAGCTGCACTATATCATGGACACTGACAGGGCAGCAGCAACAAGCAGCTCAGTGACACTGGAGATGCTTGTCCCCAATGCCAGTGCGTGGCTTGCTTTCAGAATGCTCCTTCGACTGTGTAATGTTCGAAAGTGCACAAGAAGTTGTAGATTACAAAAGCTGGCATGTTTGCCTAATAGCAAACGCTCTTTTTTTAGCACAAAGTTTACAGCAGGCTTTTTTTGAGGGGTTGTTACCCTAGATGAACTCTTACTTCGCAAGTTTAGGTTAATTCTGTCAAAACAACACCAAACCCATTAAAAAACTGTGTTGGTCAAATTTCCGTCCTCCTTTTAAAACGCTGACTGAGCTGCCTTTTTTTCAGGGAAGGCTATGGCGACACGGGATGTACCAGAGCCGCAAGAGCTACCACTTCCAGCAGGACCTTGGACCAAGCAGCTGAAGGACTTTCCTTCCGCATTCTCGGAAAGCCACATCCAAGGGCATGGCCAAGCAGCTGGAGCACAGAAGCACACAAGTTCTGGCTACAAAATGTTCAAGGCCCACAAAGTGCAGAACATCTTCCTCCACACCACAAGTGCATCAGAGACAATTGTCAAGGCTAACGTGGAGGCTTCCATGACCCTTACGAAGCGATACGCAGTGCATGCTGTGCTCTGCCAAGATGGGCAGGTCAGCAAGGCTTCCTGTTCCTGCAAGGCTGGACAAGGCGGTGTGTGCAAGCATGTGGCAGCACTGCTTTGGCACATGCTAGACCTGATAAGGGAGGGAAGGTCCTACATCCCGGATGCTCTGGCCTGCACTGAGGGAGCAAGGCAGTGGGGCCCATCTTCAAAGAGAGGTGCAAGTACGGTGTCGTTCAACGAACTAGAATTCGTCAAGCACGACTCTAGCAACAAGGCGAAGAGTGCGAGAAAAACCACGGAAGTGCATGTGGACGTGGCGCAGGCAACCGTCAAGAGGCTGCATACAGATTTCATTGAGAAGGGAATATTCCCAATGTTTGCGGACGTGATGGAAGAAGCTGCCTTCACACCCTTGCCAAGGAAGGTTCAGGAGCACTCGAACACGGATGATGGGGCCTCTGCAGCACGGATCAGCTTGCCCATAAAAGAGTGCTGGAATCACCAGATGCCACCAAGCGATCCATGCACCCTGACTCTTACACAAGCTCAGCACCTGGAGGAACAGACACGTGGCCAAAGCAGAAGTATGCTGTGGCACACGGAACGTGAGAAAAGGATCACGGCATCACAGTTCGGAGACATCGTCAAACGACAAGCACCCGTGAACGAAAAGTTTCTCAGGACGATTTTCTCGGGCGGACATGGCACGACACGTCACATGAGGGCGGGACTTCAGAATGAGGCGGCTGCTCTGAAGCGCTACAAGGCCAAGCAAAAGGTCCAAGTCTTCAGTGTTGGCCTTTGCATCAACCCTGGCCTTCCCATGCTGGGGGCATCACCAGACGGGCTGGTCTGGGACGAAGATATACAGGAGTACGGACTAGTCGAAGTGAAGACCGTGTCACGGGCGATAGATGCGAACCTGACGACCTTCGAGGAGGTGATGAGCAGAGGGTTTGTGGAGTTTATCCATGCGGACAAGAGTGTCGACAAAAAGCACAAGCACTACTACCAGGTGACAGGACAACTTGCGCTCACAGGACTGGAGTGGTGTGACCTTGTTGTTGACTGGGCGAAAGACTGCTGGGTCACACGGGTGCCCTTTGATGAGGCACTCTGGGTGAACGTTATGGTGCCACGCCTGACAGACTTTTTTTTTAAATATCGGAAAGACTGAGTGTTGATCATAAAATTGTAGTGTCTGTTGTGGGCGGTTCTAGTGCCAAGTTTGGACACTTTTGGTAATCGGGTTGCAAACACTGCCCGCGTGGGTGGGCGGCTCCGTACGTCAGCCTGCTGGTTTCGACTTCGACAACACCGGTTCTTGGCCTACCCGGTTTACGCAACTCGAGGAGTACGCTTATGCCTCCGTACTTCGCCAAGCACCACCGGACATTCAGGTGCGGACACTTCTCTACTGCATGGGCCCCGAGGCTCGGGTCCTTCTCGACATGTTCGGCTTGAACGCCGCCTCCCTGAACAACTACAACACGGTGGTCAAGCGCTTCTCGGAACACTTCCTGTACCCCGTCAACGAGGTGTAAGAGTCCTCGAGGTTCCACGAGCGGGTTCAGCAGCCGGGAGAGAGCGTCGACAGTTACTACGCCGAGCTCTGCAAGCTTGTCAAGTGGTGCAACTACCCGTCCCCCAAAGTCGAAGAACGCCTGGTTCGCGACCGGTTCGTTGTTGGTCTTTGCGACGAACGCCTGTCCGGCCAGCTCTGCTGGAAAGCCAAGCTCAGCCTCAAGGACGCGTGGACGCAGGTGAGGCAGATCGAAGACGCCGAAAAAGAAAAAAACTGCTCGCGGGAGTCGAGAGTGTCCAGGTCACCGTCAACGTTGACGCCACCAAGTCTTGTCATGGTCCGACGCACCAACGCAAGACAACAAAACGGTCAGACGACGCATCAGCAGTGTCTTCACTTGGCGATAACGACCCAGGTTCCTGCAGCTACTGCAGTCGGGCCCCCCACACACGCTCAGACTGTCCTGCTCGGCAGTCTCTGTGCAATTATTGCAAGAAGAAGGGCCACTTCGCGGACGTCTGTTGCGCTCGGAAACGAAAGCAGAGCAAGGTGGCGTTCCTTACCGCTCCACGCAATCCTCGAGACTGAGAAGGCCAAGGCCAAGTACGTTGAGGTCAATGTCGACAACTACACGGCGATATTCAAGGTAGATTCCGGCGCGGAGGCGTCTGCTGTTTCGGAAGCCTTCCCGAACTTACCTCATCATCTGGACAAGGTCGACGACCTGCTGACAGCACCAGGAGACCAGTCGCTAAAAGTCATTGGGTACTTCATGGCTACCCTCCTGTGGCGAGGCAAGACCGGTCATCAGCGTCTGTACGTGATCAAGTCCCTCTCTATGCCCCTGCTCGGGTTCCCAGCCATCCAGGCTCTGGGTGTGGTAAAGTTCTTGGACGACATGAAAGTGCCGGCACCGCAGGGACTTTTCAGAGGTCTCGGCACGCTCAAGGAGGAGTACAAGATTCGGCTACGCCCGGATGCGGTTCCGTTTTCACTTAGTGTTCCATGCCGCATACCGATACCCCTGCGCGAGGTGGTGCAAACAGAACTGGCCAAACTGGAGCAAGACGGAGCCATTCGGCGTGTCACCAACCCCACACCTCGGGACGCTGGACTGTTCATGGTTCCAAAGTCGTCGGGAGGTTACCGTGTCTGTATCGACTTTACAAAATTAAATCAAGTTGTCCCGAGAGAACGTCATGTGCTCCCCACCGTCGATCAAGTCCTGGGACTTCTGGGCGATGCGGCAGTCTTCTCGAAGCTCAAAGTTACCTCAAGCTTCCATCAGGTCAAGCTTTCCAAGGACTCTCAAGAGCTTACGATGTTCATTACGCCGTATGGGCGTTATTGCTTTTGCCGACTCCCATTTGGCATCACGTCGGCCCCTGAGTTTTTCCAGCGACAGGTGGCGTGGATCTTGGAAGTCCTAGACGGATTGGTCAACATGGTCGACGACATCCTAGTCTTCGGCAGAACGAAAAAGGAACATGACCAACGCCTGCGGCAGGTGCTGTTGTGTCTCTCCGAGGCCGGCGTCACCCCTAGCTTCCGTCGACGGTTCGGCCTCAGGTGGACCTGTCTACTCGCGTCATCGTGATGTGCCTCGTCCAGCATCACCACCACGTGTTCGTGGTGATGGTACGGGCCGACACTACTCAACCCATTCTGGAAGACAAGTGGTCGCTCCCAAGAGACTCAATCTGTAAAACTTTGTTTTTTTTCACAGCCAAGGTGTCCGATACTCTCCTTGAACATTCTAAAGGGGGGATTTTGCGGGCGGTGCTAGTGCCAAGTTTGGACACTTTCGGTAATCGGGTTGCAAACACTGTGCCCACGTCTTGTGTAAAAAGCCATTGCCTCGTGTGATAAAGGTGCCTTTTGGTTCCTAGCTCTGGACGCTCAGTTGGTTGCTTGCCGTCGCTGGTGGGCTGTGCAGTTTCACCGCCGGCCACAGCCCGGCACGGCAGTGTCACAAAGGAATCAACCTCATTTTTAATGCCAAAGACTTGGAGAACATATAATAAACCAACTTTTGTGAACTGAAAGTGGCTGTCATGACAAGTAGTTGGAATGCCTCAGACTGCTCATGTCGGCACAAGAATTTGTTGCAAACTGTAGCGCGTACCTCTGTCCGATATAGTAGTCGCAATATTTGTGTACTGAAAATAGAGTTTGTGCACTGTGCATGCTAAATTTCATACACTTTTCCATTGTTTACAAACCCACGCCCCAGCGTGTAATCTTCACAGCCTAGCATGCGCGTGGTCGTCAGTTGTGAAACCGTCCAAAGCACGCGCCATACACACAAACACTAAAGATGGTATGAGAGCGTGTGACACCTAAAGAGGGCATGATCCTCTTCTGCATTATGCGCGAAAGTTCCAACAACGACCATGTGCTGTGGCTACCAACGCCGCTTCCGGCGGCCCACCTGGGAGCAAAATTGGTTTACGGTAGTGTCGTTACTGATTTCAGCGCTATTGATGGTGAAATTTTGGTTGCACGTCAAGGTCCCCACATGTTCTTCCTCTGGGGTGACAGACATCTTCCTTTGGTTTAATCTGTAAACCCTCTAATCTTCATTTGCTGGGGCATATTGACGGAGAATTTTAGTAATTCGCACAATTTACAATGCAACAGCTTGTTTTCAACATCTTGAATTTTTGCCTGTGGCACACGCAATGGCATCTCAGTTAAAGCCCCTTCATGTTTTAAAAGTAGCGCAAAGTGCGTCGATGCACGAGGCACGTGCAACATGCAGCCCTTGGGAAGATCATGGCGACACAGCGCAGCACTGAGCTAGATTTCAGACGCCATGTCCTTCCCAGAAGTGGCACACGGTACGTGTCTCGAGAATTTCCACAACAATGAATGGCGCCACTTTTCCCAGGATAGAGGGGCTTTAATCTCAGTCTGCCTGTTGCCCCACCAAACAGTTCTGCTAGGAGTCGACTGTGGCCCCACCATTACGTCTATTTTTCTTTATTAACCACTACATTTCCGCCCTTTTTAGAGGATATGTGTGTATTAAAATAAAACATCCAAAAGTATTGAAATTAATTTAATCAGTCCTAGTTAAAAATTAAGAATAATCAAATGCTCGCTACTCTGTCGTGTAGTGTGCAACCAATCTAAAATTAAAACCTGGCAAGTTTGGACAACATTTTATTGCGTTGAGTACTTCTGACAGGAATCCTAACGTCCTTGATTTCTTTCATCATGACCATCTACCTTTGCTTTGAAACATTTATTTAACGACCAAAGAAGTGGCCACCATATCTGCCCTGCTGTTTGGGCATAAAAAGAGGAAAAGCTTTTAATCTTCTCGGGAGCTTCCAGGGCGAATGAGACAAGTGGCAGCGATCAGGGACTCCTGGGGCTTCAGTAGTCTGGAGTCACCTGGTTGATCTCGGCGAGTATGGTTTCCTTGAGTGCCGTAGGGAGGTTCTGAAGTTGCCCGACTGTGACGTTGTTGGGGGCCAGGTGCACTGCGAGTGGAGGGTGAACGGGCAATCCATCCCAAGAGCTTGGTGACAGGGTGAACACAAGTGTAGCATCCAGAGTCATGTTGCGCTGGTTGCGGAAAAAAGACGTCCGAGGCCCGTTCAGCTAGCTCCTCGGGAGAGACACCTTTGCGAAGGGCAACAGTGGCAGCAAATTGCCTAGGTTTGTGGTCCCCGAGGAGAGAACGGAGGAGCCTTCAAACTTTCGAAAGATGGCTATTGCCGGAGATGGATCTGCACAGGGAAGTCCAGCAGTTGGAAGCGAGTTCCGAAGTGTAGCACGAGATAGTCTTTTGGAGTTTATGTGAAGGTTTGAGGAGTCGTCGTGGTCTGCGAGAACGGCGGTAACAGGCCAACAGGTGAATGCGGCGGTCCAGTAAGTAAATGCTCGTCAAAGCGGCATCGTCCGGTACGGTTAGCCGCTTTGTGGCAGACTTGTGGGCGGACTGGATAGCTTGTATAATGTCGGAAAAGCCAGCAAGTTCCATGACAGAAGAAAGAGCTGCTCGGAAGTTGTCCCACTTAGTGAAGAATGTGTCGCAGCAGGCGCGACAGTGAGATAGGGTTGCGGATAGGAAGTCGTAGCGTAAAATAATGGGGAGGTGATCACCGCCGAGGCGGTCGCCGGCGACATGCCATCTCCAGCGTCGAGGGTAACGAGCACAGGTAAAGTCGGGGCAGGTGTCCTGCTGTTGGGAGGATTGTTTGATACGTGTGGGGGTGTCTGGGATGTTGAGGAACGAAAGTTTCAGCCCTGTGAGGTCTGCAAGAAGCCGCGTGCCGTGGGGAAGGTCAATGTCGTAGCCCCATGCGTGTGTCTCTGACAAAGCCCTGACCATGCGGTCAGGGCTTTGTCAGAGACGCGGCCAGGGGCAAGGTCGCTCACGAACGACACGAACCCATTGGGGGTGATGCCCAGCAGTCCCTTGGCAGTGTTGTGGCACTTGTAGCTTGAGTAGGTATCACTCTGCACCCTGAAGTCGCTAGGTGTCTCGATGAAGATTTCCGTGCAATCCAGAATGACTCTCGTCGATGGATACGCCTCGATGAAGCACTCCGGCATGTGCTTGTTCACAACCTGTCGCGACGGCCAGTAGTTGAGTTGAGCAAGGTAGTCCGCTAGGTAACCAATCCAGAATGTCCACACCCGGCTGACTGTGCTGATGTGGATACGAAACCGGTATGCAAGGTCCTGCTCCAAAAGTCCCACCCTCAGGCGGGACAACACGAGCAGCAGCTGATCATCCATGGATAGATAAGGTGACCTTCTCTGCGGACCTTGACTTTCCTTGTGAGCTTCATAACCTGCCTGAACAAACTTGTAAAAGGCGAGAAATCTCTCCAGGGAGTCGAATCCCGTGTAGAAGGCCAGTTTCTTTGGGTCCTGTTGCACGGCTGTGAGCGTGAAGTTCTGAAAGGGGATTGTAGCATCGATGACCTCCTCTGCTTTGTCATACATCTCCTCAAGATGGGCTACTTTCTTCCGCAGAGCTTCATTTTCTTTCTGTAGACGGTCGTTGTCCTTGCGCAGTTTCTCGTTTGCAGAAGCGAGCTCCTCTAGCTGCCTGATGCGATCACGCAGGGCTTGATCGATACATCCTGTGATGCTGTACTGGTGGTCTGCCAGATGGGGAGATAGCAAAATAAATATCACATCATTTTTGCAGTCAAATATCAAAACAAAAAACTAGGCTTTCTCCTTGTAATTGCCTTGGCTCTGCCAAATAGCATATCATGTGCCATACAAAAAAAGCATCACATGTTAAAGGGGCCAAGAAACGATATGCATTTGGATGTTCTGCACCTCATACAAGCATACTGACGTCTGTAGCACAAATATAATCTATATAATAATCTATATACCACAAACCAGAGGCTCCCCTGCCAAGGTTATATTCTGAGGAATAGAAGGCTAATTTACAGTCAGAAATCACAATGTTGAGAAAGCCTAGGGTTCACACCAGGGTGACGACACTTGAATACAGACGGCTTATGAACTGGACCCAAGCACTGAGTGAGCACCTGACTATTTGGTTACAATCAATGCCATGGTAACTATTGGGGCTTGGGCTTGTGTCTAATCACTGCGCCAACAGTAGCAGCTAACCCCTAACAGTAATCATGTGATTATTTTACCTGGCTGTGAGGAAGAGCAGAATATTGCTTGTTCTCAAGCTTTATTGTGCGACAGCAGCATTTAGCAGAAGTAACTGAGTCGGTTTATGACCTCTTTAATGCTGCTCTGTTCCACACGAAGGAGCTATAATGGGAATGCTGGCTATTCGCCTTGAGATCCGATCGTCAGGGGTGCTGCGGGGAAATGCGGAACTAAGCTTTGTTCTACACTTACTTGGAGCACGGAGAATGCTGCGGACGCTAACTCGAAGCCCTGAGAGGCTCCGGTGCAGCGTTCGTGCGCATGCATTGGAGTCAACTGCGAATTCTAAGAGCATGCATAGCCTTGCCCGTGCTCCATAACAAAAGTGGGGATGGTTTTTTTGTGGACGCCAGAGAATCGCCGCTTGTCTTGTAGGAAACAATGGATAAACAAAAGCATGTGTCCCCACTTTTCAATCTGGATCTTGAGGCAAATAACATGCAAGCAGGGCTGTGGCAGCATCTCCTTTGTACCTGGCAGACAATGAAGTGAGGGTGTGACCGCAATCTGAAAGAACAACTCCGCGGGTACCTTGCATGTGCGGTATCTTAGAGTGCACCGTGCCATATGGTGCTGCGAGTATGGAACGGCCACAACTTGCGTGCTATAGCCAGCGGTGACTGAGTTAGTACAGTTTGTAAAGTTCGACGTACTGCATGTAAGTGTTCCATGCACCTATCGGGACTGCTGCACAGTTGACAGGGATGCCAAATAAACAGACGAGCAACACTGATGCTCAATGTTAGGAGCTTACCGCTAGCTATTACATCATCAGTGTCAGGGGCACCAGCGGAGGCCAAGGGGCTGCCGGGTTGTGCTGGCTCCTGGCTAGCAGGCAGGGTCACGGTCTGTGCCAGGTCAAGGTCCGACAGAAAGTAGGCCGGCAGCGGCTGCAGCGCATGGCGCTTCCTTGCGCAGATCATGTTTGGGACCTTTGGGCAGGCCGCAACATCTGCAGGCAAGGATAAGGCAATTGTTCACGCAATTATTTTATAAGCATTACATACCGGCTGGAATTCTGTCTAGCACAGGGCACAGCTTACACTGTACGGAGCACATAACATGTCAAACAACCAAGAGCTCAGCTGGATCAATAGCGGTCACTGTTTCTACCCTTTGGTAGCTGGTCTGGAATGTTGTAGCCAAATAGCGATTGTTGCAGTTCTTTCTGAGACGAAGTGCATTCAACAGCCACCGGCGTATAAAAGAAGGGAACAAAGTTTATATCCTTATTCAACATAGTTTGGCACACAACAAAAGGTTTGTCCCAAGCGAGCCAATCAGAGTACACTTCTCTAGTAAAGAGCTGTCACATACATTTGACTTCAACACTTCAATCAGTTCACAGGGGTTATAGAGTCTGCCACCTGCCATGTTACTGTGAAATCGACTATATTCGGTGCCATCTTAGGCTGTCCATACTTGCCTAAAGGGCCCTTTATTAAACATAATTATATTTCCGCATTCATATGTGTTTCCATTTGTGACACGAACGATATGCACAGCTGCAACTTCTTACAAAGCAGTTGGCTCAAGCATATTACGACCGCAAACTCCTGACAAGGCATGTCCAACTCTATCTGCTTGAATGGTCACTAGGAAGCTGCCTAGTCAAGCAAACACGGTGGACAGTAATTATAGAGTCCTTGCACCTGACGTCAGTTTTCGCTCAAAATATTTCTAGAATTCATGTTGGTACATTTTCTCCTATGTTTTTCTATGTGCTAAGAGAGTGTTTTCCAGCTCGCTGAAGTCCTCTTGCATTGTGACCGACTGTGTCAGATAGAGCAGTCGGAAATATAAAGAAGCATCGTCTGGTACCGTTCAAACACACTGCTGTTATTTAGAGTCGAGATGAGCTGGCACTTCAATGTACGACAGGAAACATGCAGAGCCTTCACTACTTTCCACAACGAGAGAGCTGGATTAAAAGCTGTCATTTGGGGCCATCAGAGATGAAGGCAGCAGAGCGACATCCCCTGGTGCCTTGAGCAGCAAGCTAGCTAAGCCAAGCCAAATCCTTGAAAAAGGCAGTCAGTAGGTTTATATGCCACCTATTCCCACTGCAAATTTAATGACGGACGAGAATGTTATACTTTTTCAGTTTCAGTGATATCCTTGATGCTACTTAACCGCACGTCGCAAAACCTCTTTTCGATTGCAGTCCATTTGCGTCGTCTAGCCGTTGAGAGATCTCATGTATTCAGACAAAACATTGTTATTATGTCTGCAGCTCTACAAAATCTGACATTACGATTGCTTGAAGCTCCGTCTTTTTCTATGAGAGCGATGATTGCTTCCGTAGGTCACGTATTTCGCCATGCTCACTGGGTAGCACCGCTGTCCACAAATCACCAGACGCCACCAGCAGTGACGTAGCTCACGTGAGAAACGACCCATGTATACAGTGATCACAAGCAAGAATATAAGCAGGGAAAAACAACTATTGCAGAAAGAAACAAAAATAGGCAAATAACATACACTTCGGAAATGTCCTGGTTGGAAAAAACCGGGGAGCTTTGTCCTCGTACTTCTTTCTCCCAGTTTCGTTAAAATGAGCGCCGCATATTCTGCTGTCAGAGGTTGGCGTCCACAGAGAGAACCGTCCAGTGGTACCTGCATGCAAAAGAAGCAGTTAGCACCATATTAAGATTCACCCATTCAACTTTGGAGCAAGTGCAACTCAATCTCAGTGGTAAGAATGGATGCAGCAGCCGTGGCGTCTGAACAGGGGCGTCAGTAAACTATCCGGGCAAGGGGGTAGAATTCAGTTCTCCTCCTCCCCCATCGTCACCCCACCGCCTTCTAAACACTTCCAGTACCATTGTGCAGCGGGCACTAAGAACAAGCACATAGTTTATGCCTAACAAACCTGGAGTGGATGCACGCTGAAAATGATAGAAGCACTGTGAGAGTATCTTTGCTTTAGCTGTAGGGTAGTGAGATGAAGCGACATTCCTGCGATGCAATCAAATATTGGTATGTCGGTGCAGGTGGAAGTGGCCAAGAGAGTGAAAAGGGCACATGCAACATCTGGGATTCTTTGAGATTGTCTTTTTTGTTTCAGTCGTATGTTGCACTTATAGGTCAAAAATAATGAATGCTATTTTTATTTTTAAAAAAAATGTGTTTCGCAGGTATGTTGTACATATGGGTAAAATGACTTGGGCCACGTCGGACAGTACACACACTGTACCTTCCTGATCATTGTCAGGAAAGTGTAGATAACAAGTAAAAAAATATGGTAAATACCTTTCCTGTTGATTCGCTGTACCCAAATGTTGCGTAGATGGCTGTTCTTCGGAAAGCGATTCCAGGACACATGCTTGGCAGTGAGAGTGGTGTGGGCACAGCCCGGTACACAGCAGGTTGTACCGCCCGTCATGTGGCTTCTGAGGGTGACCTAAGAAGATACTACATTCAGCTGACATCTCGAATAGTGAAATAAATAAGTGAAGTGACCATCAGTTTCAAAGTTGCAGTTGCTGACATAACTCGCTTGCTAAGGGCCCGCTCAACTCACAACCGCTGTTAAGAGCGATTGTGAAGCTATGCGATGTACTACATACGCATACCAGCCGCGACGATGAATCACCGGCGCTCGCGGACGGTCAGCGAACGCGAGAAAAGTGACGCCGCGCGGACGGTTGTTGACGAGCGCTGCCGAGGCACGCCGACCGCTGGTACAGCTTCGCAAGCGTCCGAAGGGCAAAAAGATCGCAACGACAAAGCACCGTCCCGAATGTTGAGCACGCAAGCAGTACTCGATATCCCACGCTCACATTTCACAGGGCGAGCGCATCACGAAGCGAAGGCATGTCGGCCTTCGCTTCGTGATGACTACTTTATTTCTCTGCTTACAGCGGTGACATTTGTAGTGATGTTCGAAACTGCTCTCTCGCGACCGCACACGAGTTAAATGAACGGCCTAGGAGCGGGATAGAGCGTAACGGCAACAGTCAGTACTCACCCCGGGAGCGGCGAACGAAGCGGCGTGGTGTCCGTCGACGGCCGCGTCGAAAACGATGGAATATGCACAAAAACACGTAATATACAGAAGAAATACAAAGCGCTGAACGAAATAGATACACTTATGAACAAGAAAAATACACTGGAGTAGATAAAAAAGAGGATTATTAAGTATAAACAACGAAGATGAAAAGTATGTCTAGAGCGAGGTGATGCGATTCCAACGGAGAGCAGCCAGACGACGGGGGCCGACAGAACACCGATCCCAAGATTCCTCGCGCGCGCGCCGGGGCGCTTGGGAGGACTGCAAATGGTCTATTCATGCCTTAGCCATCACCATCCAATCCGAAGCCAACTGGCCAGCCTGTCGCGCATGCGCACACGAGTCGAACCTCAATAAAAGGTTCCACTAAAGGTTCGAAAAATTCGAACCTGGTCGAACTCGAACCTCGGTCGGTTCGCGACACCCCTAGTGATAATGGCTAAGAGATGAATTAAAGGCCGACGACCAGACTCGAGATTCTGCAAGGCAGAAGACCCTCCTCTCCACGCCTTCGGGCGAGGGAAGCGAAGGATGGAAAGAAGGGACCAAGAGGGGCGGGCATGGGTGGAAAGGGTAGGAGGGAGAGGAGGAAGCGGGCGAAAAGTGGAAAGCGCGAACTGGTCGTCGGTCTTTAAGTGCAGCGCTGATTGGCTATTTCAGTTAATACAGTACCAAAATTTAAGTTATTAACTTCTTCATTGCTTAGAATTAGTTTATTTTAATTGCAGCTGTTCACAATATAAAATAACCCTTGGCATAAAAAAAAATTTTTTTCCAAACCTAGACATACTTGTATTAAGGTCTGGCCACACTGTCCACAAAGTCGAACGGGTCGAATCTGATGAAAAGTTCGAAGGTTTGTCGAACCGGTTCGACCCAGTCGAACCCCGAAAGTTCGACAGAAAAATCTGGTTCGACAAAAGTTCGCGACACCCCTAGTGGTAACCCATTCATACGAGAGACACCCAAAAAAAAATTTACAGCGTTTTTTTTTGTTTTTTTTTAACGCAAAAATAAATTACACATCGCCAAACGCTCATTCTCCGCTCGAAGGTCCGAACCAGATGCCAGAACTTCAGCGCAAACCGATATTTTATTCAAAAGTTAGAAATAAGTTTCTGAAAATGTCAATGGGAAAATGGTGGCCGACGGAGCTCTCAAATACATGATGGACTATGGCGCCAGAAACCGAAAGCGGGCCAAAATGGGCCCATTTTCCCATTGAATTTTTTAGGAAACCACTTATAACTTTTGAATGAAATATCGGTTCGTGCCAACGTTACTAGAACACTCAGTTGGAAAACTCCCATAGAGGCAGCTTTGAAAAAGTGGCCCCAATGGACCTTTTCCGAGAAGCGTTCTGCGCACGCGCGAGCGCCCGATGCCAAGCGGCGGAAGTTGGAACGAAAAATCGAGGAAATTCGGAAGGAGGCTGTATATCAGCGAGTAGAATGCGTAACTGCAGCACATATATAATTGTGTTACACAAAAAAAGAACGTCGACGGGAAGGAAAACACGACGTTTTGGTGGATGCCACGGATGCTCCTCTTTAAAGTCGCGTTGGGCAGGCGCCGCTGCTCAGAGAGCGAAGAAACTGGTAGCATAGCTCCCATTATCGATTGGTAGCGCAGGTAGGTCATGTCCTCGATTTTTAATTCGTGCAGCCATCGCCTGGTGCCGTCGGTATGTGGAAAAGGTCCATTCGCCTCCGAGCACCGAGCTAATGACGAACACAACGCCACCATTTCTCCCGCAGCGGTTACTCGAGGAACTGCACGTGACTTCTACTTTGGCTTTAAGAACAGATACAGCGGAAAAGGTTACAGGGGTGCCACCCCGTCACCCCGGCGGACGCGCCGCGTCGAATTACCGACGTTAAAATGCACCTAGGTCGGGACGCGCTACCTGAAAGCCCCGCTGAGGCATGGTTGTATAAAAACAATATTAATTGTGCCGCAAAACCCTGCAACCTAAAGATTTTAAAAACATAACGCGCCCCTCTTTTTGTACTAAACTCCAATTGCATACAAAAAGAGTCTTTTCCGTTTGTTTTTACGCAAAAACAGGCTTTCAAAAAGCTCAAGGTGACCACAGTACAGACAAACGATAAAGAGTGGCGCTGTTGTTGCATTTAGCTCAGTCTCGGTGGACGCCAGCGGCCCAGGTTTCGACGGCAAGTTTCCCAACTGAGTGTTTTAGTAACGTTGGTTTGTGCTGAAACACTGGCATCAGGCTCGGACGTCTAGCGCTCCCTTTCGCGGAGAATAAGCTTTCGGACATGCATAGTTTATTTTTCCGGTGAAAAAAAGCCTGTAAATATGTTTTTTTGAAACACCCTGTAGAGGCACACAAATTAATGGAGGGCGTGTGCACCCGTCATCTGCGGCGCGTCGTCGCCGTGAGTGTGCAGGCTCAAAATTAGGGGTGTCGCGAACCGGTCGAGGTTCAAGTTCAACCAGGTTCGACTTTTTCGACTTTCTTGTGAAAAATTCGAAAAGGTTCGATTCAGGTTCAACTGCTATGCGCATGCGCGACAGGCTGGCCAGCTGGTTTCGGATTGAATGGTGATGGCTAAGGGATGAAAAGGGCAGCACTGATTAATTGTTTCAGTCAATACAGTACAAGCATTTAACTTGTTAACTTCTTCAGTGATTAGAATTAGTTTCTTGTAATTGCAACTGTTCATAAAATTAAAATAACCCTTTGCATAAAATAAAAATTCTCCAAACCTAGACATGCTTGTATCAAGGTCTGGCCACCCTGTCCACAAAGTCGAACCGGTTGAATTTGGTTAAAAGTTCGAAGAGATCGTTGACCGGTTCGAACAAGTCAAACCCCAAAAGTTCGACCTAAAAGCCAGGTTCGACAAAAGTTGGCGACACCCCTACTCAAAATTGTGTTTCTTGTATGTTTAGACAGCCTTGAAGTTGGTACACTTTAACGGGTGACCTAGGTGTCTTAGCTGTAGATGAGAAATTTAGCCAATCCAGTACAACCGCTAACCTGGTGTCTTTAACGTGCACGCAACGGTGATTTTATATATAATAGCTTCGCTTGATTTACCTGCACCGGTGCAGAAAAGTGTAGGGCGGTGTACTTACGGTCGTATTTTAATATACATACCGGAAGTACAATGTCCTACACTTTTGTGCAACGGTGCAGGAGTTGAAAGTAAATTGAACGAAGCTATTGATTATATATTATAATATAAAAAGCAACTTCGAGGCACTGTTATTCGTTAGAAAGATTTCACAAAAACGTCATACATGTTTCTTTAATAAATTAACATTTTTAATCACCATAGATACAAACTAACATAGCCACTCCGTGACGTGGTGCATCGTCTGCTCTCATCCTACCTGCTCCGTCACAGGAGAGCGCCCGCGAGGTGGCGGCACCAAAACATCTCGTCGCCAATAGTGGAAAGGCTAGCTGCCTTTGTCTCAGGGCCAAGTGCCTCCCTCCAACTAGAGTGAACGGGACCATCGTCTGCCCCTCATGCAGGGGCAGTAGGGTCACCGAACGCCGGCGTCACCTGCCACGCCTAGCAATGGCTGTTTTATATGTTCTATGCGGATTCCAGAAATCCCCACGACCATTGTTTAAATCAGGATTTCACCGCATTGTATTTGGCATTCGAGAGAGTTTGGAAGCTCCCATATCATGATGTCCACGAGAAACTTTTGGAGGCTGAGAAGCCTCCCCCAAGTTGTGTTTGGATAAACTGAAGGCCTGAGGACCAGTTTTGGTGGTCCTTATGTAGACCACCAAGTTGAGCTGGAGGCCTGAAGCTGTCACATTTGGCAACAGGTAGACAAGTCTGCAAAGACTCTGTTCACATTGTTGCAGCCGGTTATATTTCCAGATTTCCGCCCATATTGGGTGCTTGGGGACCTCATCCAGCTGGAAATTTTGGAGGGCTGTCCTTCACACCCTGCGATCATCAACCAAATTTGGGCATATACGATTGATGTTCTCCCCACGGAACCATCCAAAATCTGGCTGCCCAGTTGTTTTGTTCTATGGTCTGCTGTAGGGGTGTGTGCAAATAGCTTGAATCAAGTGGCCATGCGTCATTAATATCTTCCACACTGCAACGGAAACCCAGGGCATACCGACTCTCTTTGCGGTGTTGAAGCTAGGGGTGACACTGCACTATTTGATTCAATCTAGTATTGGCACACCCCTAGTCTTCTGTCAAGGGCAAGATGAAGTAGCTGTTTGAAGAATTCTTGATGCATCTGGAAAGCAAGGAGAGGTCTTTCCACAAGAGCCAAGCGTCGGCAGAGGAAAGGGAAAGAGTGCGCGAACAGAAGGTACCATGCCAAGGTTCCTAGGTTTCAAGAATGTGACTGTGCAAGAGAAAGAGCTCCCAGGTGGCAGAAAAGGAGCTCAGCAATACATGGGCCCAATAAAAGCCATTAAAAAAAAAAAAAAGTTGGTTTGTGTGTGTGTTTATACAGCCTAGAACTTGGTCTGCCTCAAGGGGCGACGAGTCTCCCAGCTGTAGATGAGAAATTTAGCCAGTGCAGCACAACCGCTGGCCTGGGGTCTTTAACGTGCACCACGCAGTAGTGATAGACGACTGCACGCCGGTACGATGCTCATCCAGATCGAAACAGGCAGGGATGGGAATTGAACCATAAAGGCCATTATGAAGCAAGGAGCAAGCACATTCCCTGTAGGATATTCACTCCCAGAGCATAAGAACGGAGAGGTCCGTTAGCAAGTCATGTACCAACTGGCCCACCCATTCATTTTATTGTACTTGTGCCCCAAGTAGGAAATTGGGTGGTTTCCTTGCGACGTCGGGGCAGCGACAGAAACCAGACAGATCTGCCACCCTAGGATTCGTTGCCAGGAGCAACAGTAGCCTAACCAGCAACCGCAGTGTCGGGTGTGGCATTGTGTACTAGTATACCAGAACAGGATGATTCTACCCCCGCGTACTGCTGACTGGCTTGGCAGGTGCTGTAACAAGACACTGTTGCCAGACAGCCACCAACACGAGCACGTAAACTGCCAGAATAAATCGGTGATTGTGCGACTTAGTCTCCTCAGTGGCGAAATTGCCGGTTTTCAAATACAACATTTTTCGTTAGCGTAACAATGTTTTTTTGGTGTACGATGGCACAGGTATATCGGGCACAGAATGTTTCAGGATTACGACTGTTTATGGAAGCAACAAAACAAGTCTAATACGGTATTCTGCTATATATATATGCGGCTCGCCTGCGACATCAGTCCGCCCCTCTTTCTGGTGGCCAGAAGCGCCTCGTTAATGCAGCGGAAGCGACTCCTCCCGCGCCCTTTCCCCCAAGTCTGTCCCTCTTACTGGTGGCCAGAAGTGTCTCGCTAACGCACTGGAAGCCACCCTCTTACGCGCCCTGTCCCCCATTACGTCCGACCAAGTGACATCAGCCTATCTGGTTTTGTACAAGAATGCAGTGTCAGGAAAATTATAAAGAGCCGCCAGCATTTTGCAAACTCATCCTCAACAACTATTCATAGTTTAAAAAAAGACGATACACAATAAGCACATAAGAGACTTTAAGGAGAGCTCGATCTAGGTCACTGGAATAGACCTATTGCTGTATTACCCAAGCATCAAGGAGAATGCAGGGATTGGTGTTCCACGTGCCACACGCACACGCCTTCCCCGTACAAAAGATTCGAAATAAATAACCAAAATAAAACGGTGACGAAAGCGAGTGCAAAATACAATTTGTTTTAGGTTTTTGCTTTAGAAAATTTATTACCGCTGAGGCCAGCAGATTGGAACACCAATCCCTGCATTCTCCTTGATGCTTGGGTAATATAGCAATAGGTCTATTCACAACTGCACGGTGCCAGCAGGATTGGGCTTCATTGCCCGAGCTATGGCAGCATACATGTTTCACCAGATATACCTTCGGTACCATAATTCAGAAAAGGGGGGATTCAAGCAGCATTGGAAAGGGTTGTTCCAGTTTAGAAGTCCCGTCCCTGTTATAAGCAAGCCCAACCTGCCCAAGCAAGGTTTACCTTCACAATGACAAGCTGTGTCAACTTAATCTATCTGCCCCTCAAAGCCACTCTGTTCTGCGTGGATAGATATTGCCTAGACATGAAAAGACTCCTGAAGTTTGTTTTTTCTTCAATGCACTTCTGGGTCAAGGCAACAGGAGGCATATTTGCCTTTCAATTATTTATTAGCGCTCGTTTCTTTTGTGTAAGAATGCCGGAAGAGCTGGCCTAGCAATGAAGGCTGCATGTTTTGTGGCAATCTTCAGCTTCAACCACTTATAAATCTCATTTCTGAACCGTAGTGCAACATACAGATTTATGCAGGGAACTTTTCTGTTAGTGAACAGTTTCTAGAGGTCTACCATGCCTTGGGGAGCCACAATGCAACAAACACAATGGAGTGCACTTCTTTATTACGTTTCGGCGTAAACTATGTACAAACGACCTCCTGACTGGAGAGGCACGTTCTCAAAGCTGTCACAACTGGAGTCCCAAAGCGTAGCCCCCAACTGAAGAAGAAACGGAACGGTCCTGTTGCACGCCGGTGGCGGCACCCGGGCCTAGCCGGGAGGGCTCAGATGACGTCGGCGGGAATGTGGATGCACGTCTGGTCGCTGGGCCACTCCGGTGCGTCCTTCTGCTCCTTCTGCCTCGCCACGAGCTGCAAGATGGAGCAAACGACGAGCCTCGACTTGTTTTCGAGGCTGCCATCGCACTATGGCTGTCTCGGTTAACCCGAAGAGTTAACATAATTATCTAGAGGAAAAGGTCTCATGCTTTTCAACCGCTCTGGAACGGCGGGACAGAGACGAGGACATTGGTGGTCTCGAAGGGACCATATTGCTGGCGGCGCTTTGATGTACAATGAGAAGCAGAAAAACATTGCTAGTAAAGTCTGTACCTAGCACTTTTTCTAGCCTTCTTTAGCACAAAAACAATGTTACGCACTGCATAAAAACAAAAAAAATTGCTAGGCGATTGTGTTGCATACGTGAAAAGTTTTCGCATCAAAAACGATTATATCATTGTTTAGCAGCACGTCTAGCCTGTTCAGCCAGACGCCTACATTCATGGCGCTCCTCGTCGGATAACGTGTGGCATGCGCGCATGTGAAATGATAAACCTGGTGATTTTCCACAACCTACTAGCCCACTCCTCTCCCACCTTGCCTACCTCTTCCCCTCGCTCCACCCCTGGTCACACGGCCCTCCCTTTAACCAACTGGCGTCGAGCACGTCCCTCCTCCCCTCCCCTTCATCGACCAATCGGTGCCGAGCCTCGCGGCCATGCATTTATCCAGGCTTCACTTTTGGCCTTCATGAAACGCCAAATGCCTAGCCAAAGAACGTTTCACACTATAAAGAAGTCGACGAGCACTCAAAGAAATTCGACGCATCGCAGCAAAAAAATGAACGCGCCTAATTTTTCGTCTCCTTTTTTTCCGCCGCTTTTCCTTCTCTTTCCGTCGCTTTCTTTCTCATTCTTTCTCACGAGACCATTGATGTCAGCGCTTACGATTTGCCGCGTTGTGCTCCCGTCTTTATCCGACGGGCTAGCCCAAGTACGGTGCCTGGGACGTGTCTTTGACTGGAGTGCTCGGCGTCCTATTCCGCCCGCACGTTGGAAGTGGTCCACAAGTGGCAACGCATTGCGTTGCGGGAGACGCCCTTCTCACGCTATCGGACGTCGCGACCCCGGCAGTGGGTCGCGGCAGTTCTGACAAAAAAAGGCAAGCGTCACGGTCGTTGCGGCGTCCCAACTCCCCGCTGTCGAAGCTTCCGTGGACCGTCAAGCCGGAGAGCGACCCGAAGCAGGACGGGCGTCCGCCGCATCCACTTCCGCCGACGTAGCGCCGCCGGAATAGCGACGGGGAACAACTTGACAGAAGTGCAAAGTCACTGGGCGAAAATAAAGGGAACACAATCGACGACATGGTACCCGCACCGGTCGAAGACAAGTTCCAGTCACCGTGATGCTCGTTTGAAAAGTGGAAATTGTGTAAAACCTGAAGCTCACAAAAAACCAATTCCCGCTTTTGCGAGCTATTCTCGAAGCTCGTCGTCAATCAACATCCTCTTGTTTCGGGATATTGCGGAACAATTAGAATTGGGGTATCACTGCAGACGCCGCGGTCCGTTCGGCACGCTACGTGTCGAGAGACGCACACGCCGGTTGGTCGCGAACGTTGGGAGTTGGCGAAGCACCCCTTCGGCGTGCCGCGCAAACCGCCGACGGGACAGCTCGTCACAAATTTGGCGAAAGATCCCAAATTTAAACAAGCGCAGCCGTTGCTCCCTTTTGGCCGTCTGCCACGCAAATCGTGCTCGCACCGGCAGATTTTTGCTCGGCGTTCCCGCCTGCGTCCGCAGACGATCTCGCCAGAGTCGTCGAAAGGATGCGAACAGCAGGGAGGGGCTTCGGTTCTCCCGCCTCCAGAGCAAGCTCCCTACCTTCGACGATGCTTTGGAATCTCGTTAGCCTCGAGCGTGCACGACGTCTGACGGCGCGACACTTGGGCTTTTGTGACATCCTTTGTTGCCACTTTGGGACCACTTTTGATGTGTGGGCGGAATAGGAAACGCGCCGGTTGGAGTTGTGCCCCAGGCGCCGTCCTGTAGCACCGGAGAGCAGACGGTCTGTGCCGAGAGCTTACGTCGTTGATGAAGAGGCTCAAGGTGGGGTAGTATCCCTTGCACAGCCAGGTCTCGTTGTGGGTCCCAGACTCGAAGGTTGCTAGCCTCTTCATGGGACTGCCGCAATTCTGCGGGAGATGCGAATACAAACTTTTCGTTAATGCCCCCAAACCTGCGCGGCTTTTTTCTTTTCAGGGCCGCCAACTTCCACAAACGTTTGCAATGTAAAACGAAGGACTATTGGACATGCAGACAGTCTCACAATTACTGCCATCACTTCAGCATCCATCACTATTTCGTGTACTCTCTTTTAATGGATGTAGAAACCACACTTTCTACGAGCAAAAATGTGGGAACTGTGTTCACGCCAAGCTTTGACAAGATGGCAGCTGCAAAAAATTACCCCAAATGTTCGAAATCCACGTTGGTATGATATTTAGTTGCAAAACATTTAAATGGACTCATTATTTTCGTTGCTCTAACACCTACTCTAGTTGTGTGGGGGGATTTCATTTATATTTTGTTGCCTTCATTCCACGCAAGGGGACCGTGGGTACCTCGTGATAAGGGTTTCATATTTCGGGGGTTTATTTTTCTTCGAATTCGGGGGTGTTTTTTGGGGGTTGGGTGCTTTTTGGTATCAATTTTTGTCATTTGACAAAAAGTCGGGGATTATCGGGGTTAACGTTAAAGGAAATGGGACACAGGATTCCCCAACTTCCAGGAAAAATGTGAATGCCCCAATTACTTGCAAAACGTCCCCGTACCGATAAAAAAAAAAAAATAATTAGACGAAATGTGTGGCTTCGAAGCACGAGCAGCCTCTCGGGCAGCTATGTATCGGGTCAACACACAATAAACCTCTAGACAAAAATTTTCCTTCCACCATTTTTATTCAAGGGTAGCTCCAATTCTGAGTTTTTCGGTTTCTCCCAATTTAAATAAAATGCGGCTCAGGGGTTAATTTTCGGAGTTCATCGGCATTTACCGGAAACGCAGAACCTTACTCGTGATGCGGGCCGAATAAACAAAGCCACGCTCCTGCAAGACGGCACATTTGATCATGATAAGCGGGCTAGTGCCGACCGATTGTGTAACGGCCTCTCGACTTCTAAACAGCAACCCAGAGCGCAACTTGGCACCACGTGACATAACCCAACAACCATACAACGCAACACGACCCCCTCCCCCACAAGTGAAGGGTGGTTGGTGCAGAACAGAGGAGAATGCAGAAGGACTTTCCTGCTGTATGAGAAATAGGTTTGGCATTACATAAGGCGCCACATGTGCTTTCGGATCTGAGGAAAGGACCCACCAGGATGGCACAGAAACAAGCTTGGTACGAGAAGTGGCATTACCAAATGTGAGCTGGCCATTCCTTGGGTTGCTGCCAGATGACACAAAAACTGCAGCCCAGTATAATCTGGAGTCCTGGGTTGCATGTCAGACCAAGTTATGGTGCTGCAAACATCTCTCGAGCAGTAAAGCATATCGATCCATTGTAAGGCAGAATGCAGTGATGGAAGCAGATATTGACTTTTTGTAGCAGGTTTTGTAGCGGGAAATGATCGGTTCGGAGCACCCATCGGCGCTTTTGGAGCAACATCTGTATGGACAATACTCGAAAATGAAAAACTGATTTTATCGCAAAACGAGTTTTTCTTTGATAATGAAGGGTTCCTCTTTCATACAGATGCATATTACTGATTACCCTTTGTAACAAGAATAGATAGAATGTGAAAGGAACACACAGCTCTCTTTTTAGTAATATAAGGCTCAGGTCAGAGTAGATTCCATTTAGAATGGGTATTAAAAAAATGGTTGAAAATGAATCATAACGCAACACTTCTGTTGAGAAAAAGCCCTTCTCTTTCTCCCCCTTTTACAGACGGTAGTTTATTTAGCCTGTAAATATAATTTCTCTTAAATGCCAGCAAAAACCAGAATAGCGGCTAAAGCGTCTAACAATAAAACAATAAAAATATGTCCCCCCAAATTTTATTAGTCTGCCAAACTGAAGATTCAAATATCATAAACTGCAAAATCTAGCACTTACAAATATTATGAAAACCTACAGTTGTGCATTATAAGTTAGACTCCACACTAGCAGCGTTGGAACCAGAGTTGAGTTAAAGTTCGCTGCCCTTTCGATCAACTGCTGCACGCAAACTAATTTGACTACCGTGTTCATTCAAAATGAATTAAGACCCGAGTGTTTTTTTTTTTTAAATCAGAAGTTAACTTAGAATCAAGCTAAGAGAAAGCCGACCTGTAAGAGTACTGAGCATAATTTCCAGTCAATCGTGCTAACACAGGCGCTGCGGTGAAGTTCGAACCATGCGTGAGTGCGAGCCAGTGAAGGTTGGCGCGGGCGGTGAAAGTATGATACGCTGTAACCAGGGCATGGAGTGATGTGGCAGACATGCTAGTCAAGTGACCCCAACAGGAGTAAATAAGAAGCCCTGGTTCTGTCTTGTCATAGATAGCCGCCATCCCACTCTGTTGCAAATGTTTCTCTCGACTTCTAGCTCCCGACATGGACGTCATTGTCTGGAAATTAAAACGACGATGGGGCCGCTGCGGTTGACGAGAAATCTCTGTACTTCGTTTCAACGAGCCAATGGGATTAATCAAACAGCGTAAAAAGCGCGACGTCGTGGCATGCGTCATCTTTTTCTATACGTGCTATTTCACTGGTAAACCAAACAGGCTCAGCGAATGCCCCGTGAATTGCGATTTTAGTACTTTGTGTGTTTGTGGTTATGTGCTCGATCCTTCGACTGTACACTCACCTGATGTGAAACAAACAACTATAGGCTGAGTGGTGGCAGCATGAAATACATATATGTATCATTTTGCTCCCTGAATCGATGACTAATAAGCTATTCTTATTTTTTGCTTTGTTTAAGCCCATCTTGGAGCATGTGTGGCACACATCTTAGCAAAAACGGCATTTTGGTGCAAGAAGTAGCAGACTTTCCTTCGTGGCGCAGTTTGGCGCAAATGGTGCATCACTGAGAATGTGTTTGAGGGCTGGGATCCCCGAGAGAAATGTGACAGAGCGCCACGAAAACCCTTTTGACATGTGTGATGCGTACTTCAGAGGACAATATGTACGAAAGAACGCATAACTGAAAAGAAACAAATTAATTGAGAAGAACAAAATTCTAAATGTGACCAAACGGGGATTTGAACTCACAACCCCATGGTTACGAGCCCGACATCTGTGGCCAAGGCACAGAGGGACCGTGCAGAGGAAGGAGTGACATATGCCCCTGGAGCATTTTAGATGAAATGGCAAGCCCCATCTAAACTAAAACACTGTTCGAACTTCCAAACCCGTTTTTCTCAGCTTCATGTTTTCACAATTTTTTCACAGCTCTAAAACTATTGTTCGATGAGTTAAGCGCCCCCAAGTCTAATGTATGGCTTTTTTGGCATGAAATTTACTGGAGAACTCGGCTATGCGCTTACCTTTTGCAAATTGTTATTTCTTCACACAAAAATGTTGACGTTTGTGAAAAAAGAAAAAAATTAAAAATTTATACCATTATTGAAAGTTCATTTTTATGTGAAATATGGCCTTAAAAATTATTTCAAGCCTACTACCGATTAGTTTAGTCATTCAGCGTTATATCCCAACAAAGAAATTGTGCCTTTTTATTCATATTTTGAAACGATAGTTTCTTTCCTTTAGCACTGCTACATGTACATTTTTTCAACGAATAAGGCTGTAACTTGTCAAAAAATAAAACTTTTGGGTTGAAAGTTGGTGTAGCCTCCTAAGTTTTGACGCTTAAAATACCCTAAAAATTTCATTGACCTGGCACAAATACTTAAAAAGTAGACCCTCCAAGGGAGTGCCTCCCCTTAACTTTCTCGGGGTTTTCACACACCCGGCGTGGGCAGACGGGGAACAGACTTGCCTGGTACAGTCGCTGGGTCATGGACGGGGGCACGAGGGCGTCCGAGAGGCCCGACAGAAACAGCACGGGGACCCTCACCCGAGGCACCTTGTCAATGGACCGGAACTGCAAGCGGGGCAAACATGTCCCGTCACGCTTCGCACCGCTCCCAGGAAACCGGAATATTAAATTTCACGGCAACAGCCGTTACGGGGACTTCCCAGCCGAATTTACGATCGCAGAACGGCAATGGGCCGAAAACTCAGTTTCAAATGGTCTCGCACGTGCACCGCCCTGTGACACCAGGCAAAATGCACATACTACCTTGCCGGGTGGCAATGTCGTCTTCTACAGTTGGCGGGAGATGCCGCCGCACGTTCCTTCCCACAAAACTAGGTTTGCTCATACTCTCGGATGTAAAGTGACCGACTGCTCGTAACAATACCTGTCTCAATTTTGGTCTTGCAGCAGGGGCATTAACTTGTGTGTGCAGCGCATTCCCTTTCCAACGCACTTTGGTAACCACGAGGCTATGTTGTGCACAATGGAGTAAATAAAGAGCCGATATGTGTAAAACTGGGTGTTACTACCTGCAATAATAGATATTGTTGTTGCTTCTTCGCACACTGTAGTGAAAAGCTACAGATTTTTTATGCCACAAAAGCAATTGAGGCACAAGCTACACCTTGAAGACTCGTTGGGGGACCGAGCACACGGGGTTCGAACCCTCTAGTTTGTACCCCGGGGGCCGAAACGAAACCTCCACGCTACAGAGGCAGTCATATTGCTGCAGGCGACACATTCGCCTTCCATTTCTCTGGCAGAAGAGTCCTCTTTACTATGGTACCTGAAACGTGTCTCCGTTTGGTGCATTTATCACATTCTTGTTAGCGGTCCCTCAATTTCCATCCGACCATGTCACACCTTCGTTACCGGCCCCGACTCTAACCGTGGCACAGCAGAGGAGGTACACGCAGCAGACGGCTGTTCTGCACCAGCTTGTTCTGCAGCCACAACTGACAGAAGCTAGCAGACACGAGATAAAACACCGCGATGACAGCGATTCTTGCGTCCAATCACCTTTTTCGGCGGAACTTCTACAATCAATCACCAGGATCGAAGCTTCTTACAGCATGACATGGGGGCTCCCATGAGACAATTTGTTGCTACTTCAGGACCACTTTAATACACGCGCAATATAGGACGCCAAACATGCAAGTCGAAGACGTGTTCCAGGCACCATACCTTCGTGCTGCATTGTTGGTGGAGAGTTTGAGTCACGAATCCAGAGGAAAAGGTTCGGTGTGTTCTCGAGCATTTCAGCTGCTTTGAGACAGCAGGGCACAGAGGAGAAGGGGTCACATGTACAAACATTGTCCAACACTTGCGGGAAAGCAGCCTTACAGAGCACCCAGTTCAACGGGAACACCTTTTCGCTTTCCGTTTGCAAAGTGAAGATCTAACACTGAAGTCTGACAAGCAGGAAGCTTCTCGAACCTTCGAATGTTATTTGTGTCAGTTGAAAGTGTGTAAATCTGTTTTTAGAGCGCAGCTCTTAGGCGCCTGTCGCCGACTTGAGCGGCATCACCGTCGGCGTCGGTGTAACTGTAAGGTCACGTGACCCCCCCAGGTCATGTGACCCCCTCCCCCGAGGTCACGTGACCTCAGGGAGTTACCTATCCCTCAGTACCCTTCCATCCACCTCCTCAAGGGCTGCACTCCAATCCGGCGTTACTGGGAGTTGTAAATGGCTTTCATTTTTATATTGCAAATGCTGTTTCAAAGCGGCCACCGACAAGCGGACAACGACTATGCAGTGCAGTGCATGCTCGCACGCTACCGAAGGAGAGGGTTGCTGCGGATGTGCCGCCACGCCAGCTTTGGCCGCACGCCACCTCGTCTCCTGCAAGGGCGACGGTACCTTCCCGCGATACTTGAAGGATCAAAATGGGAGACGACTGTGATACTCTGCTCCACAGGTGGAGCATATACAGCTACTCTATACTTCATTTCACGTTACGATAGACTGCAGACGACACTACTAGCCATGGAAGCCAATTCAACGCTCCGCGAGTGTCATGTGATCTTCGGTAGGGGAGCAACGCGACATGCACATGGGCGCGTCGTCATGTGACACTTTCTTGGCACTGGACTGGCTGGGATGACTCGCAGCATCTGCGGTGGTACATCGTAAGGTGAAACAAAGTGTAGAAGTAAAAAAAAGATGAAGTGTAGCTAAGGTCAACTTATGAACCAAAAATTGTCAGTCAACGCCGAGCGAGTAACTATTTTTTTTGCGCTCGTGTCCTTAGAGTGCTCGTCTTCCAGGTGCGCCGTTACGTCGAACACCATGAACAACCAGCTCACCCAAAGGGCAGTTTTGATACGAGTATAGCAGCGCCGGACAGGCTCGTCTCACCTGGCTCTTGAAGCAAAAGTCCGGCAACCACCGCAGCCAGCCGAAAAGCAGGCGTCCCACCTCGGGCACCGAGCAGAAGGTGTTCTCCACCACGATGCCCAGCAGGCGGCAGGCATGTTCCGGCCGCGACGCCAAGTCCAGGGCCACGGCACCGCCCAGGGAACGTCCGAAGACCAGCAGCTTGGTTGCGTCCAGCCCCGGGTGCTGCGCCAGGAAGTCCAGGCCCGCCTGGGCATCCCGGTACAGCCCTGCGCCGGATGGGCGTGCATTCGAACCAAACCAAATTAAGGCTGGTCCACACACTTGCGTTCTGATTTGTAACCTTTTACAACTAGAGAAGACTAGAGAGGCTATATCACAAAGAGTTGCAAGGATCTGCCAAAAGCGCCGATCGTCTGCAAGCGTCTTTGCGATTCCTCGTGCTTTCCTCCTCGCCATGCAGCGCATGCACACTTGCTATGAATCCTTGTGGGAGCCGTTCGCCATCGAACTGCAAATGCTCCCCAAGGTTTGAGAGGAACCTTCTCTTCGATCTAGGCTCCTTAGAAAACACTAGAGAGTCCAGATTGAAGAGAGGGTCCGACCGAAACCAAAGAGAGCATTCGCAATTTAATGGCGAACGACTCCCACAAAGAACAGACGCAAGCGCAACGTTGTCAAGTGGCAAGGAGAAAAGTGGGTGGAAAAGCGGAGACGCTTGCGGATCATAGACACTTTTGCCACCTCCTCACAGCTCGTATCGCAATCGCGGCACATGAACCATGTGACCCCGATTGGGCAGTTGGAAACTCTCCCTAATCTAGGCTCTCTAGAGAACACACTGGCATGGTGGCGCCATCTATGGGGTGGCCGTAGGACTAAATGCTACTATGGCGAAGGTCTCGTGGTATTGGCGAGATCAAATGTACATATGTGCTATCTATGAGAACTGGTCGTTTATAACATTGTAAAAAATTTTTCGAACCAATAAAGGACAAATGATGCACGGAAAATATAGGAAATCTATCGATATTGCGAGTGTTTGCGGCTACCTGATAGATAACGCCATTGTGTTCTCTCGTCATAAGAGATAATAATAATAATTATAATAATAATCATTATTATTATTGTTATTGGCCAATAGGAAGAAACAATACTTATTCAGATCTGCCTAAGCCAAGGAAGGCTTGTGCTGCATGACCTGGCAGTAGAGCACACTCTTCACATCATGAAACGGGTCACAGCAAAGAAAAAGTAGTAAGTAAAGTTTTGATTATTTGGTTATGTCATTGAAGTTCTTTTTTTCCTTAAACCATTCTTGAGCTTATAGTTAGGAGTTGCTAATGAAATGTGATCAGGTAGCTCATTCAAAATCTTTGGAATGTAAAATGATCTAGGCAGTGCTTTCCTCATAGTGATTATAAATTCATGGCGTTTCATACAATGCAGTGCTCCTAAATTTACGAGAAAGCAGTCTTAATATTTTATAATAACTGAACCAAATGTGTTTAAAAACAACAGTTTGAAGAAATATAGAATAGAAACAAGGCCACTTAAGAGAGTCAAACAAGTTATTAGTATGGTCAGTTGGTAAACCATAGGAGAGACTTTTTAGCATTCCCTTCAAAATACAATTCTGGTGTGCCACTGACAGGAGCAGTTCAAAAAGAGAGTAACACCATATTTAGGAATATTGTTTGCCAAAGCATGCATAAGCATTTTCCTAGTGCTAAAAGAAAGAAAAACTTAAAGGCTGTAGAGCTGACAAGATACATTTCTCAGGCGTTTCGACACAGAGGAAAGGTGCGCATTCCATGACTAGTCAGAATCAAAGTAGATTCCCAGATACTTGACAGACGATTCATATTGAACAGGATTACAACAGTGTGGTACACATTCATAGTCGTGTAAACACAAAGAAAGGAAACACCCTAACCTTTTTTCAAGGGCTTTGAACACAGACCAGTTTAGTTCTGGAGGCACTCACATTTATCCTCTTCTTTTTTAACCAATCCACAGCAGCAATGGCATTTTCTTGCAAGAAAGCGTGGCATATTCAATATCGGTACGACACAAATCAGGCATGGCAGCACTAGTTGACACTCTGGATAAGGAACTTAGCCAATGCGCGCGACTGCTAGCCCAAGGCTTTTAACAAGCATTGCGCAGCAGCGATACACGACCGTACGCCGTACAATGCTCATTCAGATCGAAACGGGTAGGGGTGGGGATGGAACTTAGGATCCCCGGGTTCCGTGATGCAAGCTTTTTGCTCCACGTGCCCCGAGCTGCAGTGTTCAAACACGCTCCGCAAACGACGCTACGCACTCCCTGCCGACAATGTGTCTTTAACTGGTGTATTTAGCGTCCTTTATCGCCTATGTGCCAAAAAATAGTCCGGGCGGCAAACTGCGTCGCTTGAGACGGCGTGCCGTGCCGTCCGATCACAATCTCGGCAGTTGGCAGTAGAAGCTACAGCAACGAAGATGAGCGAACATGAGTGTCGCCGTCATTGCGGCATCCTGACTCGTGGCTGGTGAAGCATCCGTGAACTGTCGCGCCGAAGAACGACCTGCAACGGGACAAGCGTCCGCTGCGTCCACTGCCGCTGCTCTGCCACTGCCAGGATCGTGGCAGGCAATGGTGGGGAACGAGCGCGGCATCGTCAGGCGACAATCGAGGGCCACAAATGAGGACGCGGTAAACGCACCAGTTCCGAGACGCGCTGCAGGCACTGCACCTCGACCAAATTTCAGTGCCACACCCCCGCAGGTCCTAGTCAATTTTGCGAGGCTCGGACCAATCTGCCAAAAGGATATCGGGTAGCCAAATCCCAACACCTCGAACCCAGCTTGACTCAAGAATGATACACTCGGTTTAAATCCATTCGGATCCGTTCAACCGTCGGGTTGGGCTAGGGTGTTCAGACCTGCCCGAGCCCCCATAATCTTCAGCATGCCAAGATTCAGAACCACACCGTTATATCAACTAAATACGTGCTTTGCAATCGAGGATATCCGCAAACGGTATACTAAATTGCCGACTTTGTTTTGCTAAGTTCCGTTATACAAAAGGTTGACCGTACCATGAGGTAAATAAATTCAATCGTGCACTGCACTTGCCAAAGGTAAAAGGCAGGCGACCTCCCAGCAACTGTATGCACTGCCTATTCTCATCGACCATGCGGCCACTTTTGTATCGCAGAGCAGAGACTCTCGTAACCTACGAGCCTTATTCCTTGAAAGGAACTGAGGACACGAGCCCAGTGGACCATAAATTGCTTTCCCAACCCCTGGGATGCCCCACTCAAGATCTCAGAGAACACCGAAACGAGAGAATCCGCCGGTGATGGCTCAACATTTGCTGCTGGCCACTAAATGCCAGCTGGCACTAAATGCCAGTCTGGGGGCCGAACACCGCTAGGCAGAGGTCAACTGTCAATATTAAAAACACTGGCTAGATGGCGCAAGCCGCCGTTAAATTTTTAAGTGTTTAGCCGTGCGCATCCATCTATCCATCCAGTTGAAGTGGCTCCCCTGAACAAAAGCTGCCAGCACTTACCCTCTTCGCTTGGGGTGCCCTCGCTGCGTCCGTAGCCACGGTATTCCACCAGCAGAACGTTGCAGCCGCACTGGTGGAACAGCCCGGCCACATTGTGAAGCCTGGGCAACAGAGAGATTCACCGATGCCTTCACCACCCTCCCGCACGCTTTGCCTGTACACAAGTCCCACACCTACACAACAACCGCCTCTTTCTGACAGCCGCATTATCTATCGGAAAATAACTGACACACCTGACACCTGTCTACTGCAACCTGACCTTAGTCAAATAGCAGGTGATGTGACCAGTTAACAGTAATTCTGTTGTATGGATGCTTAAACAGCAGAAAGGTAGTCAGTCCCAATGGGAGTCTGATCTACCATAAGGAAGGTAACACAGGGAAGGGGACGGACAACCATGTCTCCCAGTCATTGGCAGTCATTGTTGTCCGTCCTTTCTCTCTGCTGCCTTCGTTATGGTGGATGTTGTTACCAACACACTCGATTTGTACCTAATACCTGAAATTTTATATATCTGCCGTATATGAGAAATTTAGCCAGCGCATTACCACTGCTGCCATGGGGTTCTTAAAGGGGCACTCAAGTGGATTCTGAGATTGTTTATTTATTGTCATAACTCAATCTATCGGCTCTAAGCATCCTAAAAACCAGAAATTACATTCAAGGGCGGCCAATTTCCCTATTAAAAATACCATCAAAGTCAAACCACTCCTACCTTTCTGCACCGTGGCACAGAACACCAGGAGGCACCACTGGACAGGAAGACAGTAGGGACTTACAGGCGGACTAAATTTTCAAATATGCGCGCCTTAAAAAAATCCGTCCGCCGTGAAGCCATCACTCATGATTGGCTTTTGCGTGCCCTCCCCTGCTGAAATCAAAATCAAATTGGACGTTTAGTGTTTATACAGCGTAAGGTTGGTCTGCCAGGATGGGGCGACACTGGTTTACACTGTAGATAGGCAATTTTGCCATTGCAGTACGATGCGGTACGACTGCTAACCTGGGGCCTTTAACGTGATCACGCAGTAGTGATACATGACTGCACGCCAGTACGATGCTCATCCAGATCGAAACCGGCAGGAATGGGGCTTGAACCCAGGATCCCTGGGTTCTGCAGCTCGAGCTTTCGCTCCACGCACGTCGAGCTGGGTGTGCGCTTTAGCCCACTCGGCCACCAACCCCCCCTGCTGCCTTCCTGTCTGGTGGCACCCCCTGGTGTTCTGTGCCACGGCGCAAAAAGTGGGGCACGGCACGATTTTTTATTGGATTTTTAATAGGAAAATCGGCTACCCTGAAATGTGATTTCGGGTTTTTTAGGATGCTTAGAGCCCATAGATTGGGTTATCACAATAAATAGACGATCTGAGAATCCACTTGAGTGTCCCTTTAATGCGTGTCATGCGGTAGTGATTTGCACGAACACATGCCAGTACTATGCTCATCCAGATCAAAACAGGCAGGGGTAGAGATTGAACCCGGGACCCCTGGGTTCTATAGCACGAGCTTCCACTCCACATGCTCCGAGCTGCAGCATGTTAGTACATTCGGCCATCGATGTAGTGCAACCAGTTGCCAATGGACCTAAACACTAACAAATGAAAATCTTGGAGTGTCACATGCTCAATCTTTGTGTCATATTTATCATCTTAATAGCGTGCCTTCTACTTCAGTATATGTCTATAAATATCATGGTGCTTGTATATTGTCCAACCTTTCATAGCAGTTATGTCAAATATGTGGCTAAGACGGCATCACTTATCAGTGATTCCATCACAGTGGATGTTCCACTAAATTTCGCAAATTTCATCTCTTTATGGCGGGGCAAAAATGGGTCTAGCACCTTATGTGTTTGAAGGTGCTTCACAGAAATGTGAAGCACTACTGCTTCACATTTCTGTCACATTGGTTTCATAAATTCCATCCCATGTCGTTTTCACATCAATAAATAAATAAACACTACTATATATGCTTAGAATTAAAAGCTAAACCTGCATTAATGTCAACCAACTCACCCTATTTTTAAACCCTAGGCAACTGCTGCAAATTTTCACCGACCATACTCGAACAGCGCTGACAAAAACATGCGACTGTCGAAAATCAAAGTAATCAAGGTATGATTGCTGGTGTAGAAGGCCAACTGTGAGCTCCAACAGGTAAGCGAAGCTACCAAGTAAGCTAGCAGGATGTTGACAGCGACAACTTTGTGAGCTTTGTCCTAAGTTTTAAGCTAGGAAAGACTGCATTAAAAAGATGCGTAAAATTTTAACAAAATTTGATGAACTTGGTTTGCAATTTTTCAAAATGATTATGCAATTTTTTTTTTTTTTTTTTAATTTTGTAAGAAAACTTTTTTTAAACTTTATGAGCTTGGACTCGAAAAAAGTTTGAAAGAGAGAGAGAGAGAATAAACTTTATTCAAAACGGCCCAGCAGTTTTGCTTTAAAAAGTTTGAAACCTTCGAATTTTTCACACATTAACATTATAAAGCTTTTCAAACTAAAATTTTCAAGAAATCTTACAAGCTCCAAACTTTGCAAGGTTGAACCTCAACGACGTGCGTAGGTTTCGAACACCGCAAATTCAAACCGAACCAAGGTTGGAAAATACTGCAACCTCTCAAACTTGAATGGCTCGCAACGTCTCCAGTTCTTCTGGTGCCATTTTCATCTCGGCTCTGCTTTTGCACCTTGCGCGAAAAAGCGGGGAACGGCCTTTCCGGTTTGTTTGCTGGCAAAGAACCCTGTGCAGGTTAGCGATGGCGCACTGGTGTTTTCTTTCCTTCGTGCAGCGAATAAGGCAGTCGCGCTACCTCGTTCCCAGCCACTCATTTGCAGACTGCACCGGTTATGCCCGGTTACTTAGGTTGGTTCAATAAGTGTTTAGTGCCTCCCAACAGGTCGAGCAACACTGGGCAAGTCTCAACCAAGACCACCTAGAAGACATTCCAGCATATTACATCGTTAAAGGGATACTACAACAAAAATTCCTGCGCTAATTTTTTGGCCTATACGTGTTCAAAGGAGCAGTATTACATCGGACACAATATTACTTGTTAAAAAAAGACACGAAAAGGAATTTTAAAACAAATTAAACGATTAGCAAAGAGCGCCTGGTGGATGTCGCTAAAGCCTTGTTTTTAATGACCATCTAAAAACCTTGAAAAAGGGAGTGACGATGACAGTCTCGCCTAGAACTACACATGCTTTAATAATAATCTTTATTTTTGTTGGGTGTCCAAAAACAGCACAAGGCCTAAATAGTGGTACACCGCTCGTCATCAAGGATAAATGCAGGCAACAAAACAAGGTCGTGACTATGTACAAATAATTGACTCAATCCTATGTCGAAAAACAATCAGGTCGCTAAAGATATCTACAGCAGATTGATCCAGTTTGTTAAATTCAAGTTGCATTCTTGTTAGTGGTGACGCGAACCTGACATCATCCTGACATCATCCTGACAGCTCTCCGGCCAGCACAAGAGAAGAAGGGAGGGAGAAACTCCTTTTACCTGGACTCTCTTTTGTGTGTCCCAGATGTTGCTATTTTCCCTCTACAAGATTATAGAAGATTTATCCGTCACTCAAAATTTGTACGAAAGCAGCTTTGGAGTTAATTGCTGTGGCCCAATCGCTGGCGTGCTTTGACCGCTTCAGTGGCTGGAACAACTAGGGCATCCTGACGACATCAGCCTTGCCGCAGCTTCGCTCATCCCAAGACAGAGTATGTCACAATTGCACCGGATGTGACGTGCTTTCCGCTGGGTTCTCTCCGAGCGCTTGCCAGAATGGGCTGTTTATTACGAAAAATAGAGCGCTCAAAATACAAACATTGTCCTTTACGGATATTGTGGATAATATTCAGCCTACTTCTGAACACAACGGGTATATTTCAAACTTCGTTGAAGTATCCCTTTACTGGATCCCTGACCTGCTCAAAGTATGAAAGAGGCCGAAGCTCGGCAACGGCACACGTCAAGACGGCGGACACTCCTGTCTCGGCGTTGCCGTGCGCTAGCGTCACAATCGTTGTGAGACACCGCAAGATGCACCACAACGACATAGATGCAACATAGATGGCACTGTATGGATCGATTACTGTCGCCGACAGGGTCAGAACGACGGCGCGCTTCTTACAAACTCCCGGCCTCCAGCACACGCTCTGTGCCTTCCGCCGTGTTCTGGCTGCGCATATACACTCAAGGTACACGAGGCGCCGAGGCGTCGTCGAAGGTATAAAGCTCGTGCCGAAAGCAAAACAGCCGAAGCTCCATCCTGCCGTTCTCACCTCGTCGGCAACCATAGTGAAGATGTTGGAGGGAAGGCACGGGACGACAGGCATCGTCTTCTAGGTGACATTGCCACACCGGCCCGGGGAAAGCCCTCAAATGCCGGCGTCGGAGCCCGAGGGACCCACCTGTGCCCGATGTTGCCCGCGTTTCCGTGCAGGTACAGCAGGGTCGGGGCCTGACCGAAGCGGTCAGGAGGCTGGCGCACGAATAGGGCGTGCAGGCGCAGGCCGTCCCGGGTGTGCACGGGGGGCGCCTCCCAGCAGGGCAGCCCCACCAGGGACGGGGAGGGCACGTACAGCCGCGAGTGGGGCGGCTGCTCCGGGTGGTACAGCAGCCAGTCCCCCAGCTGGTACACCAGTCCTGGGCCCGGGGCACGCACCATCGTCCTCAGAAGTGGCCTCGGCGCCCGCCGGTCCACGCGAGCGCTCTGGACTCGCTTCTCTCAACCCGTCTTCGATGCCTACCTTACTTCTAGCTTCCGCGCTTTCGAACGACGCCCGTCCCGTGTTGCCTTGTGGTACCCCCCGATTCAGTGTTCTACCACGTGCTCCCAGAGCTGGTCTACCCATTCCACATTGCTTTACTTCGAAAGGCAGGTCAACACATTTGCGTTGGAGCGTGGTTGAGCGGGCTGCGTTCGCTCGTCGCAGCTTGTGAGACCTGGTACACTGGCGCTACCTATTGGGTAGCCTCGCAACATTTCCAATCTGCATATAATTAGGCTGTTAGACCTTAGACTGCATATAATCAGACAAATCTATGTACAAACGATTGGCGATTTTCATTTAATGTTTTCTAACATACTTTCACACCTTCATCTTTTGACCATTGTGCGCCGGGAGTATTTAATCTGCTCGAGAAGTTTGGCGGGTGAACCTGATGCTACAGATTTCTATTCTAGCCACTATACCCGTTTTCACCTAAAGAACCGTAGCAAAAAAAGTGTGACTCCTCGCAGAGCGCTGCTAATTTTCCCTTTTATGTAGAGAATTAAGATATGTGTCGAGACATATAAGTTTCAAACGCCAAAAGCGTTGCTTCTTTCGACAAACAAATCTCGTAAGAACTACTTCGCGCAGCGTATGAACAATGCGCAAAACTTCCTTTTTTCTTGAGGTAAGAAGGAGCATAAGTAGGGTTCCTCGTTTTCGGGTTTTATATTTTTCGAGAATCGGGGGGTAAAAATCGGTTGCTATTTTTCAGGCTGATAATCGGGGAGAAATCGGGTCTTTCTGAAGCCATTAGGAAATCGGGTTTTCTCGGGTCTTATTTATGAAGGGCAGGTACATGAAATATGTTATTTACACCAACAAAAGTCAACGAAGTATATTTTATAGCAATGGTGCTCGATCTTACAGTATATTTCCGCCTTTCGACTCGTTCTGAAGCGAATATATGCAGAGGTAACGCAAATCAAAGAAGTTTGTTACAATCAAACAAGTGACCGAGGAAGCAGTTTTGAAACGGATACGGAATTGTTCTTATTTTTTCATAAATTCAGCTAATTTCAAGACTGGCATTTGGGGAGAGATCGGGTTTAGTCCAATTTTCATAAAAACTGTTCGGGGTGCAAAAATCGGGTAATATCGGGTTTTCCTCGGAAACGAAGAACCCTAAGTATAAGGCCGTAGATCGCTGGAGTCACAAATAAGAAATGGTCGCTTATAGCATTGTCAGAATTATTTGGAGTCTAGGTGAAAGAATGACGCATAAAAAAATTGGAAAATATACCAGCATGGAAGTGTTCTAGGGGTACCTGGAGCACTTCCCTGCCGGTGTGTTGTCACCATAAGCGGTTACGAGCGGGCGCAACGCAGTCAGGTCGACTCTCAAACATCAAAAGCGTAAACCTGTCTTAACCTTGCTTGGACATCTGGTATCGGACACAGAACTGCATTTCGGAAAGACCAACTCGGCACCAGTGTTGGGTAAAGTGCATCTAAAAAGTACTTGAAGCAAATTTGTGCAAAGTAAATTAGGGGTTATGAACTTCAAGTAAAGTGGTAAATAAGTAAAGTAAAGTCAAGTAAAGTAAATTGGATGCAATGTAATTGAAGTAAAGTACTAAAATATAATGTACTTTCAAGGTGAAGTACAAGTACTTTTAGAGCGCAGCTCTTAGCCACCCGTTTCCCCGTTTTGCGGCATCATCGTCGGCGTAACCGCCCCACTTAATTTAGCGGGAAAGTGAATTGGTGTTGTGGTCACGTGACGTCAATTTTCCCGCTAAATTCTAGCGGAGAAACTGACTTTATTCATGGGTGACGTGACGTCATTTTCCCCGCTATATTTAGCGGGGAAACTAAATTGGTGTTACGGTCACATGGCGTCAATTTTCCAGCTAAATTTAGCAAGGAAACCATGCGAGGAGGGGAGGGTATTGAGGAGGAGGAGGAGGGGAGGAGGAGGGTAGGAGGAGGGGAGAGCAGGAGGAGGAGGAGGGTATACCCTTCCCTCCCCCTTCTCAAGAGCTGCGCTCTAATTTCGCATTACAGAGATTTGTAAAAGTCTTTCATTTTTTAACACAATCTTTCACGATGCCCAAGTTCGTCTGCTCCTTGAGCACCTCATGCATCTGTTTACTCTCAAGATGTGCCCATGTGCTTTTGTTTTTCCTCGACCTCAACCAATGACAGGGCGCACTTGGCTGACTTGTCGCCGCGTGTTCCTTGCGGGTTATCTACGCTGCCCTTTGATTGATGTGCCTCTTCTTGCGCTCCGATGTGGCGAAGACGTATTAGAACACTTGCCCGCCATATACACTTTTTTTTTAACTGGTATGCAATGCCCCAGCGGTAATAGGGAGTGCATTGGTTACTTTCGGAAATGGAGGCGAATATTGAATAAAGTCAGTCAAGTGGCTTCAGAGTTGACAAATCATCATTTTGTAATACAAGCTTAACCAAATTTGAGGAATGTACTTTAAGGTCGGAAGTTGTACTTTCCTCGAAAAGTAAAAAAAAAAAAAAAAAAAGCTTTAGGACTTTTTGAGGGTACATAATCGGAGAATGTACTTCAGGTAAAGTACAAGTATTCTAAACCTCGCTGAAGTGGTATTTGAAGTATAATGTATTTGAAGTACTTCCCAGCACTGCTCGGCACCATAACTCCCTTCCAAATCTCCCTCAACACTTCATGCCTGCCATAGTTTGACTATGCTCTATTCTTTATTGCAGCTGAATTTCTTTTGCCCTTACCAGTTACATATCATGTTTCATGTTCACTGAGGTATTCTGTCTTTCCAGAATCCATACCCCTATAGATCATATTTTCTGTTGACTCTCTTAATCACAAATTATTGTTTGTTGAGCTCTTCACTCTCATGATCATTAAAAATTGTGCATGTTGATTTGTTGCTATTCAACTCTAGACCCAATCTGTGTCCCTCTGTGCCACAGGTGTTTGCTAATTTTATCACAAAACAGAGTGCAAGAAACAGGAACAAAAGAAGACCAATATGATAAAAGAGCAATCCTTCACAACTGATGGTTCATATTTACAGATCCTAAACGGGAGATACCAAAGCCCAGTTCAAACATGCGCAAGACAATTTTCCTAATCTCACAACCAGGAGCAAAACACTGCCCTCTTTAATCAGACTTAAAATTCACAGAAATAAGCCTGTTATTGGCACATAAAATTACAAAGATGTAGTTTCCATTTTTCAAAGTGATATAAACAAATGAGTAGACCGGTTCTCCTGGAATACTATATTTGTACACAAAACCAAAACCAACTTAATGTGTTTCCGGACACATCAGAAAAGAGTGAACCTTATACGTCCTGTCTATCTGCATTCCACCGACTATAATTCTTGCGACAGCTCTCCGCTTGTATATGTAACCGAAACAAAATATTTATTAATAGCTTTTGATGAAAGTCTAATATGGAATGCACATGTTGAAAATTTAGTAAAACGCCTACAACTGGTCTTAGCGTATATGTACAAACGAAGAAACGTCTATAATACTTCACGTAGGAAAAGAGTGTACGAAGCACTAGGAGTCTCCCTCTTGCGTTACGGAATCACTGTGTATGGAGCCTGTTCTGCCCACTGGAAGAAAAAATTAAATAGACTAATATATAGAATTGAGATAGTATTACCTATGGTTCGAAATTTGAAACCCTTGATAACGGTGAAAAATTGGCCTCTCTAGAGATATTGCAGGTTGAGGAATGAAGGGAATATGTAGTTTTAATGAAATATTATACTAACGATTTCAAGTACAGAGTCAACCGACAAAAACATCTGAGACATTCTGAAACCTTTTCCATTCCTATGGTACACACAAATTATGGAAGGCGTTTAAAACAATATTACATGTTCCATTCTACTTTAATAAACTTCCGGAAGAATTGTACGACCCGCCGTCTCTGAAAGACACAAAACAGAAATTAAAGGAGTGGCGCTCTCGTCATATTTAGGTGTGCATATACTGTTCCGTCATTTGCTGTCCACTTTGCCTGTGCTAACAATGTATAGCCTGTTCTGAGCAAAATGTTTCTGTTGCCATTGTTTCTGATTATTTTGAGCACTCCGGTGGGTTGCCACGGTCCTGCACAGAAGCGCTTATGCGGGCCTTCTATCAAATTATGAAAAAAATTAGCTCAATAAACAATTTATTATTCTTATTATTATTATATAGTCACAGATATGTGCTATTATCGGTCATTAGCAGTACACCGCCCTCAAACATCGCACCTGGTAATGACCATACTATTTTTTGGCCTCAGCTGTAATGAAAGGTCAAAACCAAGACCAGTCTTCTCTAACTCTTCCTCTAATCCTTATGGGTACAATGTGAACAGTAGTGGTGACAAAGGGCATCCTTGTTCAAGATTTAATTTGATCTCCGTTGACTCTGCTGCATTTCCTTCTTATGTTATGAGTATTTTGTTGTTTTTGCAAGCATCTTTTAAAACTCTATTATTCTATTCTTCGTAACGGAGATCCTTATTAGGTTCCACATATTCTCATCGAAGACAGTGCTATGATGACCGGCCAATACTTTTATCCTTAATTAACTTTCCCTGACCAGATATAACTATTTCGGGATGAAATAGATGCATTTGCCCAAGCTACTCCCGCCATTTGCACGTTTTGGGAGTGTCACATTTCAGCTAACCACATACAACCCCTGCCATGAATCGAGGTTTTGACCACACCAAGGGTGGCCGACGGTTATTTCTCCTCTTCCCACGATGTGCCGTTTTAAGCCAAGCGAAAACACCCCGCAAAGAAAAAAACTATGCACATAGACATCCAATGATTCAATGGAGAATGTTGATCATCACAGTTAATCACTGACTAACAGAAAGATAAGATTTATGTTTCACGGGCCAATCCACGAGCGACGACACCGTTTTCTGACCGTCGGGGGGCACCCCTCCACGAGAAGGGCCCTGTTCATCTGGACCATCTGAACCTCGATAAATCCAGCCTTGCCAATTTTGAGACCTCCTTCGTTGTCTGCACTCGTTTGGAAAATTAATGCCACCCTGACAAGACACTGGTGCGTACAAAGTGAAATGTTCGAGGAAAGCGACTATAAAGCCTACAAATGTGGGCCAGTGCAAGCAACTTGCCAGGCATGCAGACATGGGGAGCCCAATCCCCCCTCCCGACTGCAAGGTGCAGCGGAGGGAGCTAGAATTTCTCTGTAGAACGCCGAGGTGCCCCCTACGAGAAACCCTGTCTGCATGGTCAGACAAAATAATGGATGCCCTAAGTCTGTGCTTTGGGGTGCGAGAGTTTGTCGCTCCGTTCACTAAATGAACAGGAGCACTGCCGGAGACCAATGCTCGAATGCACCCTGTGACTGCCAACTTCCTCTCGAAGCGCGAGTTGCTTCCTTATGCTTTGCGACATTCCTCCTCCAAACAACAGAGCCGAGTTGACAGGGAAGTTTTTGAGACAAAGGGACAGCTTGACCGCTCCTCTTTTCGAGTTGAAGAATGCATGAGCCAGTGAGTAAAGATGGTTTGATTAGAATGCTGGAACAACGATTCATACTCTGAGAAGCATTTGTTCGATGTCTTGCCTGAAAACGAATTAGCATGCAAGCTACCGAGCGGACGAATGATGGTGCACCAAAGGCGAACGTTAGCAGGTATGGCTCTGGCGCTACAAAACAAAACGCCTGACAAGTGTGACAGTGCCCTGTGTCGACAGGTCAATCCAGAGAGGTTGTATTTTGATATCTGGCCAAGGTGGACATTAAATACTTCGGTCACGACTATCTCTGTGCCTAAAACGAGTCTTCAAACCTTTCAAGAGCTTCAAAACATTCTAGGACACACTTCATAGCATCTTACTCTCTGCAGCTGCAAGCGGGCTGCCATTAAAAGTTTATTATTGGAAGACTTGCGACCTGCGCCACCCGTACCGACGACGGCATTCTGCGCTCGTGTCATAAGCCCACGACAGGAAGTGAGCGTGTGGTGTGTCGTGCTCTTGTGCGCCTGCCCCGGACGTTTAACAGCTGCGCTCAGAGGGTGACATTCGGAGCATCGTTGTAGGAGTAAAGTGGCGCGGACCGAACAAGCCCAACTTCGGCCTCGGGGGACGTGCTAGATTGGACGTGAGGACCCGCATACGAGCGCGCCTACCCAGCCCGCCAGACAGGACAGCGGTCGTCCGATAAGCGATAACAGGAAGACAGGTTGTCGTCGAGGCCGCCGAGGACGCACGCACCGCTCTCGCCAGCCGAGGGAAAGCCACCCGAGACTCCCCGCCCTCTGCTGACGGCTGCCGCGGCGTCGAGGAAAGAAGCGTTTCCCGGTCGACCACGGTGAGTGCTTGCTTTGCCAGAATTTTTTCCGAGGCCCGTGTCGCGCTCACCTGACAGTGAGAAGAAGAGCAGCAGGAGCGCCAGCACACTGCTGCAGTACCAGTAGACGACGAAGACGGTGACGAAGGACACGCCGCACGTCATCCAGCACTTGTGCAGCACGAAGAGCACCACCCGGCTGACGACGCGGATGGTCGCGAAGTCGGGGTGGTTCTCGGGGCATTGCGAGCTCTTGGCGTCCGGCGACTCGTAGGCCGCCTCCACCGGTCCCTTGGGAACGTGGATCTTAACCATCGTTGCGAGACCGCGCACCGCCCGGCTGGCCCAGCGCCGATCTGAGCATGATCTCCCCCGACACTAAGCCGCGTGTGGTTCTGTCATGGGTCCCACCGGTCCTACTGCCGTACTTCTGCCGCCGTACATCTGCCAGCGGTCTTGGCTAGCTGGATCGCTGTACTCGCTGTACGCGCTACATCTGCGTCACGGGCTGTACGATTGGCTGTATACGCTGTATTGCCGTCGAGAAAAAAATTTAATGTGGACGCCAAGACGCGCGCGACAGTCACGTCCGTAGGTGGCAAGTTTTATTCAAGGACATTTATCGCATACGCTCGACGTTCCGCGTGCTTCCATCGCTCTGCGCATGCGTGGCCGGACGTGGCTCAATGTTGCCTGGATGACGGGGAAAGGCCGCCACCTTTGACGCCGTTTACGCCGGATAAGAGAAACCGCAAACAAACAAATTACTATTATTATTTTTTTTTTGTTTTGTACGCGCGAGTTTTGAACGGTTGGTATATTGCGACCAGTCGCAACATTGAGATCTTAAAAGGGCCATGAAATGATTTTTCAACTCCTTCCTCCTTAGCAATATAAAAAACGTTATCAGCTTTCCTCCTCAACTCAAAAGCGAAATGAGAAATCACGTGGTCGTGACGTATAATTGATCATATGCGTTGACTCCAAGCCTTCAAACTGTTCAAGCTTCCAACCATTCCACCGTCTTTCTTTTTACGTCGACCGCGCGTTGCGGTCGACGTCGACGCCGGCGTCGTGAAAGACGAAGCAGTCACACAGGGCCACTCGACGGCGGCGTCTTCTCGGGGAAACTCGCGTTTGTCGAGAGAACACTAAATTTTTTTATTCGTCTACTTCGTACGATTGTAGTTGCCTTGCCTTCGCGATATATGCGCTGGGAGACAACCGTCTTCACTGAATGCAGCATTGGCGAAAGGCACGGACTCGAGCGGGCAGCTTCAGAAGGTGCTCTTTTGCCGGATTTTTGTGCAAAGCACGGTGCTACGCCGGCGCGTCCGTACACTGCAGGCAGCTTGTGCGATAGTGTTTCCGACGGGAACTGCTGTATTCCGTAGTGGTAGCGAGGATTTTGTTTCGGGGGGGGGGGGGGGGGGGGGGGAAGGGGGGGGGGGGGCGCCCACTGATCTCAATGACAATTGCTGGATCGCGCTTGCCGCTCCCGTAAGTGAAGCCACCGGGCGTCACTCGCTTGGGATACGATTTGCCGTTTTTGCTAGCCTTTGCTGCGGTTTTCCAGCGTGCTGACGACACGTTTCCTACTCGTTCGTCGTCATTCGCCGAAGAAGTTTTTTGAAGACTCTGTGTATTGTTGAGACTTTCCGTTGTGAACACGTGGAAAATTTTACGAAAGTGCAGTGTCGCAGGAAAAAGGCACAACGCGTCGAAAGGAAGGGCTGGCGGCGTGTTCAAAGCATCCTTGGCACGCCGAAGTGCCGTGTCTCTGTGCCTTCGCGCGCTTGGATACCGACCAAGAACCGACGCCGTGTGAAAGCGTTTTACTAGTGCAACCTTGTCTACGGCCTTAAGCTTTGACGAACGCTCCGCATGCGCTGATTTCTACACCCCCGGAAGGTTCTACACATACACAAACATGGCGTTAGCGTGCGCTCGCCGGAGCTCCTGCCAGGGATGTGTGACACCAACCCCGAGGCTGAAAATCCTGGATAAACTCCGAGTCCTATACTTTTTCATTAGCTTGGAACGAGGGGTAAATATGCAAATAATAGTCTTTTTTGTTGTCCGGAGGTATTATAGGTTTCTATTTCCATGTCGGGATTTACTGCCAGAGTTCCCGACATAGCTCATCACCTTTGACTGGATCGCTGAGCAGACAACACAAAGCCCTTTCTAAAACACCCGCACCAAACTTGAAAAAGAAAACAGCGCTTCACGCGAATGAAATGGACTGCATGTTGGCGAACGTCTTGCAAAAGAGCAAGTAATTTTGTAGTTTACATAATTAATTAATTGATTAATTAGGCCTAAGTAGTAAGTACCAATACTTATAAATACTGATTTCAGGAGGGAGGTGTCACACTGGATCGCTGAGCAGACAACACAAAGCCCTTTCTAAAGCACCCGCACCAAACTTGAAAAAGAAAACAGCGCTTCACGCGAATGAAATGGACTGCATGTTGGCGAACGTCTTGCAAAAGAGCAAGTATTTTTGTAGTTTACATAATTAATTAATTGATTAATTAGGCCTAAGTAGTAAGTACCAATACTTATAAATACTGATTTCAGGAGGGAGGTGTCAAATGATAAGATAGGCAGCGCTCTGAAATCTATATTCACTCCGCACTTTTGCAGTGCGGAGTGAATATAGATTTCACATTTAAATATTATAAGCTTAAATGGTAAAACAAAATCGCTAGGAAGCGTTTGAAACACAACGGAATGCGGGAATGCTTTGCGTGCTTCGTGTTTTCAACCAAAAAACAAAAAAACAAAAAAAAAAAACAATTACGCGAAATAAATAAAAAGGAAAAGAACCGAAGTCCACCTTATCTTTCGCAGACAGGACTTTGTGCTATCTATTAGATACCTGTCTCGAGTACTTTTTACAATACTGTCACCTTATGTCCTCGTAAAGAGAGACAATGGTAAACGCATTGTCGATCGTGTGAGCACGATTAAACATCACACATGCTCCCAGATAGTGCGTGAAGTCTCGACGTGCGTATTTTTATTGCTGCCAATTTATTCTGGGAAAATCATATATAAGGTTATGCCGATGAAGAGCAAATTGTCTTGTGTGAACTTTTGGTAATTTTACAGAGAGCAGTAAGCTAAATATATTTAAGAAATATACTTGTCTTGATAATTCTGATAAACCCAGGAACACAGAATGTGTCGTGCAGAATAGTGATTTCAACGAGCGCCAACTCCAAATATCCTCATATCACAATTCAGTTCGATTAACGTTGAGTTCGATGAATGGAATGTTATAATCTAAACACTGAGACAAGGATAAATAACGGACAAACAACACAAAATCTCCTTGCCTCAGAGTTTATTCTTAACCAGCTGGCCTGCATACCTTCGCTCCGCGCGCGCGCTTCTAAAACCCCTCATTATCTCGCAATAAAAAAAAAAAAATCGTTGATTTATTTGAACATTTTGTTCCAACCAGGTTTTCATGCATAAACATGCAAGAGTGTGTATTGTTGAGAAGGTTGCACTGTATCCGTTTTTCGTAATTTAATTTCGAATGTTTGGCATGCTCGTAGATGTGCAAGCGTGTCGTTGGCTGCTTCCTGGTCGTAGGCATCGCGACAGCCCTTCTGGTCGGCTTGCTCAACCAGGCACCGGACCCTTTCAAGGTGAACAAGACCGGCTACTGGGGACCGGCCAGGATCAAGCATGGTGAGGAACAGACCGCACTTTGACGGCACCCTGCACTGCGGAACTAGTTCGAATAGACAGTCGTACCTGTTTGAGACTTGCTAGCAAAGCTTGTAAGAAGCGCGTGATATGCATGCCTAGCGAACACGCACTGCTCGCGAGAGGATTGTGCAGTCGGCACATTGTTCTGCCTGTGGAGCGACCTCTCTAAGGACGTAGGCGGCTACTTTATGTCAATCGAAGAATAAACCAAGGCCTCAAAAGTTCGCGCACACCACAAATAAAGTGGAATATGGCCAACTCGCCAAAGACCAACTGATTGAAAGCACTGGTCGAAGGCCAACTTTTCGAAGGCCAACTTGTCGAATAGGCAACGAAGGTTGAAGGTGAAGGCCGAAAGAAAGTTGGTTTCTAACTGTGGCCCTCAGTTTTACTGTGTTCCCTTTATAAGCAGCGCTTGCCAGCGCCGAAGGCACACGAATGTGCGCAAAGAGTTTCGAGCGAACGATCAACTGTTCAAGGAAGAACTAGGCTCGGTAGAAAACTCCCACAACGGAACAGCGTGAAACCCCGGAGACAAACTTCTACGGATCTCGTGTTTGTCCCCCTTGTCCTCACTTATAAAAAAAAAAAAAAAAAAAAAAGAATAGTACACGAATATGGACATTTACAGGCTTTCAAGCTCCAGGTTTTTTAGGTTCAAGAGAGTCTACATTTGTGGAGCCAGCGGACGCTGGCTGAAACGCGCACCTATGTACCGCAATCCGCAGCGTACGCATGCAAAACTAAACGTGCGCAAAATGACGCAATACTAATACGTATCCGTGTTGAGATACAAAATGCAGTGTTGAAGGAAGTGGCCTTTTCAACGAACTGCCCTAGTTTCGCTCGGACAAGTTGGCCTAGACCCCCGCAAAGACCTCCACTCTTTTCCGCTTTAACACAGCAAACGCCAGAAAGAAAAAAAATATACGTGTTTTTTTTTTTTTTGCATAATTAGTTTATAAAAGTCGCGAAAGCTATCTCAATGCACTCTTTGCAGGTGAGTTATACGGCCAGGGGGACATAATATAGGGGGACAATCGTCACGATATGTCGGATATTTAACTAAAATTTGGTCATTAACCTTTTAATGAATAAAAAATAAACACCAATTAAAAACCTGCTGACCGTCATTGAAAACGACTAAATACGTAAATTTTAGAAAGATTTATGGGAGGTAAAATGTGCGGTGGACGCGCCCGCGCGGATTTTCCGTATCTTATCACCCGCCTTTTCGCGGTTGCGCCCTTGCACAAATTGTTACACCACCTGTATTTGTCCAGAACATTTTTTTCTTGTTTAATGAACAAGGTAAATTTATTCCTTAATGTTTTCGCGGTAGACTTTCACCATCTGCTGCTTGCACCTCGCGTACCAAGTGCACCTCGTGTACCAAGTCACTTATTAAAAAGTTAATGAACATATTTTACTCTATTATTTGCCTTACTGTGACAATTAGCCCCCTATATAATGTCTCCCTGGCCGTATACCTCACGTGCTAAGACAGCATTAGTGTAAATTTTACTGCTTAAAAAAAAAAAAAAAAAAAAAAACTGTATAGCCTAGAAAAAATCCACACAATACGCACTGTATTAAGCGGGCAAGTGGTTTAAAATGCGTCTTTGGCGTATTGAAACGCAAAGAGGGGCACGCTAATGAAACGGCAACATAGAGAACGTGTAGAGAATGCGCGATGACGAGGAAGTCAAGCTCGCTCCTTCACTGGCTGAGGTCGGGGGGAACCAAACGCACAGAGGTGTGCAAAGAGCAGACGAACCTGCATACCGTATAGGCGTCACAACTGCGGACCATCCGCTGTAAAATGAGCCAGAGAAGTTGGCGCCCGCACATAGAGAGGTCAAACTTTCACCGAATGTGCTCCGAGCAAACAACAGAGTGCGTCGTCTGTTCGCTGCGCCTATCGGCAGATGGCGCCACAAGTAAATAGCTTCGCTTAGCTTCGCTTAGCTTCGCTTAGCTTCGCTTGGTCGTCTGCGAACGCGGCCAAACTCGACTTCAACAAATTTTTCGCACTCCTCTTTTTTTTTTTTTTTTAGAGGAAGAGAACGACGTTTTGAAATTTCACGCGGTACGACTGACCTGCTCAGTACACATTCGGTGAAAGTCTCATATTTTTATGTGCAGGCTCCGATTTTCCCAAATCGCTTTAAGGTACGCTTGGGACGCCCTATATAATCTACAGCAGGGGTCTCAAACTTATTCGAGTGTGGGGGCCAGATAACCCACCCCCGAAGGACGAGAGCCAACGAAGGCCAGGGGCGATATTTTGCTATTTTGGGACAAAAATAAACAAAACAAACAGCATTGGTGCTTCAGGTTGCAAAGCAGCTGACTGTCCCATGCTAATACTTCACAGCGCACAAAAGACAACGCACTACAAAAATACCTCGTAGTGTCTTTTGTGCACTGTGAAGTATTAGCATGATTCACCAACTCGGCCAAGCTAAAGCATTGACTGTCCCAGCGACACCCCAGAGATTAGACAAGGAACCTTATGCTTTCTATTTTTAGTAAGCTCATCGTTTGGCCCTTTTTTAGTCTTTATTTGCATATTTGATTACTTTGGGCTCACACCTGATGGCATGAAAAGATATAAAACACCACCATACCAGAGTACTGGCAGTTTCAATAGAACGAGAGCAGGCACACCACCTTTGCCCTGTTGCACAATTTACTAGAAATTATCTCTTTATGCGGCAGTTTTTGCTTTTCTGGCAATTTATATTACAGCATTATAAGAAAATACTTAAATTTTAAAGGTATTGTCTGGCAGCCAGAAGCCCGAGCTCATAGCTTTATCTTTGGCCGCTGCTCCTGCTGAGCGAGAGTTCGCGCAGCCGAGGTGCCTCCTTGAGCAAAGAGCTCGCACTTGTATAGACCTTTCCAGCGGCAGTCTCGAACGAAGCGATTTACAGCGCGCGTCCCTGGTTTTGAGAGCGTACGTCAGTGTTGCCCGACTGCGCTGGGCTGTGGGTTTTCTAGTCAGTGGGCTGTGGCAGCCTGCGTAAGCGCACTTCCGGACACTGGTGGAGGCTAAATTGCCGCGTTCTATCTTTTATTTTGTGTTCTATGGCGAATAGAATTTCTCGTGTTTTTTTAAGAATGCATTGTACTATTTTCGGGAACAAAAACAAAGAAACGAAAGCTGTTTTGGTGAGTCCGTGCGCGACACAACAAATGCAACTGGAATGTTTGTTTTATATTAGGTTGATATTTTTACGGCACCATACACTCAGCTGTGTCAATCTACAAAGGCCTTAACCGCCGAGAATATTTGACAACACTAGATATCCGAACTGCATGGATATTTCTCACCCACAACATGAAATTCAATGAGTCTCATCAATCGAACAACATATATTGTTGTTCGATTTATAACGTTCGGATAACGTGGCACCCCACGGTGCCACGTTATCCGAACAGGATTTGAGAAAGGTCTCATATAACACAGCATATCCTATATACAGTGTCGACGATAGTCACTTCACGACGATCGAGCCGAATCTGGCGTGTTTTGGGGCACACGTAGAGGAGAGCTGCTTTTTGCACAACTTCAAGGCAAATGAACGAACGTGTCTATTCCGTCCCTATATCCCGGACCCCACCCTATCAGCTATTTTTCGCGAAGACCCGGAACATAGCCAAGAAGGCTTTTTGAAGATTATCTCAAAGGAAATAATCATTCAAGAACGTCGAACTGCCCGCGTCGCGGTCTGCTTGACGTTCGCTCTCTAGGTTCGTTTCCTGCGAAGGCCGAGCAGGCTACGAGCTTTGGTATTTCCTAGTTCTCCCAGTGGAAGATAACACACAAAGTGTAAGCATCCTAAACAGGCAAATAAAGTAAAAACTAAAAAAAGCCGGCGTAGTCCGAATGCACAATGCAGGTGGGTAGTCACGCTGACCGCGTTTCCACATGTCTGGCGGGTTGCAGAAATTTCTGGCTTATAGGGGTCGCTCGATTCGCAAAATGGCGGCGACCAGAGAGCTCTTTTTGCAAAGGTCTATACTCTATATATAGGGCTCCGTGTTTTCGGATAAATCCGAAAAACTCCGAAAAAAACCCGCCGGTAAAATTATTGGAAATTCGGATTTATCCGATAAACTCCGAATTGTTAGGTGCCCATGCCCCCCCCCCCCCCCCCCCCCCAAACAAAAAACAAAAACATTTTTTTTTTCTTTTTCGGCAGCGCAGGCTTAATGATCCTGGGAAAATGACTGCATAACTATCTTTCAAGCCTCGGACCGTTGTCAAAAGGGGGTCTTACGGCTTGTCTCGTGAAGGTTGGTTCAGGGAAGCAGGTCGTCGTACCGTTCGTGTCACGACAAAAGCCACTCCTTTGGTTTCCAGTTTGGGCCATGGGATTTGGGATTTAGAGAAGGAAGAGGGTATGTTTCTGGGGGTAACAGTGAAAGCTATGGACTATAGAGATTGTATAAAATAGGCAAGAGGGGCAGTTGAAACTTCTCTATTACATCCACCTCGCGCGGCAGCGGGATAGATTGATGGGATGACTACGAGCTTCCTTGCGGCTATCTCCGGCAGTTCATTGATTTTAAGGTATCGGCATTTATCGAAGCCACATTTGTGTGTGACTTTTGTCGTGGGACATATAAGTATTGCCAATGACACCGACGTCAAATTCAACTGAAAAAATCTTAATTGATACAAGCGCGTTTTATTTTTTATCTGGCATACTTTTGCATCCGGTTATTATTCATTATTTTAATAGGAAACACTGCAAAATTAATCTCCGAATTTCGGACAATTGGGGATTTATGAAAAATAAACTCCGATAAACACCGAATTTTCGCTAAAAAATGAACTCCGAAAAACACCCTCCGAATTTCACGAAAAATAAACTCCGAAAACACGGAGCCCTATCTATATAGTAATGGTATTGCCATTCCGGTTGGTTTACAAGAAAAGGGCTGAGAAGCAAACATGTAGATGAAGCAATACTTGGTTAAAAAACAACAACAACAACAGCAACAGAATAGTGCAAAATGCGTGAACATAGCACAGCTCCTTTTCGAGCGTAAATGAATCGACAATATGAACCTATTATTTATGGCGCATGTGGCGGTCGAGGCGGTGGGAAAGGGGGCTTGCGGGCCGCGTGTTTGAGATCCCTGATCTGTAGACTAACGCTTTTAAGGCACTTTTAGGCGGCCCGCAAAAATCGATTTGTTAACGTATCGCGTTGCAATGCGCTACTGAGGTACAACCAAGGGGTGAAAGTTTGTAGTAAAACAAATCAAGGAAGGGTCCATATCACAAGAGCGAATGACGTTTTAGCGAACAGCGACATTTGAGCGAATTAACGTTTTAGCGAATAACGGGGGCGCGCGTTAACCCATCCGCCGCGTTGCGCTTACGCCGCTTCGCGGCGACAGTCTGCGGCGGTTCATTACCAAAATGTGAACCCATTTGGCCCACCCGAAAACGCCGCCTCGCGGCGTCCGACTATTCGCTAAAGTGTCATTCGGTGAAACGTGGGTGTTCACTAAAACGTCATTCGATCACGTGAGTGCCTCCCACTCTTCTTTCGACGCCGCGTACGCCATACGTCGGCAGCACGTCTCTCTACGCGTGCATGCTTCGTCTGCGAAGTGGCGGCGTAGATTGTCCAGATGTTTTTCTTTTGGACGAGGTAAATTTATTCCTTGATTTTTCCACTGTAATTTTCCACCGCCTGTTTGCACCTCCGTAGTAAATTGCAGCGCGATATGTCGAGAAATCGATTTTTGCGGGCCGTCTAAAAGTGTTAGTTTACATTTTGTATATTTAATGAGGCTCAACCGAATTTTCAGCATTTCTTTCGTGGCCTTCATCGTGCAAGGTTTCCAGAGCTTTCAGCAGAAGACAGGAAGGGGTCTCTTGCAATGATCGGCATTACTTTGCAGTGCGCGCGGCTCCTGAGGATGACCCCGTGATTCGCAAGTTCAGCGTCCACATCCCCGACGAGGCTCTGGCAGACCTGAAGTGGCGCCTCGCAGCAACCAAGCTGGCACATCCCTTGCAAGACTCCAAGTTCGCGTATGGCTTCAACGCGCTGGCGCTCAAGTCCGTGGTGGACTACTGGAAGGACAAGTTCGATTGGAGGGCGCAGGAGAAGCGGCTGAACCAGTTTGAGCACTATCGCACCGTCATCGAGGGCATCCAGGTTCACTTCATGTACGCCAGGGCCATGCCCGCCAACGCCCAGGTGAGCTTTTACGAGGAACGTTACTTGCGAAACTTTGAATTTGTTTGCTTCCCGTTTACGCAAGTTTTATTTCTTTTCGAACGGCAACGAAGATACTCTTCGAGTTACCAAGACCAATCCCATGCTCTGTGTGTGTGCGAGTCACGTGACATTTGGGAGTTAGCCAGCGACCAAAAACCACGGGGGTAAAGGTGGGTGAGGAGGAGTAGCAAATCCCGTGTGCCGACATCCTGGGTCCCGAGCAGGGTGTAAGAGAGACAGGTGGGGAAACGGCCCTTATAGCGAGTTCGTTTCACGGCACTCGTGCCCACGCGTGCCCACTCGTAGCGTGGAACGGGTTCGTTTCGGCCGGCACTCCACGAGTGGTTGCACTCTCCGAGTTCGTTTCAGCGCTCACACCCCACGCGTGTATGCACTCGCTGCACCGAGAAAATCGGGAGTGCGCCAAAATGCAATCCCGTCATGCCTCGCTCCGGCGGGGCCCGCGAGGAGCGGGAGCAGACGACGGGGCTTCGTCTGCTACAATGTGTCGCGGAACCGAACGAAAAAAAAAGTATATTTTCTGATAGAAATCGCGTCCCGCGGGTAACGAAATCAAACGCGAGCTTGAATTGTGAGCGTCTGCAATTTCACGAAGGAAGCAATCGACAACCCGTGATTTATTTGCAGGTTTTAAATCGCTCTGTTGCCGCACAAACGGTGAAATATACCAGTGTGTAAAGAAATGCTCAGAACAAACGCAACAGCGGCCCCCGAGATGTCTATCACCATCCGTGTGCGGGTCAAAAATTTAACATTTGTCGACAAAACTCGCCCAGCAGAAACCTATGACTGCCCAATAAGCATCAGAGAAAGCTAAAGATGGAGACTTTACCCGGGGATTGGGCAACATCATCATGTTTAACATTTACCTACGTTAGCCAACTTGCCCCGTCGCATTTTGTTCGAGAAAGCTCTCGTTCTCGACGCCCTCACCAAGGTTAATATCTAATCCTGACGATCCAAATCGAAAGTCCCAGTTTTGCTGGATATTCCAACAGGCTAGTTTTAAACCGTACCCTTTCAGTGGTTCACGAATAATACCATGCTCAAACGGATCAAGCTTCTGCTCGGACAGCATCATCAGTTTTCTTCAGTGTAAACGGTTATAAGAATTGAAAGATCGCAACCAGCTGCTTTGTAGACAGCTGGTTGCGGAAATTTAAGCCGTCTGTAATTATCTCTACGGCAGCCTAGCTGCTTGAAGTCATCGCAACTATAAACTACAGGTTGCAGCGACCAACGTTTGTAGATAAACGTTGGTAGCGACTGCATTCTCGCATCCCCACGCATCACTCAGAACAGAAAGGCGCAAGTTTCGGTTTGAAGTCGGTACCTTTTCTACAACATAGATGGCGGCAGCGTCAGTCTTCTGCACTCGGTGCATTTGGCGAGTTCGTTTGAGTCCAGTTTTCCGTGCAACACTCTGTGAGTGCGATGCATTCTGGGAGAGAACTCGAACGGTGCCAGTGCGTGTGAAACGAACTCGCTATTAGATACCCGTAGATAGGGAGGCTGTAGTGAGGGTGGGCGCAACTCAAAACCTGGAGAGCGTTTGCAATTTAATGGCGGCGCCTGAGGGAGAGGATTCGAGAAAGGATATGCGCCAGTGTTGCCTGCATGAGAGCAGTCGCCCGCTCTGTTGCAACTCTGTTGCTCCATGCGCCTTTCCTCCTCTCGCCTCCCATTGCAAGCAACGAGCGCCTTGGCGCAGCCTCTCTCGCTTCCTTCTCGCTCCGAGAATTGCAAACGTCGAGCGGAGAAAGCAAAGTTGCCAGACAAGCAGCAACGTCCAAGATGGCGGAATTTACCATTTTTCGCGTTAAAAAAATACTTAACCTATCGCAACAAAACTGGCGGCTATGGAAAAGTAATCATTTGTACCTTGTGTAAATTATTCAAGCACCTTAATGGGCTTTTATGACCCGAGTTAGGAAAGAAAACGACCCTTTGCCCCATAGACTCCCAGCAAAATTTAGCAATTAAATGGCGTCCATGTCCCGTGATCGCCGATCTAGCAGTTGCACCCACCCTCACTTGAGCCTCCCTACCCGTAGAAACCTACCGCAGCGCCGTGACCGGATTGTGTACTCGTCTGCTTGCGGGTACCCCCGATTTGCGACAGATGGCGCTGCGGCGAGAAGAAAAAAATTGGAATCGAATTTGCATGGAACTCTACGGGAGAGTGCGGAGAGTGCGCAAAATAAACCGAGAGCCCAACAGTCCGCCATTGAAAATCCACGAGAAACCTTCTTCGTCAGTTTAGCCGGTCGCCACCGTTCGCCCACCCGGAGTGAGAGTTCGCGGTGCTCCACATAGATGGCGCCACAGGAAAAGAGAAAGCCGAGGGGGACACAATCCGGTCGCTCGTTTGGCTCTCGTTTCCCCACCTGTCTATCTTACACCCTGTTCCCAAGTGAGAGACCGCGACAGAGAGCGACAGAACACATAGAGAATAGAAGGGTAGGAGAGGGCATGACGTCAGCCGCGTAACCTCCACAAGCCATGCTCCCTTGACGCCTCGCCTCTTTCTCATTTTCCTCCTTACTCTCCTCACTTACCATGCCAACGTGACCACATCACGTGACCGAAGCTAGCCTTCGTCTTGCTATGGGGTACTAGAATACACCACAGTCTAGCCTTCGATGTGATAAAACCTACCGGACGGAGCGCGCGCAAGCCTGCAAAGAGTCCTTCTACAATCAACCAGACTTGTACGTAATCCGTTACAAGTAACGAAATTACTTGTAATCCGTTACATTTACCGGTAATTTAGTAACGGAATAATTACATATTTTCTAAAGTAATTTTAAAGTAATTCCCTTACATAAATTGGGTAACGGATTCCTTGTAATCCGTTACATTTTTTTAGGACCAGCCCCCCCCCCCCCCCCCTCCCCCCTTATAAAGAAAAAGTCGTTTTCATTGTGGTAAAGTTGAGCGCAGTGACACTGTCACGCGAATTGACCAGCGCAAAGGGAGGCTTGGCATTCTTCAGTTCCGCAAAGCCCTTTTTTTTTTTTTTTTGCAACAAAGCCCCTGAATCTACTGTTTTTAGACCCTAACAAGAATGTACGAAGATCCAAATAAACATTTCTACGAAAAAATTGGGGGCGTTTAAGTTATATCCGCTTTTTTTGCTGTCTTTGTTTTTTTTGTGTTTTTTTTTTTTTAGGATCGAAGGCAGGGAGAGGAGGACACCAATTGATTGTGTGCCTCTTCGAGTAGACAAGAATTAACAAAGCCCTTCTCGGTTATAGTGACTAGGACCATTTTGATAATGTCAGAACACAAGACAAAGCGCCGTCTACCCTAAAATCCACTAAAAGAGATGTGATAATATCTGAAGGTGTTATTGCCACAAGCATACTTGTTCGTCGATGCACACTTATCATCTTCTCTTAGAAAACAGGATGTATTTTTTCCTGCTTCTTTCACCTTATTTGACCCTGTTTTAAAATATATTTACTTTTTTTGCATTCCAACTTTTAGGGTTGGCCCACTTTATTTGTGAATTGCAGCCAGGTTATCTGCATCTCAGTTACCCTTTTTGTGAGTCAGCTTTTTGCGAGCACTTCGAAAATGGTAACAGTCATCCTTTTTCTTCTTCCTGTTTTTACCCCAGCAGGATGCATCTTATCTCAAGCAGACAGTTTTACAAACAGTTTTACAAATAAAACATAATGGTTCTGGGCATGAGGAGAGAGTGAAACTCGCGAGCGAGGCCATTGCGCGGCTTACTTAGTTGTCGGCCCTTCGCTGCCCATGGGATCAGCGGACGTCTATCTGGAGAACACCGGAGTAAACTGCTGTCGGTCCGTGCACCGTGCGTTTTTGAACGACACCAAGAAAGGTACATATTGCAAACGTGCGTTCACATTTGCTTGTTTTAACCAACGTTCTAATTAATTGTAGTTATGAGTGTCCTGGTTATTTTTTATCGATTACTTATATTCAAATATTGGGAACTTTTTTTTCTAATTCACCAACGTCTCAACCGAGGCTCGACCTGTTCAGAACCAAAGGAAGAATATCGAGCCAAACCTTATTTATTATTTAATTATCACCTTACTGTTACCAACTCTACTAAAACTCTCGAATATCAGGCAACGGCTGCAACGACGAAGCCTTGCTCTATCTTTGAGGTAAATAGCACTTCCATTGCTTCCATGAAAAAGCTCAATTAAGACCATAAAACATTCGTGAGGCATAATACTGCACTCCCATCCAGTGCCTCAGTTCAAATGATGTTCAGCGTAGCAATCGACATATCGAGTAAGGAATAACACAAAATGTCTGACGAGACTTTCGAGAGTCACGTATTGCTCAAAATACTCAAAGTTAATAAATGGAACAGGTGGCGACAATAAGAACTTGAATAACTTTCTTCCCTTTGTTTCTTAATTTAGGAAAATAATGTTGAAAGTAACGCCATGAAAGTAACGGATTACTTTCGGGGGTAATGGTCACTTACTTTTATGGGCAGGTAATTGTAATTGTAATAAATTACAATTTAGCCTTGAGTAATTGTAAATGTAATTCCTTACTATTTTTCAGTAACGTGTACAAGTCTGCAATCAACCATCCATCTCACACGTGACATGTCACGCGCACCAATCGCCAGACAGATCTGCGGTCACGCTGGGCACAAAATCGTTTAAACGTTTTATCAGTGGTCTAATGCCCCTGAATAAGAAAGGTAGCGACATCTTCTCCCTCCCCCTCTGACGCGCACACCTTTTATCTTCATGTTTTACTTTTTCGCACCCGCGCGTCGACTGTAGCGCCGCCTGGATCGCCCCAAGATAGCAGACGACAGCGCAGTCAAAGGCTTGAAGACACGGAAAGTACATGGACTCAGGCTAAAAGCGCACTGTCACGGTCTGCCTACCGCGAAGAATGTGCTCAAAGAAGGACAATGAAAGCCGTGACGTTGCACAGTCGGCGTTATTTGATTGGCGACATGAGCTCATAGCATGCACTGCACTCCGACAGCATATGCATTCCTTCTCCCTCCTCGTCCCTCATGCACACTTTTATTGTTATATTTTGCTCTTTCGCGCTCGCGCGTCAACGGTAGCGCCGCCTGGATCGCTCCAAGATAGCAGGCGGCATTCTTCAAAGGATGTCGCTACTTTTCCGTATATAGGGGCTTTACGAGGGTCTGCCTGCATGCTCCGCCACTTGCGGCAGCCAGAATGCATGGGAAAATGGCGGACCTTTTCCTTTAGAGTTAGTATGTATGATCTCTATGCAAAAACGGTCGATGTCTCTATGCCAGCGACCAAGGAAGATAGAAGGGTAGGAGAGGGCAGGACGTCGGCCGCGTAGCCTCCACAAGCCATGCTCCCTTGACGCCTCGCCTTTCTCATTTTCCTCCTCACTTACCATGCCAACGTGACCACATCACGTGACCATAGCTAGCCTTCGTCTTGCTATGGGGTACTAGAATACACCACAGTCTAGCCTTCGATCTGATAAAACCTACCAGACGGAGCGCGCACAAGCCTGCAAGGAGTCCTACAATCAACCATCCATCTCACACGTGACATGTCACGCGCACCAATCGTCAGAGAGATCTGCGTTCACGCTGGGCACAAAATCGTTTAAACTTTTTATGACTAGGCTTCACCAATATTGCAAATACTTTACTAGGGGGAATACATTCCCCTCTGCTCATTTGCATTAGACAGAACGCCTACAGCGCCGAATGACGGAGGGAAGGTCCGCGTCAGTCCACGCGCAAGTGCACGTGGATGTTCGCGGCGGCCGCGGCGGTGTCGTCTCCGATTCCACCTAAAGCCCCTTCATGTTTCAAAAGTAGCGCAAGGTGCGTCGATGCACGAGGCACGTGCAACGTGCAACCCTTGGGAAGATCATGGCCGGCGGCACAGCGCAGCAAAGTATTTAGCGCACCACTAACGTTGCGCACCACTGAGCTAGATTTTAGACGCCATGTTTTTCTTAGAAGTGGCGCGCGGCACGTGTCTCGCGCATTTCCACAACAATGAATTTGGTATGTAGAACAACCATAATCAATATCATCATTTTCCGCCCGATAGCCAAGACCTCCCCGACGATAGATGGCTCTCGCCAAGCCCAGAAAACCTGTCAGCGCCGAGGCTATTGTATTTGAGAGGAGTGGAATGTATTTTCTAACCTCTTTGCCAGCGACGCGCGTGGCGCGTGGTCACGTGATCCGGTCGCAGCGCTGGATTAGCTGGGACGGCAGGTAGCATCCGTTGCTGTCCATTGTAAAATTAAACAACGAGCTTGATGCGAGAGAGAAAAAAAAAAAGGAAGATGATTGATTGCTGGCATTGCGAGGTATAGGTTACGAAGGAAGTTGAAATTGTTAGGGAGTTGTTTAGGAACTCGTGTCGCAGAAAATCCGACGTCGATGTCGGTGGCGACGGTGGGACAGGAAAATCCTGACTGGTCGATAGGGTCATGACGTCACAGCTACATGACCTCGCGCGGGAATTTCAAACCCACGCGTGGAATGAAAGTGATTAAAACATGACATGTAATGCGAATGAAAGCTCTTCAAGGTTTTTCTTTATAGGTTTTCGCGTAGAAGAAACGTTAAGTCGTTTTTTTTTTCTTTTTTTTTGTGTGTGTGAATGGGTTAATGTAGGTTTTCGGGTAGAAAAAACGTTAAGTCGTTTTTTTTGTGTGTGTGTGTTAATGGACTTAGGCTTTCCAGTGTGTTTGGCGGTCGGGTAGCGAGGGGTCAAAGATAAGAGAGGTGCATGACGCAGAGTCTGTTGTCCTTGTATTTAGTCAAAGGTTACATTGGTGGAAAGTGGCATTCTTTGGGGTTCTCACCCTCTCCCCCTTTTTTTCTTTTGTATCGAAGTGCCTATATAACCAAAATTCGGAAAAAAAATTCAGCTGTGTTAGAGGCTTTTTAGTGTTGTGTCGTTTACCCCGCAGCCTCGGAGTTTTTTCAACCATAGTAAGGGCTCGTTTGCGCCCTTACTTTTTGTTCATTAAAGCTCTCTTTAGGAACAAACTGCCAGTCACAGTGGGCGTCAAGGATTAAAAAAGACAAAAAAGACACGCTAATTAGCTAAAGAATTAACTAAAATTCAATAATTTACTTTATAATTAGCAGTCTTGTACACGTTACTCGAAAAAAGTATTTGATTACAATTACAATTACTCTCACTTAAAAAATATTCGACTTGAGAAGAAATGTGATTAGGGGTTACTTGAAAATGCAACCGTTACATTTCCGATTTCTTCAGATTTTTAAAACGTCTGATTTTTCAGCCGGTTTTGAAACAAATCTTTTTGTACCACCCTCTGTTGGGAGGGGTGTTTTTGTTGATTGAATTAGAGTAATCGAACTATACTTCCAAAGTAATAAGAAAAATCTTGCGATTACTTTCTACTAGATGTATTTAAGTAATTAGCAAATTACACCAAAGAGTAATCGATTAAAATAATTTGATTACTTGTAATGAGTACCGTACAAGTCTGGAATGGTCAACGGGAATGGTGCACGTGTGGTGCGCGTTTCGGCCACTGGGGAGCAGGATCGCTCGCACAAAGATGCGCTCCGATAAGAAACCTGTCGGAATTGAGCGTTGGTTCTTTGTTTTGGTTTTCGGAACGCCGTAAAATGCTTTTTTTGCGTTATGTATTACTAAAAAGAGTCGATTTAGTGGTTTTTGATTATGCTTAGCAAAACCATCCAGTCATCAAGAAGCAAAGACAAAACTGAGGCAGACAAAACTCAAGACAAAATTGTGGTCATTCCATACATTCATGGGATCATTAACAAATTAAAAAAGATTGCAAGACGACAAAACATTGACGTGGTATGCTCTGCCCAAACAAGGCGTACTCTATGTGCCGACGAATAAACAACAGAAAAAAAAAAAAAACAGTAAAAGGCAGGCAGCATTGCTCATAGGACACGATATGTCCAGTGTGAAACAGGTGTTGTTTACAGCATTCCTTTGTCTTGCGGAAAGTGTTACATCGGCCGAACGGGCCGGTGTATCAACGATAGAACAAGAGAACATGCAGCGGCAGTGAAGTTGCACATCAGCAGGCCACTTGTCAGCCCACTGTAGGATGATGTGAGTGTACCCCAGCCTTTACCAGCGTGAGCGTAAAAATCCACACGCGCGAGAGATGCTCGAGGCACCAGCCATCGAAGAGAGTGGAGAGGAATGTGTCAGCAGTCCGTCCATCAATCACACTGCACAGCAAAGGAAAACAATATCTACGGTGTGTTGCGGCTTTGGGCCAGTGACTCGTGAGGATAGTCATGGAAAGAAGTTCTCAAAACAAAACAATATGAAGTGGGAATGTATGGGGTTTGCTTTGGCAGTTGCAGATCGAATCTTTCACTTCTCGTCCATGTAGTATATTCTTCTTTTTTTTTTTCTTTTCGTGTATGATTTATTTTTATACGTTTGTATATGTGCTCCTTATTACGCATTGTTCTTTTAAAACATTTTTTTTAGTACATCTTATCTTGCATTTGTGGAATGCTTGAGGGGACTAAAAAGAAGAGAAGGTAGAGGAAGAAGTATAAATTGTTGATAATCAGCTTTGTGTGTGTCCTTTCTCGCGTGTTTGTGTGTAAGTGTTCAGTGTTTGAGCTGTTTCCTCATAGACATAATCATATGCTTAGCAAGTTTGTAATTGGAATCACGTTGATTTTCAGAAATTAAGAAGTTAACTAGTAACTTTTAGTTAATTATCTGGCTAATTGGTATATTTTTCGCAATTCCTGACATCCACCCATGTTTCCTCAACCACCATATTTTTAGGTATTTTTTAAAGCCTTCGTTGAAACTGTTATGTACTGTCTGACACTGGCGCTTATCAGCTCGTGGCCACTCGAGGAGCGTGGGCACTGAGCGCTCGAGGCTCGGGGTGCGCGGGCAGACGAACGACGGGCTCCGAATTGATTAAACCGATTTGACCAGCGGTCTCCTGGGAACCGACTCGATGTAGCAGAAACGCACTGTATAATTTTTAGCACTGCAGGTGAGCACAGTGCGGGCGTGAGACTTCCGTTGTCTGTGGAGCTGTGTGATATTGTTAGCCGCTTCTTGTGTGTTGCAGACAAAGGTGTTCACCTTGGTGATGACCCACGGCTGGCCTGGCTCCATTGTCGAGTTCCTCAAGATCGTGCCCATGCTGACGCAGACCAAAGACGGCGTTGCCTTCGAAGTCATTTGCCCATCGATACCAGGCTACGGTTTCTCGGAAGCACCTCACAAACAAGGTATACCTTGAACCAGAATTACGGAAGTTAGTGACACTATTACACAGAAATCGGGAGTTCTAAAAAACCATCCGCTCCACGAGGTTTTTCACAGCTTATTGGCTAATATTGGTCATTGTACACGGTGTAGTGGAACTCGAGGTTCAGCTCCAGTATCTGTATGACACCTCGGCAATGATCAATCTGAGAACTTATTAGCTGGCACAGATCGGGCAATGTCCGGACCACTGTCAAGAAAGATTCCTAACAGGTCCTGCGAATCAGTCTATGCATTACATCATCTCGTAACTCTTTACACTCTAGAAGAGCCCCACTGACCTCTAAGGTCTTGAGTCTGCATGATGACGGGAGATAATTGGAATTCGGAACGGCTTTTCCAGGGACACCGATGATTATCGGGCGTACGTTTCCACAAAAAAGTTTGCAGCTGTATATATTTCGACCTATCGATCAAACCGTCACATGCAACACTGCATTCTATGAGAAACGACGCCGACACTTACGTTCAGTATTTGCCTTCCTGCAGCCCACCGCGTCTTTTCAAAGCCTCTCCTCGTCGTCCACCCCCCTACCCGTTCATCCAACGAAGCGGGGGGGGGGGGGGGGGGGGCACATTAAACAGCACCCCCCCCCTCCCCCCCCCCCCCCCCCCGCTTCTTTTGTTGGTTGCGATCTCGGGAGTGAATGGGGGGGGGGGGGGGGGCTACGAAAGCTATGAAGGTTCCGGTGTGCCTGATGGCCTTGCTACGCCACTGAGAATTGCAATAATCGATTATGGGAGAAGTGGACTTAAACAAATTGGTGCGTGCAAAGAATGGCGATCGAAGGCGTCTAGTACGTCTCGTGAGAAGTGGTTGCGAATACATTTTTGAATCACGAACCTTCGGATATATGAAGAATGCAGAACTTTAAGACGAGCTAATAAAATATTCCAACCCATTCTCTCGCTATTACAAAGAAAGTGCGCGATTGTTTCACGAGAGAGCAAAAAGCTTCAAAATAAGGGTTCCCTCTTCGTCAACTGCAAAACCAAATATTGCATTTTTTTCCCTTCCACTGGGGAGACTCTCCCTTCCCTTCTGTGGAAAAATGCGGTGCAAGTTAGTTGGACTAAATTAACTGCCGTCGCGAACTGAAACAAAGTGTCAACCTCCACCTTTGTTAACCAATTTTTATTATATTCTTTGGGCAGGTTTCAACCTGCTCGAAACGGCGAGGGTATTCGTGAAGCTGATGGACCGTTTGGGAAGAGACAAGTTTTACCTCCAGGGAGGGGATTGGGGTTCAATGGTGTCCAAGTTCATTGCCACCTACTATCCGGAAAGGTATGTGCATTACAGACTTTTCTAACGTTTTGCATTACGTATGAAAAAAAAAAAAAAAAAACTTGTTACGATGTATCTGCAAGCTGCGATGGCATACTAGAAGATTTTAGCTGGTGAATTGTGTGCTTTTCTACCTGTGTCTAGCAGTTAGCGTTGGTTAACGGTTTTATCACTGTCGGACCTCGGGTGCACGTCCCCCCTACTTCCTAGAAAGAGATATGTTTACCAGGACGCCTTACATTCAGTCAGAGCAGACACTTGCTTGAAAGATCGGGAGAGATTAACATTATATATTAATGTTCACTCACTAGGTATTGTACCGCATTCTATTGGTGCGGCCGGTATTTAAGCACACACTTTTAGCACGTCAAAGATACCCAGAAAACAACTGCGTTTGGTTATAGTTCGATGGCACCGATTCAACAGCATGCATATGTAATTCATCCAGCATTCCAATCAAGATCGCCGCCTCCAGTCTCACGCAGATGAACAGGCATGCTGTGTTCATCGCACTTTATGCCGACACAACTCAGAGATTTCTATCTTTATGAATGTGGCAACTCTATTTGTTTTTAACGTCAGAAAAAAGCTGCTTGACTCAGAAGGGGACATCTCGTCACCGGCCAAATGAAAGAAGCATTTCCAACAATGTGAAAGTCAACTTCGTTGATGAAGTCCAGAAGGTCGTCAGTGATGACCCCAGCAAGCCAATCAGGGTTATGGCGAAGCTCTAAAGTTGATGAGCATACCCTCAGGCGTGTGGTTCACAAAGCCATCTGCTAGAAGTCCAAGGTCATAAGAGGGGTCATTTCATGATCGACAAGACCCGGCAAAGTTGTCTCATCCGGTCAAAAGACTTTTGCAGTCGCGCGGCGTTGCGACCAAATAAGACGGCTCTGCCTGGTTGCTCTTGATACCGCGCAGTCGCGCGGCGCCAAGAGAGGGCTGCCGCCTTCGCACCGAGACACCTTGTTCACCAAGATAGCAGAGACGGCTGTCTCGACTGGAACTCAAACACACATGACCATGCACAGAAAAAAGGTTGACACCCTTGGGGGCGTAAAAAAGGTGTTACAGAGATTCACACCCCTGGCCATACTTTTTCAGCTCCTTGATATTATGAATACACCATTTTTAATTGTAAGATAGAGTGCTGTGGCTTGAAACACCCTTCATTTTTGCAGAGAGTAAAAAGGATGTGGAGAAGGGTGCTGTGATAAAGTGAGAACGTCCTGCATTTTCGAAAGGTATTTATTGCGCTGAAACCCGCTTCAAACCGTTGTTTTAACAACTATGTTTTTACTACATTTCTTCAACTTAGACATAGTACGCTCTACGTGGAATATTGACGACAACAATTAGCAACGTATCTGTAATAGTTTTAATTGCGGAGACGCAAATAAGTGTCTTTGAATGGTCGAGTATATAAAATACGTTAAAGCAGTGAGCGTGTTTTTAGACAACGTCTCAAACAGACCCCTTATGTTGTTCTTCTCTTGTTTCTTTTACTTTGGTTGTTTCACTTATCTTCAACTAGTCTCAGGTGTTTAAGTGAAATGGTAAACTCAGTGTACTCACATCTACCACCCCAAATTTTCGAAAAGAAAAAAAACAACAACATTATCGCCCTGATTGACGACTGCTTGTGCCCGAAGGAACTCTTGCTGGTTTTCTGCGACGGTGCATCTCAAACTGCAGGGGTCACCAAACTTTGTGGCTAAGGGGCCATAACACGACAGTTGTGGCCAAGAAAACTCCCCAGGCATAAATCAAAGCGCATGAGAATTTACCACATTCGCACAGTGCAAAAAGACTAATGAGAATGATAAAACGGATGTCAACAATACGCAATAGTTATGACAGAGGATACTAAGCTCAATGTACATGATAATGCAAAGGAATTTTAACAGAGTTAAACAGACGTGAATCAGAGAACCAAGAATGGTGATGCTGGTGATGACAGTGTTCAATGAATAATATGGAGAGAGGAACCGTGTTATGATCTATAGTTCTTTGTTGTATCTTTGCGAATTTTGAGTGCAGCGCCATTTCTTTAGGCGCACTGTTTGCGCCGATAGCAGCGTGGGTGCTGGAAGTGGACCGCGGGTCGGGCTTTACTGGAGGAACCGTGGCCAGCCGCGGGCCGAGGTTTGGAGACCCCTGATCTAGGTGCTTCTGCGGGAGTGGATCAGAGACCCGCTCCTGTGGGGAGAGGAGGATAGAAGAGTGCGAGAGGGAATGGCAAATTCGGTACCGGTTTTCTTCCCGGCAAAAGGCGATCCTGTAAGGCCTTTAAATACCCCCACCCCCCCAGAAGGGGTGATGCGGCGGTTCACCAAAAAGGTGGTTTTCGTTCATTGTAGAAACTCGACAGTTAATTTTGGACAACAAATATAACGAGGTACCAAGTTTGGCAGAGTATTGCGATACAATCATACGTTGTAAATGTATCTTTCTTTCCGGGTGTTGGCGAACACTCTAAAATAGGGTGCTGGTGATTTTGGCGGCATCTTTAGGCACATATTCTTAGCAAGCAACAAGTTTACAAGGAGCACGTACGCACCACGTACAGGGTGCGGCCTTAAGGACTAACACATTTAGTACGCTTTGCAAAATTCGAATGCCAAACATACATGTCTGAAATTGGGCACGCAAACGTAGTTTCGCCAGAGGTTCTGATTTTTTTTTTTTTTTAATGGCTTGATGTGAAGGTAGTGAAATATTAAAGATAAAGCAAAATCGGAGGTCGTGTACTTTCTATGTCCTATACCAGCCTGTTTCTCGTCTGCACTCTGGTTTATGAGCTCGCTTCCGGCCGTGGCTTGCTGAACGCAGAAAAAAAAAAAAAAAAACGCTATAAACCAATAGTAGAGGCTGGCAGTGAGCAAAATAATCGCGATCCCTATCGAAAAAAACCAGTGTAAACTGGATTATGGAACAGAAAATCTGACTGGATTTCCTGCTGGGAACCTGAAATTCAGTTTGCAGACAATTGTCTGCAAACTGGTTTTCAGCAAGAAATTTAGTTAGCAGTCAGGTTTCCAACAAGAAATTTAGTTAGATTTTCTGTTCCATAATCCAGTTTATACAGTTCTTTTTTTCGGTGAGGTAAGTAATACTTTTAACAAAATATATAAACAATGACCATGAGCAAGCTCACAAACCAGTGGGCAGACGTCGAACGTCCGGAATAGGGCGTAGAAAATGCACGGTTGCCGTTTTTGCTGTATTTTTGATATTTTACCATCTCTGACTTGAGCTTTGAAAAAAAAAAAAATAGACATAATATTTCTTGCGAAACCACATTCACGTGCCCAATTTCAGGTATGTACATTTGGAATTCGGATTTTGCAAGGCGTGCGAAATGTGTTTGTCCTTTCGGCTGTACCCTGTGACTTGCGCATGCGCAGAAACTATAGAACAGACGCAATGAAGCACGCACGAGGCTAGAGTCGCGACCCTGTTGACTGTTACATACGTGAAAGATACTCATTCGCTGGTGAGCGCCTCCGAAATTACGGAAGTTACAAGCCCCTCGCTTTGTTCTCTTGAATATTTCACACGAAACAATATCTGGCAGTTCAGCCTTCGTCGACGCCATTGCGGACACTGAAGTTCAAAAATTTGTTCGACTTGGAGGGCCAAAGACAGTTCAAGAGGCTTTGGCTAAGGCGTTGGAGATCTCAGCCATTCAAAAGGCAACAGCAAACGCCCAGGCTTCTTGCCCAGCACAGTTACAGCCAACTACTCATCTGGAGACGCCTGGAGCACGCCAGCAACCTGAAGGTCACCAACGAGTTAACACCAAGAGGCGCTGTTTTCAATGCGGGCGACAAGGACACTTGGCTGCAGAGTGTTACCGCGCGTCGGGAAACGGATATCCCGGTCCACAGGGGCGGGATCGGGTATAGAGGACCAAGTCCCCCTCGTTTCTCTTTCAAAGAGTTTTACTGGTCTTCCAACTACCAAAGTGGAGATTCAAGGGATTGGAATACAAGAAAGTCTCCTCGATACTGGAGCAGCGGTTAACATAATCGACGCGACGCTTGTACCGGCTGATTGTAATGTCTCCCGGATTGCTCCACAACTTTTTACAGCCAACGGCGTCAAAGTTCACACCGGTGGACAAGTGAAGTTACTGGTCACTGCGCTCGGTGAGACGTCGTTAGTGGACTTCGTAATTTTGTCGAATTCCGTCTCTCCGATCATTCTGGGTTATGAGTGGTGCCAGAAAAACGGATTTTTTAAGTTGAACCCCGAACAGAACAAGGCCACCAAAACCCCGCGTCCACCCATGAAAACATTACACGCCAGCATTCCACGATGCGAAAGTATTTTGGTGTGGCTTGTGTACCTCGTTCGCTCATTTTCCTTCGTCGCCGTGGAAAAGTGGCACCTATTTCTAAAGTTTTTTTCCCAATATACCAACATCATATGTGCTCAAGTACAGCTATCGGATGAGTTAAACGTATGCGTTAAAGACTCTGCTACAATACCTGCCGAGACTGCTTCGATGATACGCCTAACTGTGAACAACAAAAAGGTTTACGGTGAAGCTGTTTTCGACTCGTGGCTCTGTGCGAAACCAGGGAAAGAACTAGCTGCACCCCGGACACTCGTGGCTTGTACTAATGGAGAATTCGTCGCTCTTGTCGTTAATCTAGGTGCCAACGACATCACTCTCAATCCAGGGAAACAGATTGGTGTACTCCAACCGTTGGCGAAGGACAAGATCTCAATACTTGCCAGTATTTCTCTAGAGTCACATAACGAGTGCCATTTTTACAGTCAGGATAATGCTTTACCGTGGGAACAATTTAAGTTTGGACCAGAATTGAGTTGCGAGCAGAAAACGAAAATCAAGAGGGTATTGTTGTCACATCGAAATTGCATCGCCCTGAGTTCGGACGAACTTGGATGCACACCGTATGCGACACATACCATTGACACCGGTGACAGCCGACCAATACATCAGCCACTACGCCGCCTAGCCCCAACAAAGCGTGAAACCATCAAACAGCAAGTGACTGAGATGCTCGACCACGGTGTGGTGAGTCCGTCAACGAGCCCATGGTCATCACCAGTGGTGTTAGTGAGAAAGAAAGATAGCACTGTGCGGTTTTGTGTAGATTACAGAAAGCTTAATAGTACAACCAAGCTCGATGTCTACCCTCTTCCACGTCTTGACGATACCCTTGACCGACTGCAGGGAGCGGAATACTTTACAACATTGGATTTGATGTCGGGATACTGGCAGGTGCCACTCGATAAAAGGGACGCTGAAAAGTCAGCCTTCATCACACCAGATGGTCTCTACCAATTCAACCGTCTTCCCTTTGGCCTTTGCAATGCCCCAGCGACATTTCAAAGACTCATGGACCGAGTTTTGGGCAATCTGAAGTGGACAATGGCGCTGGTGTATTTGGACGACGTTGTAATCTACGCAAACACTTTTGAAGAACATCTTCGAAGACTCTCACTCGTACTTGACGCCATAAGTGATGCCAACCTTCGTCTGAAGCCCCAAAAGTGTTTTTTCGGCTTCAAAGAGATCACATACTTGGGACATGTGGTAAACAAAAACGGCGTTAAACCTGATCCCTCGAAGCTTGAGGCTTTGTTTGAATATCCGACGCCAACAACTATCAAAGACGTCAGAAGTTTTTTGGGATTTGCGTCATATTTCCGCCGTTTTATTGTTAACTTTGCTACCCGCGCTGCCCCCTTGAATTACTTACTCCGGAAGAACGTACCATGGCGATGGTGCAACGAAGAGGAGTCCTCGTTTCAAGACCTAAAAATGGCCCTTCTAAACGCCCCAGTGCTTGCTCACTTCGACCCATCCTTGTCAAAGACAATTCTCCACACGGATGCTAGCGGACAAGGACTTGGAGCTGTACTACTTCAAGAGTTTCCAGACGGTACTCAAAGAGTAATTTCGTACGCAAGTCGCAGGCTTACACAACAAGAAGAGAGGAATCATTCATCTGAATTAGAATGTCTGGCCCTTGTCTGGTCGGTGCAGAAATTTCGCCCTTACCTTTATGGCCGCCATTTTACTGTTGTGACGGATAATTCAGCATTGACCTGGCTTCAGAGCAAACGAGACTTGACGGCCAAACTGGCACGCTGGGCGATTCTACTGCAAGAGTATGATTTTGAAGTCATACATCGTAACGGACGTAGTCATCAGGACGCTGACTTTCTATCCCGCAACCCCCTAGACAAGGTCCCTGAGGCTCCGGAGTGTGACACTTGTTTTTGTGGTGCGACTTTCGACCTACGTCACAGTCAATGTCAAGATAACGAAGTACAAGATATTGTACAGCGCCTCGCATTATCCGGTTCGACAGACATTTTACGGCGACTGCGTCGAGCATACCGAGTGGAAAATGGCCTACTCTGTCACAGAAATCCCGGTCAACAACAATGGCTACCGGTGATTCCAGCTTCTCTGAGGGCTACCATGTTGAATCTCTGCCATGATGACCCCACAGCGGGTCACCTCGGTCGAGATAAGACTCTGGCCAAACTTTCCGAACGCTATTGGTGGTACGGATTCCGGAAAGATGTTTCCAGGTATGTCGCTTCCTGTGAATCATGTCAAAGGAGAAAATTGCCCAGTATTTCACCTTTCACCGAGATTCATCCAACTCAACCACCGCAAGCTGCTTTCGAACTTATTGGACTTGATCATTTAGGACCATTTCCGAAATCACAAAAGGGTAACCGTTTCATTATTGTTGCTGTTGACCACCTTACAAAGTGGATTGAGCTACGTGCCGTGCCTACAACGTCAGCGAATCACATTGTGGAGTTTTTACGTGAGCAAATAGTACTTCGCCACGGCGTACCCCGCACCGTACTCACTGACCGGGGAACTCCATTCAGCTCTCGTATTTTTAAACACGAGATGGTAACTCATGGAATACACCACGCCCAGTCAGCACCCTACCATCCCCAAACCAACGGACTCGTTGAGCGTGCTAATCGAACTATCGCCGATATATTGTACGCTTATGTTAATGCTCCGCATGACAATTGGGATGTGTACGTACCATACGCATCGTTTGCTTTGAACACGTCGCAACAAGCAAGTACCACGACGACCCCTTTTAAACTGGTGTACGGTAGAACTCCGGTTCTGCCGCAGGAATCAACGTTATCCACCACGTGGAACCATAGAAGGCAAGAAATGAGCGATCATTTTGAGGATAGACTCAATGAGGCTCGCCGCCGGGCTCGCGTCGCAGTAACCAGAGCCCAGCAGCGGATGCTAACCAATCACCGACAGGATGACCGAATGTCCCCCATCGTGCCAGGGGACCTTGTTCTTGTACGCCGTCCCGTTAGAAGGAAAGGAAAGGCAACCAAGCTACTTCCAAAATACAAAGGACCCTGTGAAGTGCTTCGACAAACAGGACCCGTGAGCTACCGGCTACGAGACCTCAATGCATCTCGAGAAGCATCCCGGACTTTCCCGGCTCACCGCAGTCAACTGAAGCTGTACGTGTCAAGACATACATTCAGTCAAGACCAGCATAGGAAACAGACTGCCGAGGACGGACAGTCAACCAGGAGGGGGCAAAATGTGACAGTAGGACATTGAGGTGCAACGAGCGGGACAAAAAGGAGAAAAAGAAGAAGTGGGTCGGAGACGGGCGAAGGACGAAGTGGCAGCAGCGGGACCAAAGCGATCTGTAACAATATATATACAGTGTGTTTTTAACCAGAAAAAATAAACAATGCATCGCCGAACGTTCATTGTCCGCTCAAATCTAGCGCTAGCGTTCCGATTCAAATGCCAAAGTTTCAATCAAAAGTTATAGGTGATTTTCTAAAAATTTCAACGGGAAAATGAGCCCGTTATTTGTAATTGGCGCCACTCAGCTTCATGTATTAGAGCTCCTCGGTCGCCAATTTCCCGCTAGAAAATTTCAGGAAATCGCATAACTTTTGTATAGGATAACGGATATGTTCTGAAAATTTGGCATCTGTTTCGGACTACCAGCGCTACGTTCGAGCGGAGAAGCCATGAGCTTTCGGCGACGTGTAGTTTTGTTTTGCAGTGAACTACAACAACAACCCTGTAAATATTTTTGACCACACCCTGTATGTGTTGCCGTGGTCATGGCCAGCTGGGGGGTTCAACGGGATGTGGTGGCTTACTGCGTGATCGCCGACAGGGTGCTGGGCGTGCATTTCAACATGATCGACGTGGAGCTGGGTCCCCTGGCGCTGCTGAAACTGGCCGTGGGCTCCTACTTCCCGTCCCTGCTGCTGGGTGACAAGGCTCCCGTCAAGGCGTTCCCCTTCCCATTCTGGCCAAAGTTCCTCTACGTTCTTCAGGAGTCGGGATACATGCACCTCCAGGCCACAAAGCCGGACACCGTCGGTACGTTTCGACCTTCTTTGACCTGTCTCGGCCTCGGGTACCCTGGGTCCCCGAAGGTGGACTCCGCTTCGCATCGAACCACTCTATCATTTCATTCCTCCGACGTGTGTGCATTATAAATTTCTATAATGGGCGCACAGCTGATCAGTATTGTGTTTTTGATGTGGTTAAAACTATACATAAAACAAGTAGTTAATGAATAGCTTATATGCCATACATTGAATAAAAAAAATATTGAGGTAAGCTTTTTCGGGTGCGTGCATTTGCTACCCAACTATATGATCAACATTCTGTTAACTTGAGGGTCCAAGAAGTCGCCGTTTTTAAAGTAGCGAATAAAAGAAAGACTTTATTACGGTTAGATGAGGTTAAAATAAGAACAAAGAGTACATTGAAAGGTTTCCGACGCGAACGTCTTCCATCGGTGCCTGGAATCGGAGCGTCCTCTTTCACTCTTCTGGGCGACGCCGAGGGCGCGGGGGAGGTCGAGGTCTCGCGGCAGCAGACGCTGAGGAAACGACCGTCCTCCTCTCCTGCATCAGCAGTCGTCCTTGCCAGTTCGTGCGGTTTAGGTAGAAACACCCTAGCTGGACCCCCGTCGAAGTGGTCTGGGTTGGGGAGGACGAAAACATTCAGGTTATAATAGGAGGCCTTAGGAACAAAATATATTTCTCGGTATTATTTCCCTAAAAACTACTGTCTGTAAACAAAAACGTTAAAAAAATGAGCCTCTAAGATTTCTCAAACCCTCGTTAATATAAATGCATGCTTGTCTCGTTCCTGTTAAAAGATATACTATCGCATTAATAATTAATACGAAAAGCTAACTCTGAGCTTTCTGGAGATATCTACAATATTATACAAGAAGTCTCAGGTCAGATGACCGAGTTTGTAAGATTTTGTTGAGTATCGTCAGAGACACAGCTTACATTTTTTAATTCAAAATGTTTATAAATTTGTAAATTTCTTTAGCACAACACTGTCTATTTAAAGAGTTTATATATATAAAAAGCGTATGAACGCAGTAGCCAAAGGAAGAAAGGGTCTGACACACACACACGCACCACGCACGCACGCACCACGCACGCACGCACGCTCGCAAAAGAACAATAACAAAAACAACAACAACAAAACAAGGAAATTGTGCGCTACAACGTTGTATAACTTGAAATCGAAAAGGAAACCCCCGGACTCTTCGTTTGCACCCTGTTTCCATTTAAAACTATCCTAAGAGAGTTTTCATTATTATTTTTTTTTGCAAAATTAAAAATTTTATTTTTTAGCATGCTCGATTTGAAATGAAATCCCTTGCGGCATATGTGTTGCACCGGTCCAGCAAACAATAAAAACATTTTTTCCCTAAACTGTCGGGTTGTCCCCACTGACGTTTCGCACAGAGGTCGTTTTTATAGTCCATTTTATTTAATGCCAAATGCGTCGTCATTAATTGCCTGGTTTGTCTGAAAACAAATTCAAATCAATCATCGTCTGCAGTGGAACCTTCTTGCACTTCAATGCTTGTTCAGTGGTCATTTATTGAGAATGAGCTAGGCTTAAAAACTGAACGTAAAACGCGACCTTTGTGCGAACTTCCACCGCAAACAAAGGAATGGGTTAGGCAAAATATACTTTGAGAAGTTTTTTTGCGGCAGCACTGCACTCACGGTGCAAGAAACTCACTCATATCGCCGCCACCAACCGAGAACAAGCCAAGCCAGGCCGGGTCGTGCGTACACTTCCGTATCGCGCTCAAGGTCATAAACAGTTTTCTTTCAAAAAGGAACCCAAATGGCGACCGACGGAGCTCTCGAATACATGGAGCTCTATGGCGCCAGAAACCGAAAACGACCGAAAATGGGCAACACTTTCCCATTGAAAATCGCCTATAACTTTTGCATAAGATAACAGTTGGTGCTGAAACTTTGGCATCTTGCTCAAACGGCTGGGGCTACGTTCTGACGGAGTAAGAGCTCCCCGCGATGTCTAGTTTATTTTTGCGGTGCGAAAAACAGGGTTCGGAGTTCTCATGGAAATGAGGCGCACGCGTTCGCTGGAATCTTACGATCGTCACGCTTATAGGTTGTTGATCGCGCCCGAAAACAAAGGCGACCGCCCTTCCTCGGATCGCCCTCACGCTTGGATGAAAACAAATAACGCCTATTCTTGATCACGTGGTGCATAAGACGCCATTCAAATTTCAAGGACATGCGTTTCATGCTTGAAACTGGCGGTTGGCGTGAGCTAAGTTAAGCGTGTGAGTTTTTCATCGTCAGCTGGCCCGTTCCCGGGTTTTTCGACGGCATGAGCGTAAACGAAAAGATTCCCCGCTAAATTTAGCGGAAAATTTCACGTCACGTGACCTATGTACCCATTCAGTTTCCCCGATAAATTTGACGGGAAAATTTATGTCACTTTACCTATGCACCAATTCAGCGTCTCCGCTAAATTTGGCGGAAAAATTTGTCACTTGACCTGGCGACATAGGACCTACACCTTCAGGTCCCCCGCTAAATTTAGCGGAAATTTTGCGTCACGTGACGTATGCACAAATTCAGTTTGCCTGCTAAATTTGGCGGGAAAATTGATGTCACGTGACCGAGTGTGAACGAGCCTTAACATTGTTAGCGTTTTTGTGGGTGGATTTTTTCGTCATCTAAAGTTTTGCTCGTGTTCGCAGGCGTCTCGTATACAGTTGACGCATCCGACATTTGTTCACTCCACATGACTGGATCGGTGTGCAGGTCTTGCTCTGCTCAACTCCCCTGCCGGACTTGCGGCGTACATCTTGGAGAAGTTCTCCACCTGGACCCGTGCTGAAAACAGAGACCTCGAGGACGGCGGTCTGACGACCAAGTTTTCCCTGGACGAGCTGCTCACCAACGTGATGGTCTACTGGGCCACTGACTCCATCACTTCCAGCATGCGCTACTACAAAGAGAACATTGGCTCTGTGGTTATGGCCAAGAACCGACGGTGAGTGCGTATGCCGCCTCTGGCCAGTTGTTTCGTGAAACGAGCATTCGTGGTGGTTGAAGTGCATCGTCGAGCGCGAATGACTCGTAATATAGCTTTTTTTCGAAACCAAGCAACATTGGAGGTCGGCATTTCTTGGGCACGAAGCCTCGCCGAACGCTGACGTCACACTCGTTTCCGATACGAGCTGAACCGAGTTCACGCCGAACGCTGATGCAGACATCGTGTGGTGGACTCAGATATAATTAGCGCACCTGTAACATAATGGCGCAAACTTTTTAAAATGACCTATTTTGCAGCGTATGCGAGTCATCTGCTTGCCTCGCAGCTTTAAAGGAATGCCGACACCCCCCAAAATTTTTATGAATTTTTTTGCCATGCGATCCATTGGGGTGTCAGAAGACTACCCAATTGATATTTTTCTACAGCGTCACGTATATTTTTAAGAAACTACAAAAACTTAACCGTTCGAAACCGAAACTGAAACGGGACTGGGGAGAAAGAAGAAATATAGAGGATGCGAAAGGTTACCGAAGTCACGTGGCTGTGCAACTTCTTTTTTTCTTAATTAACGCATTTGCAGATTTCTAGAAACCACAAAAGAGTATCGTATTTTTGGCTATTTTTAGTATTGAGTGCATTCCTTCGGTGACCCACAACTTCTATTATCTTTGGTGGTTGTGTCTAAACCATAGAAAACGACACGTGTCCACGGAGAAGAGAGTGAGCGCGATTCAAACCGGCCAGTTCTCGATCGGTGGTTTTCGGGCGGAAAGAAAACGAATTTCCAACCGAAAATCGTGTTCTGGGTAGTTCAGCTCTGTCATGTACAAATAAAAAGCTTGGAGATCATAAATACCCTGTCAGTGTCCCTTTAAGAGGCACTTAAAATAGCTTCTGACTATTTTGTACCTGCGACCGTGACTCGTACATAATCTGACGCTAGTCATGACAGGCTCGCATCTAAAGGCTGAACTCGGTGGAGCAAAGATTAAGTGCAAAATTCGCGCTGCAAAAGTCCTTTGCAACTCGCCGCTGCGTATTTGTCAGAAACCAAATTCCATGCGACGAACAAGCGAAGAACGCCGCCAAAGCCACGATGTCAAGGCTTCAGTGACGTGAGCGACTTCATCTGCACACAAGTGACAGACTTGCAAACGCTGAAACTTACGAGTGCAAACCAACGCACAGCAACATCAGAAAGTAGGGTGTTCACAAAATACGTTCAAATGGTTCGGATGTTGTTCCAACTTCGACGCCAATCGAAAATCAAAATCATTTCTTTCTTTCTTTTTTTTTGTAAAATTATACGCGCGAGCTTGTGCAACTTGACCGGAAACTCTAGCTCCATATAAAACGAATGGTTACAACAAGTTTCCGAAGTCGTAGCGCAACATGGTGGCACAATAAAGAAAAACAAAGCGTAGCATGATGGTAAGGTATCTGCTTCATACGCAGCGGGCCCCGGTTCGATCCACAGTCTGGGCTTACTTTTTTCATTTTTTTTTTCTCGAACATTTGGCAAATATATTTACTACGTTTTTTCTTTCTTTTTTGTTTACGATTAACATTAAAAAAAAACGAATGTTGTCGACAAAATTTTGTTGAACTAAACAGTGTGAGACTCCCTTTACAGAGGTGCAATGGGGGAGAGCGGGTTTGGGTTGCCGGCTGAACGCCGCGAAGCGGCGTGTACAGGTCGGGGGGGGGGGGGGGGGAGGGGGGGGGGGCAAGTGGGTTAATAGGTTTGTAATTAGCAGCCGCAAACTGTCGCCGCGAAGCAGGCCGGGGGGCGGGAGGGGGGGGGGGGGGGGTGTTAAAACGCTCTCTATAGTGATACACGCGCCGTCCGAAAATGGTGGCCCAAATGGAAGGAGCTCTGCGTCGTACGTATAGCCCTTTCCAGTCGAGTTGCACGAGTTCGTGCGTATAGCTGTACCATAGCCTCCTCTATACTGACAAGGCCTGGCAGACTGCCACGAGACGCAGCCGCCGAAAGTGAAAAGGTAGAGCGGCAGACAACGGATGAGAGGAGAGGCTAGAGTGCCTTCATACACACGCGCGCTTTTGCTTGAGTGGTGACACCTCAGCCATTTTTCCGCCCACTTGTTTTTTTATGCATTTTGAAGTGCGCGCAATCCGGTGTCACTCAGCTCGAGCGCGTAGCTTTGGCTAATGCATAGACACCATTTTACTGCCCAACTCACGCACCGAGTGCGCGAGAGCGTCACGCGCTGGCACATTCAGGGCAACAATCGGATGCCTTCACCATGAGACAGACAGACATGTAGGCGCCCTATGGAGAGGCTAAGGAGAGGCCTCTTAAGGTGGCTTCATGTGCATGCGCTTTGCTTAGGGTGGTGGCATCCCGCCATTTTGTCCCACACGTTCATTTTTCTTTTTTGTTCAGAAGAGCGTGTCCCATGCACGCGTTCGTGGCGCTGACTGTGCTATGGCGACATTTTGTTTTCGTCGATTTCTTTGTATTTTCCCCGTGAGCGCGTGCTGTCGGCATCGGATACTACAAAGGGTGGCATCACCTTAAACAGGAGGACATTGAGGCACCCCAGGCCCTCTATCCTTGGAAAAGTGGCGCCATTCATTGTTGTAGAAATGCTCGAGGCACGTGCCGCGCGCCACTTCTGGGAAATGCATGGCGTCTGAAATGTAGCTCAGTGCTGCGCTGTGCCGCCATGATCTTCCCAAGGGCTGCACGTTGAACGTGTCTCGACATCGACGCACCTTGCGCTACTTTTGAAACATGAAAGGGCTTTAAGGAGAGACTAGAGTTCCTGTATAGGCTCCCTACGGGAGCCAGAGTTGCGCGTTCATCCCCGTAGCGCGCCGTCTTTCCTGCATGGCATGTTGATCCTGCTCCTCACGTGACTAAATTCGGCGAATAGCGGCGCCGCGCGTTCGAGGGCGCTCAAAAGCAGGGGAACGCAGAGCCGTGGCGCGTGCAACGTCTACTTTCCTGCGCGGCAATTGATCCGGATCCTCACGTGATCGGATCCCGGTGAATAGCGGCGCGGCGGCGCGTGGAAAACAGACGCACAACTCTAGCTCCCGAGAGGCTAGGGTGCCTACATGTTTGTCTGTCTCAGGGTGAAGACATCCATTGTTGCACTGAATATGCCAGCGCGTGACACTCTCGCGCACTCGGTGCGTGACTTGGGCGGTAAAATGGCGTCTATGCATCAGCCAAAGCTACGCGCTCGAGCTGAGGGACACCGTATTGCGCGCACTTCAAAATGCATAAAAAAACGTTTGGGCGTGAAAATGGCTGAGATGTCACCACTCAAGCAAAAGCGCGCGTGTGTATGAAGGCACTCTACGAGAGGCATGTAACGGGCGCCCCGCTGCGGCGAGACAACGAAACACACTTGTCCCGAGCGATGGAGTGTCCGCTCGTGCTCCTCGCGTTCCTCGACGGTACCGTTTCTTTTCTCGTGGGTTTGAACATAGCCTCCGAGATCCCGAAGCGCGCGCGCTTTGGGATCTTGGAGGCCATGGTTTGAAAAACATGCATGTTTCGAGTTTTCTATGGGAGCCTGACTACAGGCTCCCCAAGAAATGCTCTGTGCTACCAGATCCTCGCGCTCCAAATCTGCGAAAGGGCAGTTTATATGGCTCCGTCGTCGAACTGCCAGGCTTTGTGAGAATAGAGGAGGCTAGAGCCACTAAATGAGCTGCGCTTAGAGTATCGGCACTCCGTTGCTCGACATTGTTGTGGGCGCCGCCATTTTGGGGCTTGTGCAGAGCACACGCAACTGCCCATCGTCATGAATCCAAAGTGCGACTTGCTCAGCATTAGATTCGGTCTTAGAAAGCTCATGTAATACTGCTTTGCTCTGTCGCGGACTGTTTAAACATTCGTGGAGGGCGGAAAAGCGTTTCCTGTGATTTCAGATAAAGCTTCAGATAACTGGCAACCATGATTCTAAGCCACAATATGGCCAAGTGTCGTTACTCTGAAGCGTAGCTTATAGCGAGTTCGTTTCATACGCACCGGCCCCGTTCGAGTTCTCTCCCAGAATGCAGCGCACTCGCAGAGTGTTGCACGGAGAACTGGACTCAAACGAACTCGCCAAATGCACCGAGTGCAGAAGACTGATGGTGCCGCCATCTATGTTGTAGAAAATGTACCGACCTCAAACCGAAACTAGAGCCTTTCTGTTCGGAGTGATGGGTGGGAATGCGAGAGTGCAGTCACTACCAACGTTTATCTACAAACGCTGAACGCTACAACCTGTAGTTTATAGTTGCGATGACCTCAAGCAACTCGGCTGTCGTAGCTCTAGATAGTTACAGACGGCGTAAATTTCCGCACCCAGCTGTCTACAAAGCAGCTGGTTGCGATCTTTCAATCCTTATAACCGTTTACACTGAAGAAAACTGATGATGCTGTCCGAGCAGAAGCTTGATCCGTTTGAGCATGGTATTATGCGTGAACCACTGAAAGGGTACGGCTTAAAACTAGTCTGTTGGAATATCCAGCAAAACTTTTCGTGGGACTTTCGATTTCGATCGTCATTACAAGTGGATCAGATGTTAGCCTTGGTGAGGAAGTCGAGAACGAGAGCTTTCTCGAACAAAATACGACGGGGCAAGTTAGCTGACGTAGGTACATGTTAAACATGATGATGTTGCCCAAGCTTCGGGTAAAGTCACTGTTTAGATTTCTCTGATGCTTATTTGGTAGTCAGAGTTTTCTGCTGAGCCAGTTTTGCCGACAAATGTTCAATTTTTCACCCGCACACGGATGTTGATAAACATCTCGGGGGCCGCTGGTGCGTTTGTTCTGAGCTTTTCTTGACACACTGGTATAGTTCAGCGTCTGTACGGCAATAGAGCGACTTAAAACTGCAAATAAAGCACGGGTTGTCAATTGCTTCCTTCACGAAATAGCAGACGCTCACAATTCAAGCTCGCGTTTGATTCTGTTGCCCACGGGAAGCGATTTCTATCAGAAAATCAACTTTTTTTCCTTTCGGTTCCGCGACACATCGAAGCAGACGAACCCTCGTCGTCTGCTCTCGCTCCTCGCCGGCCTCGCCGGAGCGAGGCATGACGGGATTGCATTCTGGCGCACGCTCGATTTTCTCGGTGCAGCGAGTGCATGCACGCGTGCGGTGCCGCCACCGAAACGAACTCGGAGAGTGCAACTACTCGTGGAGTGCCTGCCGAAACGAACTCTCTTTACGCCGCGAGTGGGCACGCGTGGACACGAGTGCCGTGAAACGAACTCGCTATTATTTAGTGGCACTAGAGGAGGCTATGGCTTTACTCTTTTTTTTTTCTTTTTTTCTTTACTATATTGCTCGTGCATCGCGCCGGCCGTTGGCCCCTGTCGGTAGTGGCGGACGGCGGGCGAACAAAATCTAGCTTGCCTAAATCGGCGGCGAACAGCCCGTGGCCCTCCCCCCGCCCAGGCGCTCGACCGACCTGCATGCGCAGCTGCGAGCGTGCAATTCTTTTGTTCCGGAAAAACTCTGTACTTTGAGCGAATGCCGCTTAGAATGGATCCCTGACGTTAATGGCCTATGAAACACCTGTTCGTTTTTCATCACGCGCAAGTGAAGTCGCAGAAAAAAAACGAAGATAAACGTGCAGCGTTCACCCCCCTCAACTCGCAGCCAGAACAAGCGGCCACGTGATCTAGAGCTGATTATATGCTGCCAGTGTTGATCATAGCCATGCGCTGGGGTTGGCAAGGCACAAGACACGCGCTGAGTTTCAGACATTGTTATGGTTCGGCTATTGTCATTGCAGCGTTTGGACACGGGCCACTACCCGAACTGTTCTCGAGCTGTCGATTATCACGAGCCGAAATCGAGTGCCCACGGAATGCCCGGGTCCAATATATGAGTCGCATTCAAATATCGTCGCTGGAGGATACTGCGATCCCCCCGTTATGGGAACAAGTTTCGCGAAGGAGAGATTGAATGAAAACGCTCGCTTTTGTCCTTGAAATCACGCTGCAACAAAGGAGTTTCTTGGCTAGTGGCGTTGCGTGCGAGTATCCTTGAGTAGTGCCAATAAGCTCGTGTACAGTGAAAAACATTCCATTTGAGTAGCGTTGCACCGCCCCTTTAAGAGGCACACCGAAACTGCAGGAAAGTGATGGACGTGGACAAGTGTGTGCCTATATCATCCCAAAAGAAATACTCAGGGTGGGGTAGATTTGTGGGCACATCGGTAGTTTAGCCTCATATAACAGTATACTTTGCATGTAAGGCTCGTGTGAATATAAGGCGCAGGATAAAATTGGCCATCTGTGTTCAATCCTGATGTCGAACACGTCATGTCTATTGCGGCGACGTGGTGCGAATGAAAAGTGGCATTTGGCAATCTGATTATCTGAAATACATTAATTACAAATATGTGCCTTATCTGGCGCATTGCAATGAGAGATTTGTTGTCCATCGGCGAAATACGCTGTCGAATGTTAGAAGTAAAACAGCTAAATTCTTCTTCGCTCTATTCAGTGGCGAATTCAGGCTGTTTAGAGGCCGCCATACTGAACTAAGGGGCGATATCAGAGTGTCGCGCGCCTTTTCTCTAACCATGTGGCCCTTAGGTTTGGAGGCATAACCAGGGGAGGGAGACTCTGAGGCCTCAACCCCCCCCCCCCCCCCCCCCCCCCCCCTTGAAATGCAGTCAGATTCTCGCGTGAGCTGAATGTATGTACCTCGACAAGAGCGGCGCGTTTTTACGCATCTTGATCGCTACCACGGGTGCTTGGAAGGAACGGCGGCACGGCTTCGCATACGCTTCGCCAGCCTTCGAGAGGCTGGAAGCGAATTCGCACCGAGGAAATTTTCCGTCATAGACGTATCGTAGACGTAAGGTGAGGATTTGGGCCAGTTAATAGTAGTTTTACACGATGGGGATAACAGCTCGAAAAGCGGGGACAGCGATTAAGAAACCGACAGGACAGCCTTGTCCTGTCGTGTGTGTTTTTTAATCGCTGTCCCTGTTTGTTTTGTTTTTTGCCGTTTATTTTTGTTATGTATTATCCTTCGCTTAAGAATAAGCGTGAACTTCTTGTCCAGCCGTCTCCTGACGTTTTGCCTAATCCCGAGATTTCCTGCTTTCGATCCCAGGACCCCTGTCACGGTGCCTTCCGGGTTCGCCATCTTCCCCGAAGAGCTCATCGCCTTCCCGGAAGCAGTCATTGGCTCCATGTACACGGACGTTGTCACGTTCACTCACCACTCGAAGGGCGGCCACTTCCCAGCGATGGAGGAACCGGCCCTCCTCGAGAAAGACCTGCGCTCCTTTGTGTTGGCCGTGGAGGCCCGAAATGCCACTCAGCGGTCTGTCCCGAGGCCGTTCCCCTTCGTTGACCTTGGACCCCTAGCCCCCAAGGTCATGCTGACCTTCGGACCCGAAACGACTCCCGGAGCCGGTACGTTGGCCAGGACCAGGTTTGAACCGCAGACGGTTCAGAAGGAGCCCGGAAAGGCGAGCCAAGCGGCGAGGGAAGCGAAGGTACCCACGGAGGTGCCGACCCCGACGAAGGATGCGCAGTCACAGCCTGTCAAAAAACCATCGCCTCCGAAGAAGGCTCCGCAGCAACAGTCGGCCTCAACTGCTCAGCCCCCGAAGAAGGCTGTGGATCAACAACCGACCACGACTGCGCAACCCCCGGTAGCAAAGAAGACTGTTCAGCAGCAGACAGCCACACCTGCTCAGCCGCCAGCTCCGAAGAAAACAGCGCAGTCAAAAGATTCGACGCCTGTGCGACCTTAGTTTTCGTCGAAGTTTGTACAGTCTGAAGCTAGGGCATTTCCATCCACATAAACTGCAAAACGAACATAGCCATGTATCAATATTGTTTGCTTAATAAATAAAATAGATGGATTAAAAAGAACATAGAAATAAAATAAAGGCGATAGCGTATTACTAAATGCTTTTGTTTAGTACTGATTGTTAGCTCAGTTGGTAGAGCGCTCCACTGGGAATTGAGAGGTTCCTGGTTCGATACCACAACCAGGCGGATTTTTTCAGTCGCGCACCTGTCACCTATATCTGTGTTTGATGATTCGTGTTTGTCCTTTGTTCCCCTTCTCCAGGGATTATTGTGATTATTCTTGTCCAGCTCGCTGCACGATTGCATTGATTGGGTTATCATTATAACCCTAAAATGCAGACACTCACCTTGTTTGTGTTAGACTGGCGTCGGCTGTGAAAACCGTTTGCTATACGTCTGACTCCTGGCGACGTCTGACTCCTGGCCATAGATCAGTTGGGTTCTGTTGCCGGCTCTTTAAGGCCCTGTCACACTGAGGCAACACGACGGCAACAGCAACACAACACGTTGTCCAACAGTCGGGCAACTTGTTGCTCGCTCCCCGTGTTGTCCGACAAAGCTGTCACACCGCGGCAACAGCACGACAACATGAACGACAACTAAAATGTTGCCTCGGTATGACAGCTTTCGGCAACAAAAACAGCAGCAACTTGTGTTGGACAACGAGTGTTGCCCTGATCGCTGGCTGAGCGAATTTCGGGCCGGCAACACGACAACATAGATAGCTTCGATGGTAGAGCTAGTCCCCTATCAATAAAGTCTTACTCAAACAAAGGCTTGGAAAACGTTATTTAACAATAATTAGGGCTGGCGTGCAGCTAAAATATTTTCGAATAATGTTTTTTGCTGCGCAGTTACGGAAAGCGATTTTCGAAATAGTCACAGCTACGATCGTGAACGTTCAGACTGGTTTTGAAATTAGATCTCCCGAGAGTCCAGCGCACATTACGGATAGTGAAATAAAATGGCATGCCCTCTCACCCACTAATAAAGTATAATAAAAATAAGAGCGATGCTATATGCACTACGTAGTGCACTTTGGACGGAAATTGCTATATGCACTACGCTGAGAGCTCATGCCGTTCGGGCCACCCTTTTTCGAACTGCGCGTGTATCACTGGGGAGCTCGTTAACCCAGCCCCCCGCCTGCGTTCACGCCGCTTCGCGGCGACAGTATGCGGCTGCTAATTAGAAAAGTTAACCAGTACACGCCGCTTCGCGGCGTCCGGCCGGCAACCCAAGCCCCGCTGTCCCCGATCTGTGAAGTTTCGTCGACAACATTCGGTTTTTTTTTTGTTTTTTTTTTTGTTTTTTTTAAATGTTTATCGCAAAAAAGAAATATAAATACCGCCAAATGCCTCGTCAAAACAACGGTCAAGAAAAAAAGAAAAAGAAAAAAAAAGGTAGGACCACCGCGATTCGAACCTGTGTCCACTTGCGCATGAAACGGACACGCTAACCCCTACGATATGCCACCGGTTGGGAAACTCGTTGTGATCATTCATTTTATACGAGACAAACGTAGTGCATATAGCAATTTCCGGCCGAGCTGCACTCCGGTGAGCATATAGCATTACTCTAAAAATAATCCAGAAAACCTAAGATTAAAAAGTCGAAGCATAAAACGACCACTCTGATCATGATTGTTGATGCTTGGAACTTGGAAACAGCCGCTACCAGACACCTGATTTGTTTTAAAAATATATTTGGCCGAATGAAGCGATCACGTAGCAGCGGTAGGCCAGTAGACAGCGTTGAAAAATATTTATTTCATCGATTGTTATGAAGGCCGATGGTGTCGGTGTCGCAGTTTTGAAGCACTGTCAGTTCAGCTCAACACCACGCTACAAAAGACGCTTTGGGGTACTGCCGGTGCTAACGCAATTTTACAGTAGAAATAGAAATTGCATGAAAGAACCGGACAGAATCACTTCATACGGTGGCGTAAATACCGAACATATATCAGCGATGTCCCTTTCCTCGGTTAGGGCTATCTGCTTTGTCAGCAAATGAAGAACATTTCGATAAAATAAAGAGCGAAAAATACTCCCTGTGTCAAGTTTTCTAATCACAGTCACTAGTTGATGTCGTACCGTGGTAATTCCCGGCCCTTCGAACGCACTAGCACTTTGTAGAGTCATATTTCCAGCGATTCCGCGCCGCACACGAACGAAGGTAAGCAATCAAGATGGCGGAGTGTTCCCCGTGTTGTCCTCGCCGTCAGCGCGGTGTGACAGGGTTGTCGGACAACAAATCGGGCAACACGGTTGCCGGGCGGCAGCAGCATGTTGCCCGACTGTTGTTGTTGCCTCGATGTGACAGGGTCGCCGGCAACACGACTTCCCCGTGTTGCCGGATAGAGTTGTCCAACTGTTGCCTCAGTGTGACAGGGCCTGATCGGTCGATAGGATGGCGAACTCCGATGGAGCAATGATAACTGTCGTTGCCGTCTTGGGTTGCCAAAGGCATGGTAGCGCTTTTTAGACGAGAACAAAGAGAGAAAGACAAGACAAGACACGAGCGCTCGTGTCTGTCTTGTCTTTCTCTCTTTTGTCCTTATCTAAAAAGCGCTACCATGCCTTTGGCGACCCAAGACCAATACCAACTAGCCCAGCATTCAGCGTTGATATGTCGTTGCCGGCCGCGGTATCTCGTCTGCTGATTATTACAGGCATAGGAAGCAAGCAAGCCGGCCGTGTCGCGGCGGTCGTCTATTGTTCGCCGCGACCTAGCGGTAGCCGCCGCAGGAGCATCGGGGAGCAATGGCGACGAACAGCACAGCGGGCAGTGTCCCCTTCGTGATTACGAAGAAATTTAAGGCAGTTACGAATTCGGAAAGTTCCTTCGGTAGCCAGTGCCGTCAGCGCAGAATCATCGGGAAGTAATAGCAACGAACACCACAGAGGACAGTGGGCGATTACGAATCCGGAAAGCTTCTTCGGTAGCCGGTGCAGAATCATCGGGGGGAAGCAATGGCGATGAGCAGCACAGTGGACAGTGTTCCCGGAGTGATTACGACGGGGTTTAAGGCGGTTACGAACCCAGAAAGCTTCTTCCGTGGTACCAATATGAAGAAGGGAAAACTCCTTCGTGAATCTGGCCGCGTGTACTACGTTAAGGATGTCCGTTTCGACGGACAAGTGGATGTCACCGGAGCGCCGTACTCCGCTAACAAAATTAAGCGTGCCCGCAAAAAATGTAGTTGGCGTTGAGTGTACTGCGGTAATTATGTACGTTTATTTCTGAATCAGCTTTACGATAACTGGGCGATTTTTTTTCGCGCCGTTCCGCGATTCCCACTGTAGGCTGATGGAAACATCCAAGGGTAGGCTTAGGTGGGCGACCGCATTCCGCTTCTCGATTCCGGTGAAGTATTTTCTGCATACTTTAAAGTTTGCCGTCGGTGTCGATGCTGTTCCATCGTCGCTAGAATAGGAAAAAAAGTTAATTGTATTATTCGTCAGCAGCTTAAACAAAGCGCGAACTGGAAGGTAAGAAACGCCACTAACCTGTATGGACGCACAAGTCACACCCAGATCGCGCAGTACTCCGCCTCGTACGGCTTCGAAGGGACGATGTATACTACGTGCCGTGCGCGATCTTCGACGTACTGTTGCAGCCGACCACGCAGCAATTGTTGCGGCTTTCTTGGTGCGCAATAGCCATCTCAGAAATTACAGCGCTAACCCACCACAACGCAGAACCAACGCAGCGACTGGCAGAAGCTCCCCGATTCAATGGACCCGTTTGCCGCTAGGGGCGCCCTGGTCGGGGCTTGAATTAGATGCGCACGGTTCCTATAGCCTCCTCTATGCGGAGAAAGCCTGGCGCGTCGCGAAAAGAGGCGGCCGCCGAAAATGGGAAAGGAGGGACGGGGAATCGGGGGCGGGGGGGAGATTTCCTGCTAGCGCCACAAAAAAGCGAGCGGCCAAACGCAGAAACAATTTTTTTTTCCTCTTTTCTTTTTGGTATCGTGGAGAGGAGGAACTCAACGTCAACCCTTTCCCGTTCCTCCCTGCGTCCGCATCTCCGCAACGGTCTTTGAACGGTCGCGGCCGTCGGTTTTGTTTAGTCAAAACTGCATGGTTCTTCCGCGGCATGATACGATGGTCCGACGATGACGCATTCCGCTGGCACGCCGACAACTCCGCCGACGTTACCGGCATGGTGCATTGTTGCCAGCGCCCTTTCGAATCGCCGCAGCCGTTGCTCCCGGAGTACGAAAACGACGGTGACGAAAACACGAAAACAAACGTGGTTCAAGGACCGGCCGCTGCACGACCTAAGCGCTCGCACACTATCTCTGCCCTTTCTGCTCTGCGCTACCATATTTGTCACCGTTCCGCGCGCTCCTCCTCTCATTTTTGCCGCGGCCGCGTGCCCTATGGCTCCGTCGTCGATGTGTTAGGCTTTCTCCGTATAGAGAATCGGCTATGTTACAGGATACTCACGCCTTCTCTGCCTTATGAAGCAGTCACTGTGCAACTGCGTTTTTCTACACTGCGACGTAACCGGCCGGCCGTACCGAATTGCGGATTTCCGAGGAAAACTGCAACGACTGCAAATCCTCGGCGATGCAGCGTACGTTTTTCGGCGCCTATCAAATCAACCGCGTGTGACGTCGCCACCTTCCACTCGGCGACAATGATGATGAACCGGCTGCTCGCCGCCAAGAAACTCACCGTCAAAGGCAAGCGATGTATCCTAATCGACCCGAATAACTCGGAAATCTGTCTAAAACTTCACTGGGTACCTTATCACGTTCCCGATGACACAGTTCGCCGAGCACTTGAGTAATATGGCAAAGTGCACGAAGTAATCCGCGAGACGTGGAGGCCCCAAGGTTTTCAAGGAGTCCAGTCAACAAGAAGGCTCGTCCTGGCGTCAGTAACGAGAGCGTCCTTCATAAACTTCGTTTCTTCGGCGGCTCTGCACTAGCACCGAACGAGCCCCTCTCTGCCTCTGGTGTAAGAAAACCGGCCACACATCCGAAAGGACTGCCGCGTCCCCGCTGTGGCGATTGCCACCGCTACGGCCACACAAGAGAGAACTGCGACAAATCTTGTGTGGTGGCAACGGCCGGACCACCTGCGGATG